TGCATTGTCAATATTAGAAAGATCAACAAGACAGAAAATTAACAAGGATATTCAGGACGTGAACTCAGATCTAGACCAAGTGGTCCTAATAGACATCTACAGAACTCTCCACCTCAAGTCAACAGAATATACATCCTGAGAGCACCACACAGCACTTATTCTAAACTCGACCACATAATTGGAAGTACAACACTCCTCAGCAAATGCAAAAAAATGGAAATCATAACAAACAGTCTTTCAGACCACAGTGCAATCAACTTAGAACTCAGGATTAAGAAATTCACTCAAAACTGCACAACTACATGGAAACTGAACAACCTGCCCTGAATGACTACTGGCTAAATAACAAAATTAAAGCAGAAATAAATAAGTTCTTTGAAACCAATGAGAACAAAGACACAATGTACCAGAATCTCTGGGACACATCTAAAGCGGTGTTTAGAAGGAAATTTATAGCACTAAATGCCCACAAGAGAAAGCAGGAAAGATCTAAAATTGACACCCTAACATCACAATTAAAAGAACTAGAGAAGCAAGAGCAAACAAATTCAAAAGGAAGCAGAAGACAAGAAATAACTAAGATCAGAGCAAAACTGAAAGAGATAGAGACAGCCTTAAACTCCTGGGCTTAAACAATCCTCCCACCTCAGCCTCCTGGGTAGCTTGGATTACAAGCACATACCACCACACCTAGCTAACTTTCACTTTTTTTTTTGTTTTGGAATTTGTAGTGATAGGGTCTTGCTATGTTGCCCAGGATGGTCTTGAACTCCTGGTCCCAAGTGATCCTCCCACCTCATCTTCCCAAAGCATTAGGATCACAGGTATGAGCCATCATACCTGGCCTCTTTTCTTATTATGCTATAATCAGGTAGTGTGATTTATCACCTGGTTTTCTTAGCTCTTGTGAAGATCTTTTTGTGGATAGTCATTTAAATAGATGTTTTTATAGAAGGACAATCAGTGGTAAGAACTATTCTACCGTCTTGCTCCATTCTCTCCTTAACATCATGGTGATTCTTTTATTCAATTTTATTTAATTTCTATATTTTTCTCTATTATACAAATTTTCTTCATTGACCATAAAAATATTTTTATTTTTATAATTTCAACTTTTATTTTAGATTCAGGAGGTACATGTGAAGCTTTGTTACATGAGTATATTGTATGATGCTGTGTTCGGGATACTAATGATCTAGTCACACAGATCACACAGATAGTGAGTATAGTAAACAATGATTAGTTTCTCCTTGCCTCCTTCCCTGTCTATTAGTCCCCTGGGGAACTATTGTTGCCATCTTTATGTCCATGAATACTCAATATTTAGCTGCCACTTATAAGTGAGAACATGTGGTATTTGGTTTTCTGTTCCTGCATTACTACACTTAGGATAACGGCTTCTAGCTGTGTCCATGTTGTTGCAAAGGATATGATTTCGTTCCTTTTTATGGCTGAGTATATTTTATGGCTGGGTGTTCCTTTTTATTCCAGGGTATATATGTACTACATTTTATTTATCCAATCCACCACTGATGGGCATCTAGGTTGATTCCATGTCTTTGTTATTGTGAATACTGCTGTGATGAACATATGAGGTCATGTGATTGTTTGGAAATTTATCCATTTACTCTAGGGTTTCTAGTTTGTGTGCATTTTCCTTTGGTCATATACCTAATAATGGGATTGCTGGGTCAAATGGTAGTTCTATTTTAAGTTCTTTGAGAAATCTCCAACCTGCTTTCCACAGTGGCAGTGTTCCCTTTTCTCCACAGACTTGCTGGTATCTGCTGTATTTTAACTTCTTAATAATAACAATTCTCTCTGGTATAATATGGTATCTCATTGTGGATTTGATTTGCATTTCTCTGATGATTAGCAATGTTGAGCATTTTTGATGTTTGTTGGCTGCTTGTATGTCTTCCTTTGAGAAGTGTCTGTTCATGTTTTTTACCACTTTTTAATGGGATTATTGGTTTTTTGCTTGTTGAAATAAGTTCCTTATAGATTCTTGATATTAGACCTTTGTCAGATGAATAGGTTATGAATATATATTCTCCCGCTCTCTAGGTTGTCTATTTACTCTGTCAATAGTTTCTTTTGCTCTGCAGAAGTTCTTTGGTTTACTTAGGTCTCACTTGTCCATTTTTTGTTTTGTTGCAATTGCTTTTGAGGACTTAGTCATAAATTCTTTCCTAAGGCAGATGTCCAGAATGGTGTTTCCTAGGTTTTCTCATAGGATTCTTACAGTTTGAAGTCTTACATTTAAATCTTTGATTCATATTGAGTTAAATTTTGTATATGGTGAAAGGTGGGGGTCCATTTTCATTATTCTGCATATTGCTAGCCAACTATCCCAGCACCATTTATTAAATAAGGAGTCCTTTCCCAATCGCTTATTTTTGTCTGTTTGTCAAAGAACAGATGGTTATTGGTGTGTGGCTTTATTTCTGCATTCTCTATTCTGTTCCATTGGTCTATATGTCTTTTTTGTACAAGTATCATGCTGTTTTGGTTACTGTAGCCTTATAGTATAGTTTGAAGTCAAGTAATGTGATGCCTCTGGCTTTGTTCTTTTTGCTTATGGTTGTTTTGGTCATTCAGACTTTTTTATATAAATTTTAAAATATTTTTTCTAATTCCATGAAAAATGACGTTAATAGTTTGGTAGAAATAGTGTCAAATCTGTAGATTGCTTTGGGGAGTATGGCCATTTTAACTATATTTATTATTTCAATCCATAAGCATGTTATATTTTTCTGTGTCATCTATGATTTCTTTCAGCAGTGTTTTGTAATTCTCCTTACAGAGATCTTTCACCTCCTTGATTAGATAAGCTAGATGTATTCCTTGGTATTTATTTTTTGTGTGGCCATCTGTTTGCATACTTTTTATTTCCTTTTCTTGCCTCATTACTCTGGCAAGAACTTCAGTACTATGTTGAACAGGAGTGGTGAAAGTGAGCATCCTTGTCTCGTTCCAGTTGTCAAAGGGAATGGTTCCATCTTTTGCCCATTCAGTATAATGCTGGCTGTGGGTTTGTCATTGATAGCTCCTATTATTTTGAGGTAAGCTCCTTCAATGCCTATTTTGTTGAGGGTTTTTGTCATGAAGGGATGTTGGATTTAATCACAGGTTTTTCCCACACCTAATTATATACTCATATGGTTTTATTTTTAATTCTCTTTATGTGGTAAATCACATTTATTGATTTGTGTATGTTGAACCAAGCTTGTATGCCAGGAATTAAGGCAAGTTAATCATGGTAAACTAAATTATTGATGTGCTGTTAAATTCAGTTTGCTTATGTTTTGCTGAGGATATTTGCATCTATATGCATCGGGGATATTGTTCTGTAGTTTTCTTTGTTGTTGTGTCTTTGCCAGGTTCTGGTATTAGGGTGATGCTGGCTTCATAAAGTGAGTTAGGGAGTAGTCCCTCATCTGTGAATTTTTAGAATAGTTTCAGTAAAATTGCTGAGCTCTTTTTTGTAAGTCTGATAGAATTCAGTTGTGAATCCATTTGGTCTGGGTCTTTTCTTGGTTGGTAGGTTTTTCATTACTGGTTCAATTCTGGAACTTGGTACTGGTCTGCTAGGGTTTCAATTTCTTCCTGGTTGGATCTTGGGAGATTGCATGTTTCCAGGAATTTATCCATTTCCTCTAGATGTTCTAGTTTGTGTGCATAGAGGTGTTCATAATAGTCTCAGAGGAGCTTTTGTATTTCTGTGGGATCAGTGGTAATGTTGCCTTTGTCATTTCTGATTGTGCTTATTTGGATCTTCTCTCTCTCTTTTTTTTTTTTCTTTTTTAGTCTAGCTAGTTGTCCATTGATCTTGTTTATCCATTCAAAAAACCAATTTTTGGTTTCATTTATTCTTCGTGTGGATTTTTGGGCCTCAATTTTGTTAGTTCTGCACTGATTTTAGTTATTTCTTTTCTTCTGCTAGTTTTGGGGTTTTGTTCTTGTTCTTCTAGTTCCACAAGGTGTTATGTTAGAGTGTTAATTTGACATCTTTCTAACTTTTTAAGGTAGGTATTTAGTGCTATAAACTTCCCTCTTATCACTGCTTTTGCTGCATTCCAGAGATTTTGGTATGTTGTATCTCTGCTTTCATTTATTTCAAAAGATTTTTTTATTTCTGCCTTAATTTTGTCATTTAGTCAAAAGTCATTCAGGAGAAAGTTTTTAAATTTCCATGTAATTCCATGATTTGGGGAGATCTTGGTATTGCTTTCTATTTTTATTCCACTGTGTCTGCGAGTATGGTTGGTATGATTTCAACTTTTAAAACTGTGTTGAGACTTGCTTTATGTCTGAGTATGTGGTCAATCTTGGAGTATGTTCTGTGTACAGATTAAAAGAATGTGTATTCTGTGGTGATCAGCGGAGTATTCTCTAGATGTCTATTAGGTCCAATTAGTCAAGTGTCAAATTGAAGTCCAAAATTTCTTGTTAGTTTTCTACCTCAATGGTCAGTTTAACACTGTCAATGGGATGTTGAAGTTCCCTACTACTACTGTTTGTCTCGCTAAGTCTTTTCATAGGTCTAGAAATCATTGTTTTAAGAATCTGGGTACTCCAATGTTGGCTGCATATATATTTGGGATAATTAACTCTTCTTGATGAATTGAACCCCTTATCATTATGTACAATATGTGAACACCAAAAAAATCACAGAAGGAATACTGCTTGGTCTTTGAATTTTTGGGGGGGGGTGATATTCAGAATTAAATAGCTATTTTTAAGGGAAAGAATAAAGTAATATGTTAAACTGACAGATATTTTAAAATTAAATAATATAAAAGATACGTGGAAAATATATAGATATACATACATGCACATACACTTATATAAGGGAGAAATGATTTTAAAATAATATCAAATCCCATAAAACTATTCAAAGATGACAAGGAAAATTAGCACCCCCTGAAAACAATAAGTTAATGTTGTTCAAATACTACTGTGACTCCCTTTATTTTCAAAAGGTATCATGGAACTACTTTTCAATGTGAGTGCTTGCCTACTTGTATGTCTAAGGACCTCCCAATACTTGGGAGGTGTTTTTTTTGTTTTGAGACAGAGTCTCGCTCTGTCACCTAGGCTGGAGTACACTGGCACGATCTTGGCTCTTTGCAACCTCCTGGGTTCAAGCAATTCTCCTCCCTCAGCCTCCCGAATAGCTAGGACTACAGGCAAATCCAACGACTGGCTCATTTTTGTATTTTTATTAGAGACGGGGTTTCACCATATTGGCCAGGCTGGTCTTGAACTCCTGACCTCATGATCCACCTGCCTTGGCCTCCCAAAGTGCTGGGATTACAGGCGTGAGCCACAGCGCCTTGCCCCATACTTGTGAGTTTTAAAGCAATTTCTGGAACATTTTCAGAAGACTCTTGAGTTGTACTTGCTTATAAAAGAAAACCTGTATACCTGTTGTATCATGAACTGGTGTGAAGTAGTCATGCAACTCTTGGCTACTGAATATACCCTTCACATATTTCAGCAAGAGAATGTTTTCAGTAAAAGGTAAAAAAGTCATTTTTTTAAAAATTCTATGTTTATATAGTTTGATTTCCACAATACCCAGTGCCTGACTCTTTGGGTGGCTTTACTAATATTTTGTATTGCCTTTATCACAGGTTTGCTATCACCTCTATGTTTGAGAGGAAGAATAATTTTTAAATTTATGTATTTATTAACTAAATATACAAAATACACCTGATGTTAATTTTAAATGATCTTTAAAATTAAATGTGCTACTAATTATTACATAAAACATAAGTTTATAGGACACCAACAAAAAATTACTAGGTTTGAGGTTTTAAGGTTCATCTGAATGAGGGAGGAGTTTCCATCTCATTGTTGTATCAACTTCTTCATCAAAATTTCCCACTTCCTGCTCTTTAGAAAGCTCTAAGAATACCTAATTAGGAGACAAAGAAGAAGGAAACAAGGAAGAGAGATTATCAAGTTGTTGGTCTTCCAAACGAATAGGAAAATGCATGCTGCTTTCATGTGAAATTTACCAGGATGATACAAAGTCAAACCAGTTGACTTACCTTCTCCAATGTGCACTGAGAGAGGCTGTATTCTTCCAGGTTAAAGTTATGCTTCACTGATGGAAAAAAAAAAAAGACTAGTATTAATAGTAGATGCTTATAATTTATTACCAAGAATTTTTTCAAAATCACAAATAATAAAAATGTAAATCATTAATATAAATAGATAAAGTTGAATAAGCAAATACTTGATATAAGGATGAAATAATGAAAGCCACACAGATTTAATGTAAATACATACTATATTAATATTGATGTTATCATTTTCTCATATTATGTTTCAGTAATATTTGTTTTGGTTTTGCATGCATATGTATTTGGAAGATACATATGTTCTTTGAAGAACTAATCATCGGTCAAAATATTGTTACACATGAGGAAGATCCTATCCCATCCTCTTTAAGAGAACTCAAAACTCCATTCATCCAGTTCATCTGTTATATCACCTCTCTGCTGGACTTCCCCACCAAAAAGTCTGTGTGACAGTTGTCACCAGATTCACATATCCATGTGTGCATACTTCACCATTTATACACTAAGAATCTGCTAGGTGTGAGGCACTCGTAGATGCCAGAAATAGAACAGTCAAGAAAATAGACAAATACTCCTGCCTTGATGTCGTTTGCATTTTAGTGGGAGGAATTAGTGACATTAAATACACAAACACTTAAATATATGATAAAGTTAATGATAGTGGCTTTAAAGAAAAATAAAGCTGATTAAAATAAATAGGGAGCACTAGGCACTCTTTTTTACCCGATAGTCAGAGAAGGCCACAGTAATCAGGTAATAATTGAACCGACGCCTGAAAATGGGAGGAAGAAGCCTGGATGTTTAGGAAGGAGAATTCCAGGAGGAAGGATTAGCAAGTACAAAGTCCTGAGGCAGGAGCTTACATGTCTGGCAGCATTTAGGAAGAACTAGAAAGTCATCTGTCTAGTGTGGAAGGAACAAAGCAGAGATATACATTATGACATATATTATGTCAAACATAATGAGCCAGGCATTGGTCTAGGTGCTTAAAATATTTACTCATTTAATCCTAACAACCTGGCCAAGTGGGCACTAACAGTATCCATCATTGTAGAGACGAACCATCTAGAGATGCAGGGATTGAGTACCTCACCCAACGTCACCCAGCTAGTAAGCAGCAGCCTGGGCTGAGAACCCAGAAAGATGGGCTCTAGAGTTTGAGTTCTTCACCATTATGCTGTGCTGAGAAACTACACCACGATGGTCTGCTGTTGAGAATGATGGGGTCGAAAGCAGAGAAAACGATGACAAGAGAGAGAGTGTGGACAATTTCAATTAGCAAGAGGAGTTACACACAATCCAGGGGACGGTCAAAGTTATCATTCAAATAGGAAGGCCAAATACACGTGCACAGACACAAGGAGGTTGATGGATGGATGGAAACATTCTCTGTTGCTTCTATTTTATTAGTGAAATACAAAGCAAGGGCATCTACTGAGGGAGAAAAGTGGGAAGGAGGTGGATATGTAAGGAAAGAAAGGGAGTAAAGTGATAATTTGGGACACTTGGTGTGAATGGATTATATATATGTAGGCAAAGCAGGCCACACACAGGGGCTTTTAGGGTGGGATGCCATGGCTTCACAGTAAGAACAGTCAAGCATGTGTGTTTCCTGCAGCTTCAGTCCCTGCACTGGAGATTAACCTCTTTAGAGTCAGATTAACCTAAATTGGGATTATATCACACCATTACCTACCATTAGGATTCTTAAAAATCATGCCCTACAGGCCTGTTTTAAGAAATTGTTACCCAATGAGCTTCCATTAAATTATTATTTTCGTGTGAGAATTCTTCAAAAGATTTATTTGAATATGGTGACTCTTACCTGCCTCTAATTTGTGAAAGGCCTGCGATAGAGGGTAAACGTCTGCCACGGGCAGCTTATAGGTTAACAAGGAGGAATACCTGAAAATAGGAAGATGTCGTATTCAATTCTGAGTTTCAAGGGGAGAAAATGAGCATCAGAATAAATATGGATATTACCAACAATTTTCTTCTAAAAATAAAAGTAATGCAAATTAATGTATGGCTTAAATATGAAATCACAGCATTGTTTTGAAATGATTTTTGGTATCTGGCTGTTGCAGACAGCTCTCCTGGTAATAACTCAGCATAATTATATATGTGCTCAGCTTATGCAAAACCTTTGCTTGTTGAAAATCTGGTATTCTGAACTATTCTCTTTGAGTAGTTCAAATTAGGTTGGCAATTAACCCAAAATAAGTGTTCATCTTTGTCATCAGAAAGCTAATTCATTGTTTTGTTTTTTTTAATGAATGAATTTTTTTCTTTATTTCTTACATTTCCAGCAATTCACATTACATTTACAATGGAAAATATAAACATTTAAACAAAAGTAAATTCAGGACTATTTTGTAAAACCATAAATAGTGGCAAATCTTGGAGATGGAGGTTGATATTGGCAAAAGATCTGTAGGGAAGACATATTTACTTTGAAGGCTTTCTAGGCCCTAGGGCCATCCAGAAGTAAGGAAATCGATAGAGCTGGGGCTGCCAATCAAAAAACCTCAGAATCTCCTTGATTCCCCCTCCTCCCAGAAGTCTAACTTGTAAAGAATAACATGAGGTTGGGAGAGTTGGAGTTAGCAGTAGAGGAAGGACATAAAATACTTTAACTAAATACTTCCCTGACCTCTAAGGAAGAGCTGTAATTGATTTGGGGCATCTTGCTTCTGTGTGCTACTTCTGGCTGTAAACCCTCATGCCCTATTCCCAAACAGGGGTTTGGTGCTCCCAGGTGGCACTAAGGTTGACCAGACGTCCAGGATTGGCCCTTTTCAGACCAGCCCCTGCTCTTTCTGTCTTATCATTTTCAATCTTCCCACCTATATCAAAACCGCTTCTCTGATTTGTGACACCAAACGTCTGGGAATGGGACAAAGTTACATGTTCTGATATCTATCTTAGAAAATTTAATTACATTTACACTGGGCTAAAATAAAATAGTAGCTTTTATGTCCTATTTTTTGATGTGCTTATCTCTCCACAGCAATTTCAAATTCAGTTTTTGCTCCACCTTCTTGCCCTCCCCCAAACAACATACAGACGTACACAAACACACACACACAAACACACACACACACAGATATGTGAGCATGCACACACACATACACACACCCCTTTCCAGTCTCCATTTTAAGGTATGAAAATTCCATTAAAGAGAGACTCTTTGATGACCTCAATTGCCATTTGTTTCCTATGGGGAAAATTCACCCTAAATATTTACATCTTTTACATTTTAAATATTTATATATGTTAAGCATTTATAAGGAGGCCCAGGAAGGACACCATCGTGGTCCTGTGTGGGTTTCAGTCATGAAAAGTTCCTTTCCCCAAGTCTTTCCAAGTCCCCCTCTGGAGCTGGGGATCAGCCTGGGATGGCCAAGGAGGGTGTGCCTGGGCTGCCCCGGAGGGACACAGCTTCCTGAGTATGTCTCAATCTCTTATAATCTGGAATACTGAACAAATCAGTTTCTGCGGTCCCTAACTTTTATTATGAAGTAAAATCACTATGAATTTCTCACACAGCTAAAAGGAAACCACTGAGTGGATAAAGCCTCTGTATTTCTTCATAATCAAAAGCCCCTCTCACCTTTCCTGCCCTGCTGCCTGTGGGAAAAGCTTCAGAATCTCAGTGTGGACCAAAGTCACTTGAGAAGGTTCCTTCACTTTCAGCTCTAGAATGTAATCCTTGCCAAGTTTGTTTTTCAGGTGTTGGATGGAGCCAATGCATCTATGGGCAAGAAAGAGAATATGTTGGAAAAAAAAATTGCCCTTAATTTTTTAATGTTATTCTTAAATTTCAAATGGAGAAGAAAAGGTGTCACCAAGGAAGCCAAACGGAAGGGCTCCAGCCACACAGGGATTTTGCCCTTTCCATGGGAAATCTCATGTTGGGCATCAAATGCAGGCTCTGGAAAGACACCCACCTAAGCCTTCCAGACACCAGGATGGCCACACGGTCACACAAGGCCTCTGCCTCAGCCAGATTATGAGTGGTCAGGAGGACACCCCGCTCTGTGTTTTTAACGACTGCCTGGATTGCCTGCCTGAAGTGAGCAAAAAAATTAACAGCATTTAAAATAACTAAGTGCAGAACAAAAACAAGATAAAATACAATATATGAATCACATTCAGATCCGAAATTCAAAAAAAATAGTGCCATGTAAGCACTGACTAGGTTTTTGATAACATAAAGAAAAATTATTAAATATTTTTAGATGTGCTAATCATATTGTAGTTGAGTTAAAAACTCTTTTAAGAGTTAACAAAACTCCTTATCTTCTGAAGATACCAACTGAAATATTGATAAATTAAAGAATATGCTGCTTTGTATTTCCTTCAAAATAATTGGAAGGTGGAGAAAGGAAGTAGGTGAAGATATAGATGAAAGGAGATTGGTTCTATTGATATCTGCTGAAACTTCTCCTTGGGAATAATGGATTCATAAGCGATTCTCTACGTTTGTATAAAATTGCCATAACAAAGTTTTTGTTAAAGTTGGAAAAGTATTAGACAGTGACAAATATGAAACTAGATTGAAGATTTTGTTATTCCAAAGGGTAAATCCTAGATGGGAAAGTAAGAAAAAGAATAAACCTGAGAAAAACTGGAGGAACTAATTTGACAGGTCACATTAAAAAGGAAAAAAAAATCGGAAAATTGTGTCAGGAAGTTAATAGTCTCCAAGGAAACAAAGTAGAAGGAAAAAAAGAGGAAACAGTTATAGACATCTCAATAATTAAAAGGCAAAATATTTTTCTATTTTAACAGTCCACATTAAAAACCTAAAACCCCAAGAAAATGTGAGGTTTTTTAAACCTGAATACCACGTGAACATCATGCAGATTAGATCATCTATTGGTTAAATATTTGTTTTCCTGATAATATAAATTATGTCCCCTGAATCAGGAACCAGTGGGTTTGAGGACTGATTTTCCAAGATCAGTTAAAATATGCAACATTCCCTAATGTGCATCTCGCAGCTCTGGGGTATAATGATGCTCACCACATTTGCTGCTGCCCTGTGGGGTCTATGCCCGTAGATGGTTCATCCAGGAGCAAGATAGGTGAGTTTCCCAGGAGGCTCAGCACAAAGCACAACTGCAATGCAGAAAAACACCCCTGTTTGCTGCCACACCACACCAGCTCTCCATAGAGCATCAGACACCACACATACCTTTCTCATGGTTCCTGTTGTTAATTTCTGCACAGGAACATTCAGCTGCTCATGCAGTTTGAAAGCACTCACTAATCTGATAGAAAAGAGAATGAGGACATCTGGTCAAGAGAAGGTTTTTGGAAAATCCAAGCACACAGAACAGTAACAGCATTGGAGGGAAGTTTAGCAATATTATTTTCAAAATCCTAACAATTTTAAAAAAGAGATTGATTTTGGAACATGAAAGATTTTTTTTTTTTTTTTACTTCATAAACAGTTTTAGGAAAAACTAGAATTCTGAATGAGAAACTGAGAATGGATGATTATTTCATGTCCAGGTTTTTTAAATTAGAAAATTGAAATGGATGATGACTTATGGTGATTCATTCACTTATTCCTTGTCAATTATTTTATACAATCATTTTTTAAAGATTTCTCATTCCTGCATTCAGGGATGCAGGAAGTCAGGTCTTGTCCCTCATCCCTGCTATGCCACTGACACTCTGGAAGGGTGGAGATATCATATTCACTCTCCGTTCTTTATTAGTGAATTCATCATCATTGCAACAGTCTCCCTGCATTCTGACACAAAGGAATCGCAGGTCCCGTCTGTACCTTGCGATGGCGAGTCTCGCATCCACTTTCCTGAGCCCCTTGACAGCAGCATACACCTCCAGGTGCTCCCTCGCCGTCAGCACGGGCCACAGCACGTTCTCCTGAGGGCAGTACCCCAGGTGGCCCAAAACTGAACTGCAGCCTTTCAGTTCCACCTAAAAAAATAAAAGAGCTTTAGAAAGGCATGCAGCCTTTTTTCCAATAGTGCAATTACTCCAGAAACTGACATATATAAACGCCTACATTGTTTAACCATCAAATAAATACTATAGAAATTACTTCATATATTTATTACAGAAAATGATTTAAAGTACTAATATAAAAGTATAGTTTTACATGCAAAGGAGAAAAGAGACCTAATAAGCTCAGGTAGTTCCTGAGAAACCGATGAGGAGAAGGTAATTGGTTTCTGGTAATATTCCAAGTCCTGTTATAAACACTTGATGCCCAGTAAAAATTTCAAGAGGGGTATAGTCTTACAAAGATGGACTCTGTATGTATCATGGAATTTCTGTTTGGGAAATGGAAACCATTTCCTCACTACCTCTCCAGCAGTTGGCTTTGTGATCCCAGATATCATTCTAATAGATGAACTTTTTCCAGCACCATTGGGTCCCAGCAATCCCAAAATTTCACCTGAAAGAAAGTATCAGACTATCAATATTGGAAGTGAAATGCTGAACAACATAAACCTTTTGCTCCAGTGAAATCTTCTAAGATCTCTGCACCCTTCAGTTACTACCATTTTGAGATTGATAACATATATGTAATCCATGTCACCAAAGCATGTTCTTTATTTTCTGTAATTATGCCAAAGGTTACGGCAAACCTTGTGAATTTGATGTCAATACATCTGTCCTTTCCCCCCGCCCCCAGATTACTTGTTTCAGTTGGAAATGTGCCCAATTGTTTTCCATAATAGATGGCTGATGCACTGAGTGTGTGTATGAATGATTGTCAAACTTGAGAAGTTAGGGATATATTCTTCATCCCAAATTCAACCACCTGTGTCCAAGTTACCATCATCTTTCATCCCAACTGATATAAAAGCCTCTGAACTTGTCCCCCCACAACCAAACTGACAAACAAACAATAGCCAATCTGTAATCTTTTCAAAATATAAATTAAATGTGACACAAGTCCACTAAAAACTCTCCAATGGTATTCTGCTAACTTGTACAAAACACAAACTCATTGCTGTTTTCAAAAGCTGTACCTAATCGGGCACTGCTCAGCTCTATAGCTTTATCCCTTCCATTTATGGATGCATCCAGTGGCCTCTTGGCTGAAGACCTTTCCAAATGTGCCTGAGTCCCTGCCCTCACTGTTTCCTCTGCCTGGATTCTCTTTGTCTAGTTCCTTCATAATTATATTTCCAGAGTCTAAAACACTCCCTGGCACACTAAAAAAAATATATATATATATTGAATAAATGAATGAATGCTTCAGCAAGTAAAACTGTGCCTATGACATAGATGTTCAATAGGTAGTTCTAAAAATAATGGTGAATTGTAAAAGGGATTATTACAGACCTTCTTGAACACAGAAAGAGATATTTCTTGCTGCTATTTTCTTCTTCCTCTTTGAAAAGCAACTTTTTTTCTGGCCTGCATATTCTTTGTGTAGACAGCTGGCAATTATAACAGGTTTCTAGAAGAGATGACAGCATGATTTTCCTCTTAAATTTCAGAGACTTTAGTTCTCTGCTGGAACCATTCATGCCTTATGTCATAAACCAAACCATATTTTGAGTTGAGAGTAATTCATGCTGCTAAATGTAATACCCTTTCATTAATGTAGAAAATATTTCTTGCTTCTAAATAGACTGAATTTCATGGAAGCAGCTCATTGTCTTGCCAGAAGAGGGATGGTTAACCTCATGGAACCATGTCAAATAGTCAGATAGAGTAACCCTTAAAATCTTAATCTCTATTTAGCATTCTTTGACAAATCTAACTTAAATTCTTTAACTCATGAGGTCTTGTTTGATCTTGCAATTACAGCCCTAATTATGAAAGCCCACTTTTCTCAAAAGAAAAATAAAACCATTAGGTTTTGTGTTCTTTTTAGCTTCTAGGACACTCCAAATAAGTGAAGTGCCTTGATTACGCAGGCACTTCTTTGGAGTGTCCTGGACGCATAATACAGAAATGCACCAAACTCCAAACTTTCAAAATGAAACCCAGTGTATCAAATCCTGTTCTTGACAGTTCTTGAATATCTCCACTAACATCCATTTTGCCCCTTGCTTTTTTACCTCATCTAAGATTGAAGTGGTCAGAGCAGTTGCTGTTCTTATTCTTTCTGCTTGAACATCTTCATCTTCATCTATGGGTTCTTCTGGATTTGGTTTAGCATCTCTACTTTGGGGGGAAATTCTACAGAGAAAATGAAATGTTTTACATGTGGTATTCTAACTGTTAAAAGATGTGTCAAAAATCAGCATTCCTATGATTTTACTACTGTCCTCTTCTCTAAAATGTAGGTGATGATGTGATGATGACTGTCAACATCACTTCTGCTTTTGCCAAGAACTCCTGTCCCACTAGCCAGAATCCCTTTCTTGGTGATGTTGCCATTCTTCCAGTAAGAATTTTTGACCCTTTCAAATCTATCAGCAGGTATTGCTCCTTTCTCTTTAAAATCCACGTCACTTTCATTTTCTCTACTCAGTCTGAGCCCATCTTCATCACACCAGATTTTTTTTCAACATCATTTACTGCTCACCCTTTCTACACCCTCCATTTTTAAAACACTCAACTATGTTGCTAAATCAATTCCTTCCCATCTTTTCTCTTCAAGGATGCACAATTATCTCGGAGGAGAGAATGGCATATTTGGGTGCTTACTAAATTTGGGATGGAGTGAAGGTTTCTTACAGCTGCTTACAGCCAGAACTCTGCCTGGGAGTTCTATCTCTTGGCAGTAAGGCAGCAATCCACCTTCCCTCATGACAATCAACATGTGCTTCCCTTGTAGATGTAAATCTGTATTAACAAGATGATAGCGCAGATACCATCTAAGAATGTTAAAATATGATATTAAGTATAAAGTTAAATTTCATCCCAACCTGAAAACAGGATCTTTTCGCATTCTTTTCTTTCCATATTTTAGTTCCATACATCTTAGAACAAAAATGAATAGCAAAGTCTGAAAGTAGGGCTACGAGCAAAGAAATACAGTTATATTTAGGCATAGGTTCACAAATATTATTTAAACATTTGAATTAAGTTGGTGGTATTTTGTTTTTGGGTAAATAGTTGTGAATCATTCTCATAAGTTGGTGGAGAAATGTAGCTATACATTCACAATCCAGGTTAGTGAAACCTGTCTCCTTTCTTCTTGCCACCCACATTCAGTTTGTAAGTAAATTCTATCTGCTCTATCTTCAAAATTATCTATAACCCAATTATTTCTCACCCCTACTCATGGTACTCCTACTCAGGCCTAGGTCATTATAATGTCTCACCTGGATGGTTGCAACCCCTTCCTACCTGGGCTATCTCTGCCCCTCTTGCTCTAAACATCTGTTCTGAACACAGTATCCAGAGCTACTTTTTTAATACATAAGTCTGAATTTACCACTGTGCTTAAAACCCTCCAATGACTCCTCCTCCATCACTCAGAGTAGAGTCAAAGCCTTTAGAGTAATCTAGATTACCCTGTGCAACACTTTCTCCTGGCCTCTCACTTTATCCCATGAATTCTGTGGCCATCTTTCTTATCACTCTTTTCCTTGGTCATTCAGTCAAAACCACACTGGCCTGGCTGACCCTGGATTGAGCCAGTGTCACTCTTACTACTTCCTACTGAAGTGCTCTTCTCGAAGCCTTTCCTAACCACCTGTCTGATACCACACATATAATCCATTTAGTTTATTATCCATCTCCTTCCACCAGAATATAAGCTCCATGAGGGCAGGGACTTCTGTCTTTATTTTCTCCTGTGCCTAGAAAAGTACTGACACATGGGATTCAAAGATAGTAGCTTCCTGCAGCCTAAATACACCAAAATAATCATTTTCCCTTTCACTTGTATTATTCAATTTTTGTCTTTTTATCTATTATTCAAAGAAAGTAAGTTATATTGCATCTCTATCTTTTACAAGCTCTCTCAAATTTAGAGGAGGGACAGTAAACAGGATAGGTAAACAAAAAATTAATTTGATATTAAATTTTGGACATATATAGCCAATCCAAGCATGTAAAAAGTAACTCTAAGGGTTAGAAACATGTCTGAAGGTAATTGCTTTATCAAGATCATATAAAAACATTTTTAAAGTGGCATATTTTGGACAAGATCAAATTGTTATAGTGAATGACAGTCATCCAAAAGAATGTGTGCTGAGGTGGAAAGGTCTTCTTACTATGAAGCAGACTAGAAAATCAGTGGCACTCAATTTGAAATTTGCCTCTGGAGATTCTCTGTAGTGCTGCTGGTCTCTCTGAAAAGACAAAACAAAACACACACACACACTAATGATAATTCATCTGCTTTATGATTTGCATTTAAATAATATAAAATTCACATACTGACTATTTTCCTTATCAAGCTCAATTTCTCTGTGTGCACTAGTGACAAAGTAATTCCCCACAGAGAAGGAGAACCTCCTACTCAACTCTTGCTGTCTCTCAATAAGCAAGTAGCCTATGTCTGTTGCTTTCTTCCAATTATTTTTTTAATTTGGTTTTAACATTTGCAGAAAGTCTACTGAAAGTATAGCAGAGAGAGGTGTTGGCACTGGTAAAATTTCTGGAGGTTGACAATATTTTTCTTAAGTGCCCCAGACAAGCCTTTTCAGAGCCCCTTCTTATCCCAATGGTGACTATTTGCCCATAATGATAATTAGTTCCAGCATGTTATTCTTTCTTCATCAATCAATTCATTCAGAAAGTTACTCATTCCTCCTAAATAATACATGACAGACCTAGATGAATGTATTTCACCTTGCAGGTCTACTTAGGAGGAAAATGCTTTAAGCAAAGGGATTCATTTCTAATCAAGAACTTCAGGCATTGCTCAGCCAATGGAGATGTATTTTTGCAAATGGAAGGCTTTTCTAGTTCGCCAAGGACATACCCGATTACGGAAGCCTTCTTTACTTTCCTTAAAGCCATTTCATCCAGGGTGGTACAGAGCTCCAAAAAGTGTGTTCTCCACTGAACTATCTTGCCCTGGCCTCATCGTATACTTTTCTCCACTTGAACCACATTCAGTTTCTTTAATGCCTCCTGGCTTTTCCTGATTTGGTGCCTTTGCTTTCTTCTGCAGAACATGCTTACCTCCTGTCCCATTAACTAATTCTTATTCATCCTTTAGCCATGTATTTAAATATGATGTCCCCAGAAGAATTGTCTGACTTGCTAGAACACACCAGCTGTGCTTTGTGTGTCCTCCCTTGGCCCTTTGCCCTTGTGCTTTGTAACCTTTAGGTTCCTTGTATTGACTTGAGTAAGTTCGGTTTGTCTTTGCCTCCACTAAGCTTTGGGAAAGTCAGGACTGTGCTATCTTGCTCATCGGGTGTCCCCAATTACTAGCACAGTGACTAACAGAGAATAGTATTTGATACATATTTTTGAATGATTGAATGGAATCGCATATAAGTTTATCCTCAGGGGCTAACAAATACCTGTCAAACCAGGCACATTTTTCCCCCAATCTGGCATTACCCATATTTGAATGGCATTTGACAATGCCTATATTTGGCAAAGTGAATAGGGCAAAAGTTTAAATGTTTTATTGAGATTTAATTTTGCATGTGATAAAATTCACTCATTCTGAGAGTAGAACTCAAGGATGTTTAGTAAGCTTACAGAGTTGTGCAAGCATCACCACAATTCCCCTTTTGAACATTTTCATCATCTCCCCAAAATCTCTTATGCCCATTTGCTGTTACTTCCCAGTTCCACTACTGTCTGTCTCTCTTGATCTGGGAAAAGCACTTTAATAAGCTACATATTCAAAATTAATGACACAGTTGGTAACATTTCTTACCATTTCCAAAAAAGTTTTAAATCCAAGCAAGGTATATGAAGGAACCAATACCATGGTGGTAATCAATATACTTAGGTCCAAATTATTGATTAAAGCAGTAACAAACATGGTGATGGAGGCCTACAAGGGAAGTTCAAATATATTGTATCAGACATATTCAACCCATTGGTATTTTGTAAAACATTTAAGATACAGGTGTTCTCATGATGTATATCATAATGTTCCTATACGCAGATATACTCATTTGGCAATGATAGTTTCTATGTTTAGAGAGAGTAGGGAAGAAGCCTTTGTTAACAAGAATACATATGATGCCCAATAGAAAATTCTTAATAAAGACTGGCGACTAAGGTGACGGCTAAAATGACCAAATAGACTTCTTGCCAGTGTATTATTAAATTTAATCCAAGACAAGAGGATAGAGGGATTACCTTTTTATAGCTAAGATAACAATATTGCTAATGAATAAAAACCTGTATATGTTGAAAGTTACATGGCTATCATAAAAAAATGAACAATCCATACTACTGTCTCTCAACCAGACTACTGTGGAGCTTTCTCATCGTCCTTCCTGCTCCATTTCTTCCCCATACCAAACAAAGGACTTTTCTGAGAGTGTGTATTTTTATTGTGATGGATTTATTTTATTTTATAAATTTTTATTGGCAAATGGGAAGGAATAAGGATAATTGTTTATTTTTTTGTTTTAAGAATCAATTGATCAGCCAAGTATGTATTGAGCATTACCCTTTGCCAGATCTTATTAATGTACCAATTATAATAAAAACAGAATCATAATTGCTAAATTCACTAAATATTACATAAATGCCAGGTTTTAATAATTTAGCAGGAATTATTTAATCCTCACAACTCCATAATGTAGATACTTTTATTATCTCTCCCCTTACAAATGAGAAATCTCGGGTTTACTCTAAGTCCTTTAGTTCACTTAGCTGACTTCCCTTATTCTACCAGACCTCCACATTTCTACAATCTTTCCTCTCTTCTCATCCACTGGAACAAGAGAGGAGTCTAAACTTTGACAGTGTGAGAGGTTACTCCAGGACTCAATGTGCTAAGATGTGCTACTATACCTCCACCACAGAGCATAATAGGCTGAAAAGGTACTTCCTTATCAGACAGGGGTCTGGGGTGCCCATGAAGCACCACAACCTTGGAGGGACGGAAGTCCACTGGACTCTAGAAACAAATTAACTGCTGACTGTGGCTTCACTCAATGATGGAGAGACATCACCTGCACTGTCGTTCCAAATAGATCCCAGATCACCAAAGGACAACTGCACTGAATATCAACATACTATACCTTCTGACATACGATCCTGTGAGGAGTAAACAAATTACCTCAGTCCTAGGACTAGCTTGGTTTAAGTTGATACTAGCTGTACGATGAAAGACATATTCTCACAACATATATTTTCAATACATATTTAGAAATAAATTATAAGTTATCTGTATGCAAATGCAAATTTTAGTGCAAACTGCTTGAGGACTTTGTGAAGAGGTATAATTTTGAAACTTTTTAGCCTACTGAAATCAAGATGTGTTAATCAGCACAAGTTTTGAATCAGTATTTCCAACCATGCTACTGTCTCATATTTTTTAACATAAGGAATGACATAAGGTCTGAGACTCAAGTTTATTCCTGAGCCTGTCACTATTCTTCGTGTTTTTCTGAGGAAGTTACTTAATTCTTTCCTCTATTGAAGTAGGAAATTAAGAAAATAACAGAATAATAGTATAAGTAATAATAGTAAAAATTATAGTAATAGTAAGAAAAATGACAATGACTCATGGAATGAATTGCTGTATTAACCAAGGCTGAAAAGAATTTAAGTGGCCTCCCTCCCAGAAGTTAAAGTTAAGAGAGAATACTGTCTGTACCAAGAAACACTAACCATATCTCTTTCCCACAAATTTGTAAGTTCTGTAAGTCCCTGTTGTTCTTGCTGTGCAGCTGCAAGGTCACGAGATAAATAAGTGAAAGTTGAGTTGCAACTCATATTTTTCCTAAGATGTAAGTCATGGCATAAATGACTAACAGTGTTTGTTCTCGCTTCTGCAAACCTGCTTCCTGCTTCACATATTTCCCACCCCAAAATGCTTAAAAGTTGCTCACTTTCTTTGTTCGGGGCTCAGACTTTCAGGACGCATGTCCGCTGAGCCGAAACACACCTAAAATAAAAGCTCTCCTGCATCCCGATCAATCTCTCTGTTTCCTTAATTTCCTGCAACACTATAAAATTAGGTAAATCATACTAGACAATTTCAAATTTCTTTCAAGTCTGACATTCCACCATTCTAGAAATATGTAGATTCCTTCCAGTGACAGAAAAATGAAATAAATAAATAAATACACTGAAATAGATAAGCATAAGAAGGGCAAAGGAAAAATAATCGGAAATTACAAATACACAAATACATATTTTACTATTACACTGCGGTGTAATTTTGTTTTTACATTTTGGACAGTCTTTATTTTACAAAACATACCTTGCCTCTGGAATATTGTCTTGCCTTATCTGAATCCATAACAACTTAAGCATAAATGGCAGCAAAGGATAAAAGGCATGCAATCATATGTGTATGTGTTTTGATTTTAAAAATAGTGTTTTTCAGTGTCATGTTTGATTTTCTGCTGTGATCTTTTATTTGTGACAATTTTTTTCAAATCACAGTGAGAACACCTTAATCACCACCTTAGTCCACAAGCCTAAGAAGCAGTTCTGCATTATCATCTTACTTTAGAAAGAACAAAATTAAATTTCTTCTTTTGTTCATCTATTCACTTGCTGCCATATATACAAGGCAAATTCATAATATGATAATGCAGATTCTGCCTTCTGCTGTGTTGTGAAGGAAAATTGCTCTCACTGGACTCTCACTCCTTACTCCACAATGGGAAAATGGTTTCTGCTTTCTAAGTCTAGAGATGAAACTTATTGTTTTGGAAGATTCTGGCATATTAAGTTCTAGAAGGTCTGTCACAGTCTATGGAATTGATGCGCAGGTTTGAACTCCTGGAACTTGGCTGAGAAAATCTTGTCTATAATCTTTTCCAACCCAAAGCATCACTACAGAGCCTGCAGCCGTGAGGAAATCAAATCAGATCAGCTTCTCCACTAAAAGCTAAAAGGCAAGGGCTGAGGTATGTTTCTACCACTGATGTTGAACGCTCACCTTGTCTGAAAAATTTCCAGCTCTATACAAACTGGGATAAGTTGTGAGTATATGGTAACCAGGGGCAACTATTTCGTGAGGCACAAAGCAAAAAAATGTGTCCATCTAGATGTGCATTTGTTCCAGTTTGTAATGATTTCTGTGTAATAAGGGTCAACACAAAGAGTGGCAAAAGCCACAGAAGGAACCATGATTCTAGTACGCTGTTTACCTAGGACTGAAGCACAAGCTGCTGAAAGAGGGTCTATGAGGGGCACTCACTAGGGCACCAGCAGCATCACTCAGGCTGGCAGGAGCAGACCCAAGTGCAACCATGTTGGACAATAACCCTGACATTTCTTGGCTATCACCTCCAAGGTAGACTTCATTCAGAGCTAAAACTACTGGCAAACACAAAGAATGAATGTGAATTCTTTGTTCATCTTTGCCAGACAGATGCAAGAGTGCTGGCTGAAAAGAAACCAACTGAGTGTCAGTAAGACTCTCTTCTACAGACATCTGATCTAGCACCTGGGATTACCCTGGACATGGCAGTAAGTCTGTTGGCTGAACAAAAAATAGTCTCCATGGAAAGGATAAATGGAAAGACCTTTGGTGCACCAAATCCTCATGGCTGCCTGAAAGCCTGAGTAAGGTAACCCTAATGTTCTTTCTGTAGCTTCTGTACTTCCACTGGATTGTGCTGATGGTGGTGAGAGATATAGTTATAGACACTACTTGCTGAATACAAAGAAATACAACCCAGAGAAGTCAAACCCAAGTGCTGTCCACTGAGAAGGAACAATAGCTACCTGCTGGCCAAAAGAGTCCCAGACTAATTTCTTGTAGAAGTCAGCAGGTGATATAGGTTGGTGCAAAAGCAATTGCAGTTTTGACATTACTTTAAATAGCCAAAAGAACACAATTGCTTTTGCACCGATCTAACATTAAATATATCATTTCTTACAGATGATCTTTGGTTGGGTTCTTCTCATGGGTTCAAGATTCCCATTCCAAGAGTTGAGAGCTGTTTTCCAGACAGACATTCAATCACCAGTTGAGGATATCAGTTAATGGAGGCCTGAAGTGTAGGACCCAAGGCACCCTGGTGTCTCTAGAGTTTCAGCAAACATTTCCAGCAACGTTTTCCGTGATCTTGGACAAGCTCTTTACTCTTATACTAATAAGTAACCTGGCATAAGTATAAAACATCTTTGGTATCTGAAACTATCAGCAGCTAAGGTTAAAAGAGGCCTTCTTGAAGACCGTAGAGATGGGTTGTACTGTCAACTGTCAGGAAGCCAATTTTCTAGTGTTGGCAGGAAGCCCTGTATTCTGAAGGAGACATAAACTCAACAGGATGTTTTAGACGTCAGGTCTTCTGTAAGATTCTCCATAACTTCTGTTCAATGGGTAGCACCTGATTTCTTTAGAAATATTATTGATTCAGTAACAGTGTTGCACTTCCCTCTCTTTTATATGGTGCAATTTTAAAGTATTATTAATTTTCCCTACTGCTTAAGGCAGACATCTGTATTTAAGATTACATCGGAAGTTTAAAAAATAACTCTATTTTTCTATTTGTATGTATGTATATGTACTTACAAAAAAGAAGTAAAATGACCAAAGGGCACTGTTTTTTCTCCTTTTGCGAAAAATAAATGATATCATATATATCAAGAAGACAAGAGAAGCTGCATAACCGGGAGTAACTATAACCTGAGGATAATACAAATAATAACACAGTCAAAAAATAAAATATTACTGAGGAAAAAATTAGATTACAAATTCTAAAACACATTTTATCATACATTTTATCATACAAATATCTAAAACACATTTATATCATACATAAAACTTTCCATGTTTTATGTTTTGGTTTATTAGAAAATACGAATTAAAACATCTTAACTACATAAATCAACAATGTTAAAATTTATTATTAATTACTTTATGAAATTTGGTTTATGTACTGTGTTACTTACGAAAGCAAACACAATTTGGCTTGTAATAAGAAGGTACTGCATGTTTTCTATGTAGAAAATTAAATACATTACAAGGAGAATTAAAATGAAGACGCTGACGTCCACTAGTGCCTGCCCACACCAGTAAGCAGAAGTGTAGAGGCCTGAAATCCATAGCTGGGACTTAGCATTTTTCTGATTAAAAAAGAAAAAGAAAGAAATGTATATAGATTCAATTAAAATGCAAATCTAAAATAAACACAAACACATTGGAAGAAATTTTAAGATAAATAAAATCTAATCTTCTAACATTAAAAAAAAATTATGCATATACTGCTTAGTAACCTGAGGCTTATAGAGCCAGTTCCATGGTTTACCAGTTGTCTATTTAAAAAAAAAAAGAAAGTACAGTGTGATAGGTTTGACTCGCAACACTACTTTAGCTCCTGCATAATGAATAGAAAAGTAATCTCATAATGTTCAAGGCATTAAACTCTATAAAAACAAGTATTGGCCAGCATGGTGGCTCAAGCCTGTAATACCAGCACTTTGGGAGGCTGAGGTGGGTGGATCACAAGGTCAGGAGATTGAGGCCATTCTGGCTAACATGGTGAAAGCCCATTTCTACAAAAAATACAAAAATTAGTTGGGCGTGGTGGTGCAAGCCTGTAATCCTGTCTACTCAGGAGGCTGAGGCAGGAGAGCTGCTTGAACCCAGGAGGCTGAGGTTGCAGTGAACCGAGATTGTGCCACTCCACTCCAGCCTGGGCAATAGAGTGAGACTCCATCTTAAAAAAAGATGTATTATTTTGTGACCTGGAGGACATAATACATTTACCTTTGCCTAAATATCTTGGAGAGTTTCTAGGTCAGGATGGTGAACACTGATATATGTAACTGTTTTGTCTGAATAATGGGCATAATTGAATACAAATATAACATAAAATTGCAATTTCCAGAGTGGAAAAGGAATTCAAGTCTTAAATTTGGCCTTCAATTTCAACATCAATGATTTCCTTCTTGTGGTTGGGAAATAATGTGGTCAAAAGATTTATAATATTTCCCTTTGAAGGTTTAGACTAATTGGAGTCTCTGAAAAATCATTACTTTTCAGGTGACATTGGAATAAAAAAGCATTTTGAGTTTTTATAAGTAAATTATCTGACTTGCTAAGAATAAGGTTTAGCTACAATATCTAAATTAAACATACATTCAAACGTTTTTCTCAGAAAACATTTTGAACACATAGCATTCAAAATACAGATATTGAAATTCCTGAAATTTCTTCTTTTCCCTGCTTTTCTTACCTTGTAATCACTGATGCTGCCCATGGTGATGTAAGGAGAAATGCTACATAGAACCAAAAATAAGAAAAAGGAACCATCCGGCAGCCCAGTCCAGAATCCTATGTGGCTCTGAAAATATAAAGCATAGCTTAAACTAGTGAATATTTGTTAAGTGAAACAAATAATTATAGCCACAAAAATGCACTTTTTTGAAATGTTGAAAAATCAAAGTAAATATGTAGCTCATCACCATCGATGCACAGAGGTGGGAAGGAAAATGACTCTGATCTTCAACTCAAAGAACAAAGAGAAGTCAAAAAGTCATTTAGGACCTATTTCTGGGGATATTTTCAAAAGAATTGAAAGCAAGCTCTCGAAGAGACACCCACACATTCATCATATTCACACCAACAATACTCACAGGGGGAAGTAACCCAAAAGTCCAAATTAATGGACGAACAAAATGTGTATGTATATACAAACAATGGAATACTATTCAACCTTGACAAGGATCACCTGAGGTCAGGAGTCCGAACCAGCCTGACCAACATAGTGAAACCTATCTCTACTAAAAATACAAATTCGGCCAGGCGTGGTGCATGCCTGTAATCCCAGCTACTTGGGGGGCTGAGGCAGGAGAATCGCTTGAATCCGGGGGGCAGAGGTTGCAGTGAGCAGAGATCACCCCATTGCACTCCAGCCTGGGCAACAAGAGCAAAACTCCTTCTCAAAAAAAAAAAAAAAAAAAAAAAAAAGGAAGGAAATCCTGTCACATGCTACAACGTAGACGAAACTGGAAAACATGCTAAGTGAAATAAACCAGTTACCAAAAGACAAATATTCCACTTATATAAGGTATGTAAACTAGTAATATTCATAGAAACCAAGTAGGATGGTGGTTTCTAGGGGATAGGGGGAGGGGGAAATGTTTAATGGGCGTCGAGTTTCAATTCCGCAAGATGGAAAAGTTCTGGAGATGCATTTCACAACAGTGTGAGTAGACTTAATACTACTCAACTGTACACTTGCAAACAGCTGAAATGGTCAATTTTATATCATGCATTATTACCACAACACAAACATAATAATTCAGAAGTTAGGACCTTTGATGAACACATAATTCAGGCCTGAGCAGCATGTCTTTCTGGGCAAACCCAGAGATGGAAACCTCAGTAGCTGGGTGGATGTGTTCTGAAGCACAGAACTAAAAAGAAAACTTGTTGCTGCTTGTCTTAACTTCAGGGAAAGGAACTTTAAATCGCTGCCCCCAAATCAGCATCCACTCGAGGCTAGGCCAAGTGGCCACTCAAGCAGCATCTAGGACCACCTCATGGATATAATTAGAGGATAGCCACATAAGCCTGTCTCAGAATAATTCTGTAATTCTTTAACTTTATTTAAGGTTTTGAGGGCTATGTCTGCAAATTCCATTTTTCATCATAGGAATGAGGCATGAAAGGTGTGTGCCATGGGGAAGTGGGAGTGGGGAACAGGTTCCTAATAGAGTGGCTATAGACTTCAGTCCATTTTGATCCTGAGCAAACACAATGGCATTAGGAAGCTAATAATTCAGAAGTTAGGACCTCTGATGAACACATAATTCAGGCCTGAGCAGCATGTCTTTCTGAGCAAACGCAGAGATGGAAACCTCAGTAGCTGGGTGGATGTGTTCTTTGGAAGGATAGCAGCATAAGCCTGTCTCAAAATAATTCTGCAATGAGACAGGCTTATGCTGCTATCCTTCCAAAGAGGAAGGGTAATCACTGTCTCTTTCTGCTACTCCTCTGGTTCCACTTTCTGGAGAATTCCCTTCAGACACCCCTTCCCTCAAGTCACCCTGTGCAGCAGACCCATTAACGTGATCAGTTGTTCATACTCAACTCACAGAGGTATATGTCTGTCACGAACATCTTAAGTACTGTATATTTCATCCCCATCGTCCCCATGGCTTGCAGAAAATCTGCGCTTGCATATTCTCCCAGCACCACTGGTTCACTGATTCAGTGAAGCCAAAACTGAACTTCACACTTTTGTCACACAATGGACTTCACTTTGGATGGCTTCATTTCTAATCCTGCTTCTTGATGTTTTAAACTTCTGGTGTGAAACAGAGTCAGCTTTGAGAGACCCCTGTTGGTATCAGGCAGGGTCTAACCAGAAAACCGTGACTATGTTAAGTACTTAGAGTGCAATTCCTTAATGACATGGTTAGGTGGGTGATGAGCATCCCACAAGGACGGTGAAGTGAGAAGCAAGCCATTGTTGCTCCTGGGCTGCAGGAACAACAGAAGGAGGTGATGTGACTGGAGCCCAGCGTAGGGGGTCCTCTGCTTTTCTGTCTCCCACCACTGCTTTCTGGTGTCTAAACTGTCTGAAGCCAGACTACAGCCAACTGACACAGAATCCAATGCAGCCTGTCCCTCGCAACATAGAGCAACTATGAGTAGGTGAAGAAATAAATCAACAGATAGCCTCAGAACTGGCAGATTCCCCTTCATATTAGTCTGTCTACTACACATTTAGTCGATGGAGGGTCCACTAACTAATTATAATAGATTTATAAGTAACCAGGGTTACAAGTGCTCCTGATTTCCAAGTCAGTGTTTTCTTGCTTCTGTTTCTCTCTCTTATACACTTCCACAATCAAGTATGTACAACTTTTCAAAACATTCCCTAGAAGACTGACAAAATATTGAAAAGTATTCCCTCATGATAATTATCTGATAACTTGGCAAGAAAAAGAAATCCTGTTTTGTTTGCTACAACTCATTTAAAATATTAGGACAAAATAATAATTTTCAGCCTTAACAATCACTTGTAGATATTTAAAAGCTAAAGAGAGAAAACATAGGCTATTTGTCCAATTCTTAATTGTTTAGACTCAGTAAATCCAATACTTACAAGAGGAAATGGGCTTGACTCAATTTGAATATGTTGTGTGTGATTAAGCATTTGAAGTAGCCCATTGCTGATAATATTCATAAGAATCGGAAAACAGTGCAATCTCTTGGTATTACACACAACTGAAAATCTATAATCCTTAAAACAGAAATAAATAAATAATGTTAATACTAAATTCTTAAAGAACAAAGGCAAGGTTTATGTATAAAAGATCCTAACAGTGCCACATCCTTGCTGTGTGTCCATCTTCAAGTTAACGAAACTTTCTGAGCTTTACCTTCCTCATCTATGAAAAGGAGATACTAAATGGGTTGTTGCAGGGCTTAAATGACACTCTATTTATGTACATTAAGCGCTAGCATGGAGTCAGCATACAATCAATATGAATTTTTATTAGTATTACTAATTTTAGATAATTTTGTCTTCAATTTGCTGATGGGGAAATTTCAGTTAGTGGAGTTTAAAAGTCTCCCTGACAAGGAGACCTTGTCAGTTTATGATGAAGAAGCAAAGGAAGATCGGGTATGGTGGCTCATACCTGTAATCTTAGCACTTTGGGAGGCCAAGGCGGGCAGATCACTTGAGGTCAAGAGTTCGAGACCAGCCTGGCCAACATAGCAAAACTCCATCTTTACTACAAAATACAAAAATTAGCCAGGTGTGGTGGCACATGTCTGTAATCCCAGCTACTCGGGAGGCTGAGGCAGAAGAATCACTTAAACTCGGAAGGTGAAGGTTGTAGTGAGCCGATCTCATACCACTGCACTCCAGTCTGGGCAACAGAGTGAGACTCTGTCTCAAAAAAAAAAAAAAAAAAAAAAAGGCAGCAGCAGCAAAGGAACACTGGCCTTCTGGACAGGAGATAAGTATGGAGTTCATTAAATATTCATGCTTACCCTGCCAAAGAAGCATTTCCCCACTTCCTAAAGCAATCTTTATGTTTATGTACTTCATGTTTAGGAAAATGTTCATGCGTCCACTAGGAGGTTTATTGTTTAAATCTCACCACTAGTTCATATAGTAAATATGTGAGGTAGGTAACATAGTAACTGACAAAGTAATTTCCCAAAACTGGCACAAAGGGATTACATTTTTTATAGCATATTTAGTTTACACAGAACTGAATTCAGTAATACATCTTCAAAGGCTTTTCTTTTTAAAAAGTTTACTTTGTAGCAAGAAATAAAGAGGTAGCTTCACTTAATTAGGCCCCTTGCTTTTATTAGAATGCAAATAAGACTGAAGAGTTCTTAAGATTAAGACGTATTTTGAAGCCGAGCATGGTGACTTAGGCCTGTAATCCCAGCATTTTGGGAGGCCAAGGCAGGAGGATCACCCGAGGTCAGGAGTTTGAGATCAGCCTGGCCAACATGATGAAACCCCCTCTCTACCAAATATACAAAAACTAGTTGGGCATGGTGGTGCCTGCCCATAGTCCCAGCTACTCTGGAGGCTGAGGCAGGAGAGTCACTTGAACCTGGGAGGCAGAGGTGTAGTGAGCCGAGATCGTGCCACTGCGCTCCAGCCTGGGTAACAGAGCAAGACTCTGTCTCAAAAAAAGTATTTTCAATAGTCTTGTTCTCTGATGAATCTCTATGGCTTGACTCTTTTACCCAAATTCACATATGCTAAGGTAGCAGATCGAGAATAATTTTTTCTCAGGGATTTCATGTAGATATTATAGTATCTAATGTATTTTCTCAATATATAAAAACAAACATTATTCAGGTAGTTAGCTACTGAATAAAATTCCTTAGATCCATAATTATATTGATTGATAATTATAAGCTATAACATTTTTATTGAGTTTAAACAATACAATTAAATTTAGATCCTTTCAAATGTAAAAATTATCTAATTCAAAACAAAGCTAAGATAGAAAATGTTTTACAAAAACTTGGGTAAACTTCACAGTTTATTAAATAACAACCCAGAATGGTTTTTCTGAGTCAAGTTGCTGTATACTAGCACTAATTTTCTGCAGTTTTAAAACAACTAAAATGTAGTACTTTTTGCTTATTTTCATAAAAGCAAAAAGGCAAACATACCTTTTGTTTACCAGAAACTATGATCGCTCCATTGTATGAGAGGCCATCAGTACCATTTCTGTTTTCAAAGTCATCTACTTCCAAAAGTATATTTTGATGCTTCAGTGATTTTATAAAATCTTCAATATTTGATTCTAATATGAAGTTAATAAGAGAAGGCCATAGAAAAGTAAGAAAACACATATCAAACTTTTAAAATATATCATACACATGACTAAAGTTAGTATTTATGGAATACTATGTATAAATATTTCTTTGGGTATCACAATAATAATATTGACCCACACTCTACCATCTTCTTTAGCAAATTTTATACCACAATGAATTCGCTTTATAAATCTGTTTAATGCAAATTAACATGTAATCATAAAAATAAGCTAATTCTATTGTATGACTTTTGGTAAACAACAACAACAACAACAACATTTGAATTGAATAATCTGTGGAGATACAATAATTTTATGAGGAGTACTTCAGATTGTCCAGCCTATAACAGCCAATGATAACACTCTTCTCTCTCCCTTGTTCTTCTTCCAAAGAATGGACAAGTAAATATATATGTGTCTGTATAACACATACATATGTTTTACTTTGTTTTAAACATTTACATACATATTACATACATGTATATTGTATAAATATAATCTTTCTTAGGAAGTGAAAGAGGATGTCATCATCAGATTAGGGTTTTGGATATGACCCTAAAGAAGAAAGCAGATGAGAACGTCTGACCGCGAAATATGAGCTGAGAAAAATTCACAGCCTAGAGCACACCGGAGCAAACAACTGAAGGTAAAACCAATTTCCAGGATACCTGAACTCAGAGTGGATGAATGCAAGAGGGTAAGGTGGGCTCTGAAGCTACAGTCAGGGTCGTGAACTATACCTGAAAAAAGATGACCTGCCAGGCCCCTCCCCACATTCGGCACAGAACACACAGTAGCCGCAGTTGTCCTCAGGGTAAGAGTCCCATATTTACTTACTAAGAGACATTATCTGAGGAGCACAGCTGGGCAAACCTGATGTAACTGCAGACAATAATTCGTGCAAGATGGAATGAATAAGAGGATAAGAAGGATTTTATTTATTTATTTATTCATTTATTTTGCCTTTGAAATGGGAGTTTATAGTGGGCTCTGGGACTGGAAAAATAAGGTCAAACCTTAGATGAATTAGGATCCCTCCACCAAGTGATACAGGGACATGCACATAGAAAATAAGCTTTCCATACACCTTGAGCAGCCACACACCCCACTCCACCTCCAGTCACTTGAGGTGCAGTGCCATATACTGACCCACATCCACTTAGGGAGACAGGGATTCTCACATTAAAAGATAAACATGTTACCAATAATTGTCAGATTTTGAGAAAGGAGGAACAAAATGGCACAGAAGCTTCCAACTTAAACCATAAAATACCTAAGTACGGAGGCAAAAAAATAAATAAATTAACACAAGTCCACTGTCCTCAAGAGTGACCAAAGAGGAAAAGAGAGACCTGATTTACTTATCTTACGAGCTCATAGGTAAAGAAACCTTTCTAGATCTCGGAAATTAAACGTACAATTAGCATTTAAGGTAGTGAGGTGAATAAAATTTACTTTCCAAAACCCAAATGGAAAACAAGAAGAATGAGAAACGGAAAGGAAAAGACCATCTTTGTTTAAAGACCATACACTGCAGGCCTGAATCGCAAATCCATGGGAAAATCAAATGAGTGAGGAACTCGGCAAGGGAAGACTCTTACTGTAATTTTTTTTTTTTTTTTTTTTTAACGTCTGAGGTACTAACATAAAAGTTCCTTCTTCAAAGTTAATTAAGTGGTTAGAAAAAAAATATATATATATATATACCGGCTGGGCACAGTGGCTCACATCTATAATCTCAGCACTTTGGGAAGCCAAGGAGGGCAGATCACTTGAGGCCAGGAGTTCAAGACCAGCCTGGTCAACACGGCAAAATCCCATTTCTACTAAAACTACAAGGAAAAAAAATTAGTCAGACGTGATGGCACACGCCTGTAATCCCAGCTACTCAGGAGGCTGAGGCAGGAGAATCGCTTGAACCTGGCAGGTGGAGGTTGCATTGAACCGAGATCGCACCACTGCACTCCAGCCTGGGCAACAGAGCAAGACTCTGTCTCAAAACAAAACAAAAACAAAACCAACTACCCATTGTGTGGGATAACAAAATAAGGCGTCTTCCTGTATCTTGTACTTAATGAAGGGGCATGGGGGATAGAAAGTCCATCTTCACATGGTGACCAGTGTGTGTTGTCTTTGTGGTATAGGTTAGGCTGCTGTGTAACAAAGTGATCTCAAAATAGAATGGGTGCGCCAATATAGAAATGTATTTGTCACGTAATAGCTTAGTGTAGTCAGGTAGATAGACATCTTTACTCTTCCAGGTTATACAGTGACCCAAGTTCTTTTTCTCTTGTCCTCATCATCCCTGGCATCTCCAAAATCAGAGTAAATATGCACTGTTCCTCATAAGGTGTTTTCTATAAATGAAGTTTAAATACCCATTTTCTTCTCTTATGATTTACTTTCCCCTCCTCCTGTGCTATTCAACAATAAAAATAACTTATTTCTGGATTTAAATTTTATTTTTCTTTTCACCTGTGTTATTGATGATCAACAGGCTGGTACGGGGTTCCTGGGGAAGTTGTCCAGGAGACAGAAAATACAATTCGGTTTTAAATTCCCAATCGATCTTTTCATTTAACATAGCATATATTATATTTTCGACAATCAAAGGGAACACTGCGATTCCAAATACCAATAATCTAAACAATAAAGAAACATTAGCATATGAATCTCTAGGAATTTTATTTATTTAGTAAGACATTCCACAAGTATTTGTTGAGTGCCAAGCCTGCCTTATGCCTATCATGATTTGGTACTAAAATTCTGAAGGTAATACCCTAGCATGCTACACAGTACCAGAAGGTATTACTATATAAACACCAGGTTATGAAACCATGAAAACAAAACACACCTGCATGTATAAGCCTAATCGAGTGTGAACATTCAAGTATTCCCACTGTCAGAAAACTTAAATGCTGAATTTGTCCACCCCGTGGCAGGAATGTCAGATACTGTGTTCAAAATTATCTTCTGGTTTGAACCTCTTTTGACACTCATGACCTAACAAAACCACAGTACTCTGCTACTCACAGGGTCAATAACACTTTCGTTTGACGTTTCAACTTTAAGAAACGGAGCCGTGCCATGGCAAAGACTTGCATTCTCCAGAGGTGCATGTCACTCACAGCTGTCTGCATTTCAGAGAAGGAAGAGTGAGCCAGCTCCATTTCATTGAGGCTTTCAGAGTCTCTTATCATCTCCACTTGTTCGAAATCTATATACACACACACACAAACACACATATTATAATATTAATGCCATCCTGGAGGCATCACAGATTTTCCTTAGTAATATTAAAAACAGTATTACATGGCCAGGCGTGGTGGCTTACGCCTGTAATCCCAGCACTCTGGAAGGCTGAGGTGGGCAGATCACCTGAGGTCAGGATTTCAAGACCAGCCTGGTCAACATGGCGAAATCCTGTCTCTACCAAAAATACAAAACTTAGCCGGGCCTGGTGGCGGGCGCCTGTAATCCCAGCTCCTCAGGAGGCTGAGGTAGGAGAATCGCTTGAACCTGGGAGGCAGAGGTTGCTGTGAGCCGAGATTGTGCCACTGCACTCTGGCCTAGGAGACAGAGCAAGATTCTGTCTCAAAAAAAAAAAAAAGTTTTACATTTGTTTTATTTTTATAACCAATTCAAAGGAATTATTTAGACATCGTTTTTCAATATTTATTAAGTTTATACTTCACCACTGCCATCTATATTTTCTTCCTATAGTTAAGTTTGTAATTACCAATGGTGATAAAAAAGTAAAAGTTTAAATCAAATAAAGTTTTAGATTGCTTGTGGTTACAGTGCAAACAATATAAGAAGCATGTTATGATGCCCATATTCTATACTCAGTGAGAAAATATGCTGAATTCATACCAAAAGAATAATTCACAAAAATGGTGATCTCATTGTGCCCAATATTTGAAAAGCAAAGAAATTCCCAAGAGTATCATTACTTGGAGGGATTTTTAAGAAATCTTCTGCATAAAAATATCTAATCATTACCACCTAAATATCTACTACTAAGGTATCAATCATTTAGTAGTATAGGGGAAAGATCATCAGCTCTGAACTGCCAGATCTGTACATGAGTCTTACATCTGTGATCGGGGAAAATCACTTAACTGCTCACAGGTCTGATTTTCTCATTTGTAAACCAATGCCAATGACACTTCTTGGAAAGGTTATTATAGGAAGATAATGTTGAAGGCATATATATCAATGTATATCCATACATTAAGCATAAGAGGAGCTCCATAATGACAATGATTTATTATCACCCATTAAAATATACAAGAGTGGATGCTGAGAATTCTCCCCACTAAGACCTTAGTGGAATTTTGTATATTAACAAGATAAGAGCAATTTTTATCTTAAAAAAAAATCTGTTCAGACCTCATTCCCCTAATTAAGAGCCTTTCACAGCCTGAAGGTATCTAAGAAGCAGGGAACATCTGAGGATAGGAAATAGTTTCCAAAAGGAAACTTGGTAGACTCCATGAAGGGATCTGTGATCAGTCGTAGTAATGATGCTAAGAAATAATGACAGCCCATCTCAAACGGCAGAGCCAAATTTGGAATGAAATCACATTTCTCAGTGTGAATCACCCACAAGAAATAATAAATACTAAATTGACACATGATCATTTGGGAATTGGTTTTCTGTGAATTACACAAATGGCTTTACCTTGTTCGATAGTTGACTGTCCTTCCAGTTTCATAAAGATTTCATTTAGAGTTGACATGGAAATGTCATAACCTGTCACTCCCTGGTCAGAACACTTATCCAGATTACTGAAAAGATCTAAGGCAAAAAATATGAATAGATACTTGGAAAAACCACATTGAGAACTAAACCAAGTAAATTAATACTTATTTAAAAGATGATACATAATATTGTTAAGAAAATTATGTCTTTGGAGTATCACAGTAGTCAAAAGCAAAAATTCATGAGAATCCTCTCCTTCTCTGAAATAACTAAGGAAGACCTCTTCCTCCATCCTCAAACTGTCTCACTTCATCTTCCATTCTCAGTTTATGAGCTTCCTGTAGATTTCTCTGCAGAAATCTGAACAATCAGAAAGACCATTATCTTCTCACCTCCACACTACAAACCCACGTATATCTCTACCTATATTCTGGGTCTTCTTTCTGTATAAGTCTTTCAATGGTTTCTCAATGCATTTAAAATAAAAATCAAAGTCAATAACACAACCTCTGAAGCTCTGAAAGAGCCTGTCTCCATCTATCCATACAACCTTACCCACCTCCATTTGCCATTCTGTTCCCTCACTCATTGCCCTCCAGACATCCTCCTTTCCCCTAGACTTGGAGTGTTCTTGACCATTTTCTTCTTGTGGCCTTCAGTGGCCACTCTATATAAACCTCAGCCAGACACCAGTCATCACTCTAACTCACTGGTCTTGTTTATTATTTTAGTGTACAATTGTTGAAAAATTTGTATATTTTGTGTGTCTACTTTTCCCTATCTAGTTAGTTGTAGGCTGTGGTATTTCTAGTTGCTGGAGCAGTACCTTTTATATAATACTTTCCCAGTACACATTTATTGGCTAATTCTTTCATGGAGATACTTGGATGAGATGGCAGGATTCTAGAAGACTCTTAGATGCTACTTTCTACTTTGGGTGGGAGGATGGGCCAATGACATTATTGACAGGAACTAGGTGGATGAGACTGTAGCATACACTGTTTCCCTATGACCTGCACACGGCAGCAAGGGACCTGGGAGTCCCATGTCCTGAAAAGGATATAAGCATGCCATTCGACTAGCAGAGGCCTTGGGTCTGTGTAAAGAGGCTGCCATGGGCCGGGACGTCAACAAAGTAACTCTGGCAAAGTAACATATTCCAGTAGTGGTACCAACATATAAATCCTTATTCTTCTTCTCTGACCAAAAATGAAAGTAGATCAGTTGCACCTCACAGGGCCTTAGTCCAAGAACAAAATAACATGGCATAGTCCACTGATCTGAGAAGAACACCATCTTCTATGCTACTTCAGGGACATAGAGAGCTGCCACACTGGGGAGTGAAGCTAAAATCTGGGAATTCCTGCGTATTTGCCTAATGAAACTGAAATATGTAAAAGAGCTTATTTAAGGCAGGTATATAGGGAGTTATACCTTTAACAAACTAAATGTTTAAACCAAAGGGAAGCTGTTTAAATCAAAAGACACTGAAATACATTTCCTCATTTGTAAGATAGGGCAAGTTATAGCACCCATCTCATAGAAAAAACAGTTGTGAGAACTAAAGGAGTTAATATATATGAAACCATTAGAAGAGTGCCTAACACGTAGAAAACATTACACAAAGAGCTAGTAATCTTTAGGATTGCTTCTCAAACAAAGTCTGAATGGGTGCTGCTACCCAGTTGGCAGGGAACCGAGGGTTGAACACTTTTGTAGACTAAGTAAGTTGTTTTTCTCTGCAAAATAACACATGCACAATTAAAATAGAGAAATCCTGCCTTATCCAGTTTCATTTTTCACAGTTTCAATTATCCACCGTCAACTGCTGTCTAAAAACATAAAATGGAAAATTCGAGAAATAATTCATAAGTTTTCAGTTGTGTGCCCTTGTAAGTAGTGTGATGAAATCCTTCACCATCCCACTCCATCTTGCTCAGCTCAGGACATGCATCATCCCCTGTCCAGCAGTACCATGCTATACCCGCCTGTCACTTAGTAGCCCTCTGGGATATTTGAGCAACTGTCATGGTATTGCAGTACAAGGCACCCCTATTTTACCTAATAAGGTTCCCAAAGTGCAAGAGTAATGATGCTGGCAATTTGGATATGCCAAAGAAAAGCCATAAAATGCTTTCTGTAAGTGAAAAGGTGAAAGTTCTCAACAAGGAAAAAAAAAAAAAATCTTACACTGATGCTAAGATCTAATGTAAGAATAAATCTTCTGTGAAATTGTGAAGAAGGCAAAAGAAATTCATGCTACTTTTGCAGTTGCACCTCAAACTGCAAAAGTTACAGCCACAATGCATGTTAAGTGCTTAGAGTAAGGTGGAAAAGGCATTCAATGTGTAGGTGGAAGACATGAACAGAAATGTTTTCTGATTGATGGCAATTAGGTTTGGTTCTATCCATGGTTTCAGGCATGAACTGGAGATCTTGGAACTATCTATTCCTTGTGAATAATGGGGGGCTACCTTGCAAAGAGAAACTTGTAGCAGAAACCTTTCTGCCCCATGAACATCTCTTCTGGATTCACCTGTCCATGGTAAATCTACTTATTAAAAGCACCTGCCTGAGGTCCTTTTTCTGTACTTGGAAGTATTCTAAGCTCATGTTCAGAGTAAGCCAGATGGATGAGAAAGTTAATGCTCTTGTAGGCATCCCTTAATCAACAATGGATGGGGAACAGTGGGTAAGAACCCCAGCTCACTCACCCCTCTGGTGACAAAACGCTGAACCCACTTATTTCATTTATTTCCCTCCCATGGGCATTGCACCTCAATTGCCTACCACAGTAATCTGCTCCAGAATTCAGACTTCCCTGGCTGCCTTCCCTTCCCTCTCACCTGTTCCCCTTATCTGCTGGTGCTTCGAGGAAGCAACTACCCAATAAATCAATGGCACTCAATCCTTCCTCTCGAGTTCTGCTTCTCAGGTGGCCAAAACTAAGAAAAAGTCTAAATTAATTAGGCAAAGAAAATTACTATAATAATAAAGTGAACATTTTTTCCCAAATTTCATTTATTGTAATCATAGTTGAGTTACCTGGAAATATGTTTGTCCTTTCCAATGGCAAAGTATATACAAGCTTTTCTTTGTTTTTTGTTTTTAATTTAGCATCGGGGATATGATGAGTAATGAAGGATGTTATTTGTTCTGGATTACATATTTCATTCCTATGTAAACTAATATTTAAAAGAAAAGACAAGTCATTTGCATTTTCTCCACCACTACCACAAAAAAAGAGCTTTAATTGAACACCTAGTTGTAGAACACTACTTTGCTTGGCTTTATGAAACAAAAAGATGAGTAAATTATAACATGATAGTAATCTATCAGTTTGAAAATTTTATAATCTATATATAGAAAATGTATAAGCTCAGAACAATTACAAATATACAAACAAATATATAATGTAAATTAAATGATATAGAGTTTTATATGTATAGTTACAGATAAATGGAGGAAGGTGAGAATGTTAGGAAGAAGAGACCTCTTAGGGAAAATAATTATTATACCAGACCATATCATTAGCTAGTAGAGAAAATCTGGCCCACATGCATGCTTTGTTTGGCCATAGAGTTTTTTAAAACAATTATTTTAGCCTGGATATACACTGATATGGTTTGGCTGTGTCCCCACCCAAATGTCATCTTGAATTGTAGTTCCCATAATTCCTACATGTCATAGGAGGGACCCGGTGGGAGGTAATTGAATCATAGGGGTGGTGACCCTCATGCTGTTCTCATGATAGTGAGTTCTCATGAGATATGATGGTTTTATAAGGGGCTTTTCCCTGCCTTCACTCTGCATTTCTCCTTGCTGTCACCATGTGAAGAAGGGTGTGTTTGCTTTCCCTTCTGCCATGATTGTAAGTTTCCTGAGACCTACTCAGCCACGCTGAACTGTGAGTCAATTAAACCTCTTTCCTTTATATATTACCCAGTCTCAGGTATGTCATTAGCAGCATGAGAACAGACTAATATATACCCTTTTTTGTTAGCCACAGTTATCATTACTCTCTGCCCCTAGATTTCTCCTTGTTGATACTGGCTTCTGAAATTATTTACCTTTTTGCCCAATGAAAGAATGAAAACACATTCCAGAATTATACGGATCGGCTAAGGAAAATGACAGTAGGAAGAAGGTAGAGGTTTAGGCTACACAGAACAGCTACCTGGAAAAATGGCACATGAAGTAGTCCTGCTGTGAAAAGTCAGGCTTGGTTTATCATGTTGAAATATTGCCAACGATTAACATTGTAAAGACACAGGAGGAAGGAAAGTAGGAAAAGTATTCAGGAAACACTGATCAATCCAGTTTGGTAGAGATGAAGCATGAGGCCAGTCCCGTTTCATAATTGTCCAACTTTTTCATATACCAGTACTGAAAACACATAAATCCAACCTATTCCCAAAGCCTTTACCTTAGGTGATATCCAAGACCCCACCTTCTTTTCAAAAAGATAGAAGAACCTGCACATTTCAGTCTCCCATTGGACATGATCACTTTTCTATCTGAATGAAAGAAATCAAGTGAGAAAAGACATTGGGGGTCATTCATTTCTTCCTTCTCTAGTAAAGAAAGATAAGGAGCCAAGGCTCAGAAGTGCAAAGGAGAAGTATTCAACAGGGTATAACTAGATCTAGTGTGCATTTTAACATTTGAAATATACATTAAAATTGATGCATTTAAAATGAACTCATGATATTATTCAGCCATAAAAAAGAATGAAACCATGTCTTTTGCAGCAACATGGATGGAACTGGAGTCTATTATCATAAGTGAAACAACAGAGAAACAGAAAGTCAAATACTGCCTGTTCTCATTTATAAGTGGGAGCTAAATAATGGGTATATATGGACATACAGTATGGAATAATAGACACTGACGACTCGGAAGTGTGGAAGAGTCAGAGGGGGATGGGGAATGAGAAATTATTTAATGGGTACAATGTATATTATTTGGTGATGAATACACCAAAAGCCCAGACTTCACCACTACATAATATATCCATGTAACAAAACTGTATTTGTACTCATTAAATTTATACAAATAAATTAAATTAAAGATAAAACAAGCTCATGAACACCAGTCTATCTGCACCTTCCAATACTTTCTGGAAAAAAAAAAAACATAAATTACATGGTATACTGTATACTCTGATGCTAAAGAATGAGTGGCTATTTTTCAACTAAGTATATATAAAAGAAGATTTGAATGTTTAAATTAATTGATAGCTGACCTAAAAAAAAAAATTGGGCAATCAGAATTTTTCATTAGTTGTCACTACCTAGCAAATGTACAACCAGAAAGGAATTCCACAGTGGAACTAGATTCCTGTCATCCTCCTGACTGCTATGGAATGTAAGAACATTGCCATCATGAGAGCAGGGCTCTTACCCTGGGAATAGACTTCGCTTCTAAATTCCCCAATTGCATCATGGTAATACTGAGATAAAACCAACAATTACCAGCCAGGATGTCAGCCTCATCCATGGACTGGGTACTGAAAAGGATCACATGATCTGCTCTACGCTCTCTCAGGAGGCTCCACACTTGATCTCTGGAAAAAGGATCCAATCCAGTAGTTGGTTCATCTAAGAGCAAAATCTACAGAGAATGAAGATACATAAAATATGTCTCTCATATTAACTACATCCAGATGATAGTATGAAAAACAATAAATACCATAAAATAATAACCATCCAGTCATTTTTCTCCAACATATTTCTATTTATAGTTAAACATAGCAGGCTCTCTCTTGATACATTACAATGAAAGCTCTATCACCTTTAGTGGTAAAAGAACTTGACATTTTGCAGACATGCAACCTGCTTCCTTCCCCATGCATAATCTAACTTACTTGAGGATCTCCTAAAATGGCAATCCCAAAAGTCAGCTTTCTTTTCTGTCCTTCACTTAAATGTTTGGCAAGGTTATCTTGAATGTTTTGCATGTCCAATTCCAGTAATATTCGTTGTACCTATATGAGAAAATATACAACTTTTAAAATCCAAAATGGTTCATATTATGCAATTTTAACCACTCATTAAAGCAGTCGATATTTGTTATGGGACCTCTTTGCCTAAATTTTATTCATAACAAGGCATATAAATCATTGAAGAGAATTCTGCGGTCATGATTTAATTTGGTAAGTGGTTGGCAGGTCAGTTAATCCAAGCATGCCCTCCTACCTCTTGTTCCACTTCCTGTGGATGAATCCCTTTTATTTTAGCAAACAGGCTGAGGTTTTCCTTCACGGTGAGTATGTCAAATTGAACATTGAATTGAGGACAGACACCAGTTATCTTTCTGATTTCCTCCAAGTCTTGCATTTCAGAGAGATTTTTATTATAGATGGTAACTGATCCTAAGAATGGAAGTTAAAAATAAAATTTGCAAGATAATACATTTTATTAATATTCATAGATTTCATTTAAGAAAATATTGGCATATATTCACAAATGTCTAAAATGATTTGTGAACAACTACTAATTATTCTTGACATAAATGTATGCTTACAGAACTGCACATTTGTGAACACAATTTGTGAACAACTACTAATTATTCTTGACACAAACATATGCTTATAGAACTGCACATTTACCCTGAAATATCACACGATGGAATAAATAAAATAATTTTATAAATATTGCAGAAATATGAAGCATATTCAAAATTATGTAGCTCTTGGAAACAACTTTAGATAAACATTATTTCTCTTAAGCCATCAAATTTAAAATTTAAAATGAAAGGCATATGCTTGACCTCATTTTATTATAAGACATCTTGCCTTTGAGAAATTTCTTCTTGCTCACCTTCTGTTGGAACAGACAATCCATTAAGAATATTTAGCAGTGAAGATTTGCCAGCTCCACTGTGACCCAGAATTGCCGTGATTTGACCTTCATATATGTCAAAGAGCAAGCCTATTTTTAGAACAAATTATTAGAACAAATTGTTAACAAATTATTAACAGTATAAACCGAAAGGCATTAGACCAGTCTGGTCCCAATATAGAACAAGGCTATTTAGTTTAGTGGTGTATTTCTCAGCATTTCAATACTTTAAAATACACAATGTTCAATATTTTCCTAATTGCCAAAATAATATGTGACAAAACTGTAATAATTAAAATAATATGTCACTGGTGCAGGATATAGTGACCAATGGAACAGAATAGAAGTCTAATGTGGACCAAAGTAAATACAAAAATAGAGAGTAATAAAATGACCTTTCAAACTTATTAAAAAGATGGTTTATTTAATGAATAATTTTGGGACAACTAAACAAATAAATTAACAAATTGTATGTTTGTAAATTTTTTTTTTTTTTTTTTTTTTGCAACAGGATCTCATTCTGCCACCTAGACTGGAGTGCAGTGGAGCAAGTGGAGCAATCACAGCTCGCTGCAGCTTCAATCTCCCATGCTTAGGCAATTCTCCCATGTCAGCCCCCTCTAGCTGAGACTATCGGCCCACGCCACCACACTTGGCTAATTTTTGTATTTTTAGTAGAGACAGGGTTTCGCCATATTGCCCAGGCTGGATTCAAACTCCTGAGTTCAAGCAATTCACCCACTTTGGGATTTACAGGGATGAGCCACCATGCCTGGCCTGTAATTTTTAAATGGAAAGTATACAGTGTTTTCCAGGGTAAGAGGGAAGTGATACTGGCTGTTGGGACTGACACATAGTAACTGGAAAAATAAAATAGAAGCCTCAGTTTTCTCATCTGCAAAGTGAGAGATGTATTAATATGTCTTTCACAGGCCGAAATGTAAAATGGTACATGTAAATCACTTAGCATAGTTTCCAGCACACACCAAGTCCTCAATGAAATCTAAGTGTTTATTGCTATTGTTGTCATTGTCATTACTATTCATTATGTATTGCTTCTGGGAGTATGACTTTTTATAATTCTCGCGGGAAATAATTTGAAATATGAATCAAGAATCTTGAAAGTATGCTTCCTTTGAATAATTCTGCTTCTAGAAATTTATATTCAAGAAACAATTTATGACATTTACAAAGACTGAACAAGGCTGTTCATTCTAGTGTTTTTTATTACACTAAAAATTGGAAACAAACTGGATCTCATACATTGGTGTGTTAATAAGTTAATCCCGGTATCCATATAATGGAATGCTATTTGGCTTCTGAAAAATAGGCCATAGATAAAAGATTTCAAAAGTGTGTCCCAAACGTGCTGCAGACGTGCTCCAGAAACTAACTCCATGAGGAAGGAGGAGGAGGCTAAGGGAAGGCAACCACTTCCCTGGTTTCCCAAAGAGCAGCTACACTTGGTTTGAATTTATATTCACATTTTTAATGTATTGATGTCCAATGCTTTTAATTTTTTAAGGTGCTGCTATTTTTAAAATGAACAAAATGCTTAAAGAAGTTTTTTGTTTAGACAAAAAGAAGTTCATGACTTGATGCAGTGCAAAGGTAGTTCAAAATGTGTTCCAAAACTTTAAGTAATTCATTTAAAATTATTTCAATATATCCTGAGCTAAAATTAAAGAACAAAATCACAGATCTAGATGGTATTTGATGAGAGAAACCTAGAGAGAGAATAAAATTGCTCATACAAATACATTAAATTCTCAAGACCTAATCTAAAAGTAATGAATAAGACTGAATTAAAGGACGCTGCATTTATTACAAAATACATGCAATATAAACACAATGGTTGGAGAACTCTCCACTTCTGGAAGGTTCATGGCTCTTCTTTTTCAGCTTTTAAGGCTTCTTTTATAAAAATCATTTTTATTCTTCCTAAAAATCATTTTTAATAAAGCAAATTGTCCTCCATGAAATGTAGCTACTCACTTTGATGTTTGCTTAAATGTCTGTTATAGAAAACTGTATGTTAGAATATTTTGTATCAAAATGTGTTTTTTCATTTCAAACGATAAATTATATTTGTAATAGGATATTGGTTTGTGAAATTTAATTCATAGTCAATGGTTTTATTCATCTTGCTTCAGTTAACCTCACCAGTACATATAAACTATGTAAATTCACCAGCTAGTATAAAACCTTCATCAGATTTCAGTTTAGATGTTCTTTCCTCACAGTGACAATATATAAAATATTGTTCATAGCAGATTAATCTTTAAAAGCAAAGATAAATTGCATCTTTCATTGTATGATACCATATTTATAAATTAATAGATCCATGCAATATCTGGAAGAATTTTACAGTGTATTCTTAATCATGATTAATGTCCAAGTGATAGCATTGGGTTATCTGCATTCTTTTTTCTTTTGCTTATCTATATGCTTCAAATTTTTTCACATCGAATTGTTTCCCTTTTTTATAATAAAGAAATAAGTGAAAGAATGAAATGTTTCAATGTTTTTCTTTACCTTTCAATGCTTCCACTTTTCCAGACTTTCCTTTATATTCCTTGTTAACATTTCTGATTCTGAAATAACAAAAAGGGTGCTTACTTAGCCAACACAGAAGTGAAAATAGCACAAGCCATTAATAGCCCTAGTCATAGTGACAGCTGCAGCCAACCACTTTATGTGAAATAAGGGATGGCATAGTCTATTCAGAAAGAAAAAGACCTATTTTTGATTAATCATTTCCCCTGAGGTAGAAAATAAAGGAGTCTCTCTCAAGTTACAATTAAACTACTAGTATTTTGTCTAGAAAAGTAGAATGCTGTGTAATTATCCTCACTTTCTTCCGCGAGTTTTAGAATAGTTGGTTCTTCCCCCTGTTCAAGATCAGCTCATTTACCTGGGGCCTTGAACTGGCATCCTGCATCCTCTCCACGTCTTGCTTATTAGTTTATTAGTCAGACACTCTGGCACCTGCATCTTTTACAGTCCTCCCTAATAGCTCCTCTTTGAACTCAGCTCTACTTTGGACACAATTTGATTTCTCTCCTCCCTGTATTGTACAAAATTCCCAATATAAACTTGCCATTTTCACTTCCTGACCTTTAATTCCTCTTCAATTGCACTCTGATTTCTGAACTCACCACTCCAGTGAACCACTTCATAATGAAATCATTAGTGACCTCCTAATTATAAAATACAACAAATACTTTTCCATTCTTACGTATTGGATTATGAGTCACTGTTGATGACTTTCTCTTTGTTAGTGGTGACTTAATTGTTTTGCTTCTTATTTTTCTAAATGTTCCTTTTCTGTTTCCTAATAAAGTCCTCTTCCTTCATCAGACATATCAGCTTGATGTTCCACAGGGTTCTCCATGTATATGCTGGATCTTCTCATTCGAGACTCTCTCCAGAAGTTTTCTCATTGGATTTTTTGTTTTAGCATCAACCTAATATTGACCCCACCCTTTTCATTGATCTTTAGACTCACACATCTAATAGTTTGCTGGATAGACAGTCTCTCTCTGTCTCTCTCACACACACATAGATACACACACACACACATACACACACACACACACACTGCTCTTAATCAGTGGTTGTCAATTGTGAATACACATTAGAATTCCAAAGGGAACTGATGCCTGCAAACAACCCTCAGAGATTCATATTATATTCACATTAATTACTTCTCTGCAGAGTTTACAGAAAAAAGATTCACATTAACTGATCTGGGGTGATGAGTTTTTCATGGCAGTAAAAGCTGAGGACTGGGATATTTTACATGTTCTTCCAAATAAGTCTAAGGTGAAGCCAGGTTTGAGAATTAACTGCTCTAAAACTGTATATCCAGAACAGACTTCATTGCATTGTCACCTAAACCCATTCCCCCATCACGCTGGATCTTACTTGGCAGCATGGACATTCAACTACTCTCTTCTTGATTCTCACTCAGATTCATCACCCATCCAACCTGTTATCATTTTTGTAAAATTTAACTCTAAAATAGTTCAAGTCTTGGGTCCATTTTAAAAATTTATATTTTAAAATCCATTTTATTTACTCCTCAATGTTCCTCATCAGCCTCAAAGGGAAAGTCAAGGCTACTTTGTACCACATGAAGCAGCCACTCATGGTCTGTCCAGTGACATCTTTCGGCATCCTTGGTCCCATGTTTTATGTGTCAGGATCACCAAACCACCATTTATATCCTGCACAAAGTTTAGCGCTTTTTGTCTTTTCTGCTGGGTGTGTCATACACATATACATATACACATGCACTCACACACATATGTGTACATATGCACAAATGAACCTTTTTATCCTTTTTATCCGTCTTATTCTTAAAAGAATGTTCATTGCAATATCATTTGTCAGAGCAAAAAATTAGAAACAACCAGAATATTCTTTAATGTAAGAAAAGATAAATAAAAATGGTAGACTCATATCTTAGAATATTTTTATATAAAAATTAAAACCAATGCATTATCCCATAGTTATCACTATGAATAGATCCCAAAAAGCAAAATGCTGAGTGTAGAAGCAATATATAGAAACTTAAGTACAGTCTGATACTATTTATAGATTATAGGAGATAAAAACACATAGAGTTATATCACATATATCTATATCACATATTGTTTAGAGCTATAAGTGTATGGTACAATAAGTAAATATATGAATGGAAAGTGGGAACACCAAATCCATTATAAAGGTCAATCCTGATGAAGGAGGGAGAAAATATTTTAAAGAGATCAAAAGGGACTTTAAATAAACATATAATATATCCATCAAAAATACAAAGGAAATATGACAATAACGTTTATATCTGTTTAATATGACAATAATGTTTATATCTGTTCAACCCCGATGGTGAATATGACAGTTTTAAAAGCCTAAGTTTATTCAGTAATTTTTAAGTATTTAAAAGAAAAATAGATGTTCTTTTCTTCGATTTCCCTGAACTAGGGTAGTTAACACTTCTATTGACTAAATAACAGTAGTTAATATCTCTATCCCTACATTTATCACATTGAATTTCATGTACCTATTTATCTTTTTCCCTAGGCTATGTGCTCCTTGAAAGACAGTTTATTGTTCATCTTTGCAGCTCTAAAGATTAGTAAAGAACCCAGCAGCAATATGTTTGTTGAATGAATGAATTAAGCAAAGTTAAAAGGTGATGAGTCTCACCAGGTATTTTATTTCAGCATTTCTTTGTAAAATAGAATCCCTGTTGAAGTGAAACTTTAATGTTTTGTTTTAATAAAGAAAATTCCATTTAGGAGGAGCTGGTGTTTCCGGATTTTAGATATGAAATCAGACATTTACATTTGGGGCAGGCAGACATCCTACCTGTGTTCTGGGAATATTGCCTGAATGGTCTATATTCAGTTATAGGAATGCACATATGTGCACACAGTTGCCCCCAGAGAAAATGTGACTTGGGGGTTATGAATGAGGAAGAACCAGTTGTGAATAAAAACTGCATATTTTTACAAATCCAGAATCATGATTCTGGTTAGAATTCTATAAGCTTTCATCCATATCCCTGATACATAGAGCTTAAAGGTTACATATCCTGTAAGCGCTACGTATCTTAGGGGAAGAGTTCCTTTGTATATACAGCGTTTGTATATAAAGGAGAAGAGTTCATTTTTATATAAAGCAGACCACATAGGAAGAAAAAAAAATCAATGCCTTAGTGCCTTTTATATTCATACAAAATAGAATTCACACGTTGGAACTGATTGGAAAAGATTTGACATTGTCTAGAGGTGGGGAAGAGTAATGATGCTACTAAGAAATGATCACTGTGAAGAAAGAAGAGATAAAACTTGTGGACTGGAAACTGCATCTACTGTTGGATGGTTGAAAGGCAGTTTTAGACTGCCTTGCAGCTCCAGACCTGCTTTAACAGTCAGTGAGTGTGTACCACCTTGTCATGAAAGAGCTACAACATTGACCGCCTAAGCCTACTTTCTTGCTTTGGTGTGGATCTGGGGTGAGGTGCCCCACAATGGAGCCAAAAGCTTTAGTGAATCAAATGACTTTCTTTTCCTGGTTTGCCTTGGGTCTCCACCTGAGCTAAGAATCCAGACCAAGTGACAGGTATGCCTTGTCAACATTGTATACATTGGCTAGGTTTGGAGGCACAGTAGGGGTGTGGGAGAAGAGGGGAGAAGTCAGGGGAAGGTGGGGGTGGAGGACATTTTACTTTCTCTCCTAGGCCACTAGGCAGCAGTAGAAGAACAAAGAAAATTTTGAGGTCTTTGTAAGTAAAAGATTTTGTTAGAAGATTGGATCTGAGAATTACTATAATTTGAATAATAATATAATACAATATGATTTTGTGCCCTCAACTGGTAAAGAAGGATTGATGACACTAGAATTGAGTTTTACGGAATTATTCCTCACTTGGCCTTTCTTGTTTGGATGGATATTTTCTATAGAGCTGGTATACTCCTAGCTAGAGCAGAGGAAGGGCTGTTGCCCCACTCAGAAAACTTAAATGGAAAACTGGTTAAGAACTAGATGGAGGAAGCCTAGGTACATGGGTTAGGCCTCTTTGTCTTGGAAAGATTTCACTTCCTAGCTATAGTTCTCTATTCATTTTCTTTTGCCTCCTGACATCTCAATAGTATGTTAAGAGCATAGACTGTAGAGCCAGACTATCTGGATTACAATTCCAGTTCTCCACTTGTGAGTTGTGTGATATTGGGTAAAAGGCTTAAGCTGTCATTACTTCACTTTCTGTATTTTCAAAATGGGGAAAATAAAGATACCTGCCTCATAAGCTTTTTGTGTGAATTATGTGCAAGTCAGGTACATAGTCAGCACTAAGTAAACATCTGTTAATAAATAAACGATTGCTTTTTAAAGCTCTGATTCATTAACTTTGTACCAAACTTTGTAGAAAAATCTACAAAGCTATTTTGAAATCCATGATACTGGGGTTCAATCCCAAAACTGCTGAGTTAGAATCCCTGGCTAAAAACAAATATTCTAACTGTTCCTCATACAATTCTGTTATATGCTAAATCTCATAACAACCCTACAAAGTCAATATTAATCTCGTTTCATAGAAGATACTGAGAATCATAAAATTTACTCATTTTTCCGAGATTACACATCAAATGAGAGACGAGAGTATTAGGATCTAAGAATTTCTGATTCAGAATTTCTTACTTCTTCCAACTTACCATATAAAGCCAGATGAAATCACGGAGAGAGGGGTTCACAGAATGAAAAGAGCAAGTATAAAAGAGAGGTAGGCACGAGAGAAAGAGGCAGAAAGGGGGACAAGATAAAGTGTGGGTGGATAATATGATATGGAGCTGATAATCAAGGAGAATTTTCCTTTCAAGTAACAGAAGAAATTGATGGTGATGGAAATGGAGCAATTCAAAGTAACACTGACAAAAACAAATATCTTCTCCTTCAATATTTTGCCTCAAGCTCACCCTGATGCTCTTGGTTAATAATTCTTTAGCCTTGTGCTCATGTATTAGTATTAATTATAAGTGTGATTACCTGATGGCTTCTTTTCCTTGGAATTCAGGAGCTACTGGTTCAAAATAATCATCAGAGGGATGCTCAGCATCAATTTCTTTCTCAATAGCCTTATTATCAGTCCCTTGGTGTTGGAAACAAGATGATGAATTCAAGAAAAATAATGGAGAATAATGGCGCTCATCTCCATCTAAGTAACCAAGAGGCAACAAAATAGGATCAGCAATAGTAAAACAATGAGCAAAGAAGCCTTGCTCACAACAATGCAGAATGTCTTGAAGTTTTAAGCATCATAGAGACACTTTTTTCTTCTAAAACCCTATTTATTATTAAGAAGAAAACTTGATAATGAAGTAAACAATGAGAATTCAAAGGAAATAACATACTGTAAAAGTTAAACAATATAATACACCTTTCAACAAAGTATAAATAAAATGTGATCTAAAAAAAAAAAAGAAAGTCAATAGGAAAGTGAGGTTCAAATAAAATATTAGGTGTATGACTAGCTGAGTTGGACTCCAACTTTTCCCTGATCAAGACATTAGTACATATCTTAGAGCCTCTGTTGTCTACATCTGTAGAAAAGGACTCCCAACAAGGAAACCCATTATATCTCCTTTTTTTCCAGTCTTAACAATGGGTTGCATTATCCTTGATAATAGGCTCATGAGAAACAGATTTGTATCACCCAATAAACATAGTTATTAAAAAAAATTTTAATGCGGTCTAAAAGGTATTTAGGTGAATGAATGAAACCAAATATTTGGGAAAACACAAAGCCTTAGCATAGTACATAAAAATAATTGTAGACATGTTTGTGAACTTAAATAATTTGACTACAGCAACATAATTGAACATAATATTGAAATCTATGTATTCCTGCTTAGGCATGAATACATGGAGAAACTTTATTTGTTTAGAATACATTTACAGTGATAATTTAAATATATTTTTCAAGTTTAAAAAATGAGGTTGAATTTATTATTAAGGGCCTTCACATATCAACCAGAAGTCACAGAAAGACAGGAATATGTACAAGTAAATACAGAGAAAACATATAAGACAACCTTAAATAGTGGAAGGAAGGTATAAAATAAGAGGATAAACAAGAAGATTGTGCCAGAAAAAAAACTTTCTGATTCTAGAATGTGTGAAAAAATTCTGGGCTTACGTGAAATTTTTGGTTGTTTGCAAGATAATCTAACAGGGCAATCAATATACTTCTGCAAATATGAACAATATATAAAACATTTTGAGAATGATGCTGAACAAATATTCACGAGAAAGTACTTCCACAGTATAATGGCCTCCCACCAGCCAAACCACCATAAGAACTAATTTATTTTATCTTGTTCTGACACAAGTCCTAATATGACCCTTTCAAAACACTTTCAGGGATCCATGAATACCTAACATTATTTAATTACCACATAATTATAAGATGTATTATAATTATTGTTGTCATATAATTGTTTTTACATAAAAATTTCATTAGACCATTAAAAACTATGAAGTAGAAATAATGAACTTATTAGTTTGAAATGGGAAATATTTAATATTCATTTTAAAAGTCTATATAATCTTAAAAAAATACATTCAATGTAATTAATAACTATAGAGGTCAGAGAAAAACTCACTATTACTTACAGGGTAAAATTTTGTCAAAGTATAATGCCAATAGCAAGTAGATGAAACCATCCAAAAGCAATATGGAAAAAGTTGCTATCATTGTATATGAGTCTCCTGAAGGGTCAGGAAAAATTACACCATTCAAGTTATAATCCAGTTTGATAATCTAAAATTCAAAAAATAAAAATAAATGTTTAAAATAAATAAATAAATAGCTTGGCATAGCAGCAAAAAGTATTAATTTATTAATTAGCTTTTTCAAGAGGCACTTAGTAGTTACTAGTCAAATATATAAATAAGTAAATAAAGGTATTGGTCAAAATATTTCTATTTTACAGTGAAAAATAATTAGAAATAAACATGTGTTTAATAAAAACAATGTTCCAAGTATAAGAATTTAAATTATAATTCATTTGTTTGTTTTCATAAAATCATTGCAATATTACAAATATCTATTCTGGGCAACAAAGGAAATACAAATGTTGGAAAGAATGTAATAAATTCTTGGAAGCCTCTAATTAGATAAAAAGAGAACTTACCTCCTTTTCTAGTTATTATTTCAAATAAAAGTTTATATTTAGAATTTTGCCATATAATAACAGCAACTATGTTCTAGGCACTGTTCTAAGTGTTTTATATATTATCCCATTTAATCTTCCTTAAAACTCTATCAGATAAGCAATAAAGCTTATAAAAATAGTAAGATTTTAACCTGCATTTTACATATGATAAAACTAAGGCACAGCAAAGTTGAGTAGCCAAAAGTGGCAAAGTGAAATTAGAACACAGAAAGTCTTACTCCTAAGTCCAGTTCCTTACCCTGCACACTATACAGCTTCTCAGTCTATGTTAAAAAGTTAACATTTTCATGATAAAGTTGAATTTATTCTAGGAATCCAAAATTGGGTCAACATTTGAAAATCAATCAATGTAATTCAACATAAAACAGATTAAATAGGAAAATAATGTGATCAATATAATAGACACAGAAAAACCATTTGGTAAAATATGATATCTATTCATAATAAAGAATATATCTTCACAAACTAAGAAGATGAATCTTCCTTAAGCTGATAAATTACATGCACCGAGACCAACAATAAGCATCATATTTAATGGCACAACGTTGAAAGCTTTTATTTTGCCTGCATTTCTATTCATTATTGTACTAGAGGTCCAGACCTGTGCAGGAAAGTAGGAAAAAGAAATAAAAAGCATAAGGATTGCGATGGGAAAAATATAAGCCATCATTATTTGAAGACAACATGATTATATATAATTCCAGTATAAAACTCAGAAAAATATTGGGTTTAATAAGAGAATATAACAAGAATGCTGGATATAACACGAACGTACAGAAATCAGTTGCATCTCTCTACATTAACAACAAATGTTTAAAAATAAGAATTTAAACATAGATGCTATTTATAATAGCATGAAAACTATCAAAAGCATCGGAACGAATCAAATAAAAATGTGTAAGACCTCTACAGTGAAAACCAAAACAGGCCAGGTGCATGGATCACACCTGTAATCCCAGCACTTTGGTAGGCTGAGTTGGGAGGATAGCTTTTTTGAACCCAGGAGGTTGAAATTAGCCTGAGCGACACGGTGAGACCAACTCTCTACAAAAATAAAAAATGAGCCAGGTGTGCTGGTGTATGGCTATAGTCCTAGTTACTTGCGAGGCTGAGACGGGAAGATCACTTAAGCCCAGGAGGTTGAGGCTGCAGTGAGCTGTGTTTGTACACTCCAGCCTGGGTGACAGGGCAAGATCCTGTCTCAAAATAAAAATAAAAATAAGATAATTATTAAAGAAAATTGAAGATCACTTAAATGAATGCAAAGATAATGTTCATGGCTGAAAAAAAGATGACAATTTTCTTCAAACTGATCAAAAAATTCAACTGCATCACACTCTTAATAGTTTTGCACGGGCATCTAAGTGTGTGATTATGTAACTTGATAAGCTAATTCTAGAATTTACATCATTGCAAAGAAATTAGAATAGAGAAGGCTCTCTTGAAAAAGAGATTAAAGAGGTAAAACTGTTACTGCCAGATAACAAGACACATGATAAAGTAAAACAATTAAGACAATGTGGCCACAGTGCAAGGATAGGCATTTTGGCCAATACATGATTGGCTGAGTTATAATAAAAGAAAGATTGCAATTCATTCAGGGAAAGGATAGTTTAGTTGATAAACTGAGCTGGAGAAATTGGATATTTGTACAGCAAAATTAATATTGTCTCTACCTATACACACACAAAAGTTATATTGAAATGGATTTTATATCTTAACGTAAAAGCTGAACCAGTCAATATTCTAAAAAAACAGCCAGAAAATACATTTGTAAACTTGGTGTAGGCAATGATTCCCTAAATTGATTTTTAGAAAGCATTCTACATAAAAGAGAAACTTGAAAAATTGGACTTTATCAAAATTATGTATCTCTGTTCATCACAGGTACCATTAAGAGAGGAAAAATGCTAGCAACAAATAACGGAAAAATGTCGGATGTTCAACATGTATAAGGAATCCTTAAAAAGCAATCAGGAGAAGATAGAAAACTCAGAGGAAAAATGGGTCAAAGACCTGGATAGGTAATTTATAAAAAAGAAAATTCATAATCCACTAAGCATATACAAAAGCATTCAACATCATCAATAATCGGGAAAATGCAAATTAACACAACAATGATATATCATTGCATAACCATCAGAATGACTAAAATGTGAAAGATTGACAATACTAAATCCCAGTGAAGTGTTAGAAAAACTGGAATTCTGAAACACTGTTGATGTAAAACTAAATTGATGCAACCACTTTGGAAAAATATTTGGTGGTAGCTACTAAGATTAATATTTGTATACTCTCAGCCCCACTATTCTGTTTGTTATATTAACATAATGAACAGAATGGAATGTCCATATTCAGTAGGAAATGTGTTCTAGAATGTTTGTAGCAGCTTTATTTAAAATGCTCAAAAACTAAAAATTATCATAATCTATCGATAAGAAAATTGATAGTATATTAACACAATAGGATGCTACATAACACTACACTATAGCTACACAAAAACTATGCTGCTACCTAAAAACATTATGTTGAATGAAAAAAGAGAGATTTTCAAAAATACACTTTGTGCAACATCACTCGTATGAAGTTTAAAATGTGCAAAATCAAAAATTTTATTTAGGAACACATACTTAGGTGGTAATGAAAAGCAAAGAAGTGAATATCATAAAATTTTTACCTTTACGAAGGAGTGTTCTGAGGGGTTTGTGATTGGTGGCGACATTCTATTCCTTGATCTAGTTCATGGATACTTCGATTTACTTTTTAATTATCTGTTAAACTACACTTGTGTTTGGAAAGTTTTTCATATTCATAGTTTATACAATAAAAGTAGGTTCATATAAAAATTTTAATAAACTAGCAGATATTTTCATTATGTTAAATGAATAGTAATAAAAGTAAATATTTGTATATAGGAATACAACCTAGAAGAAAATACTTCAAAATGAAAATATATCTGAGAGGTGAAATCTAGAGGATTTTTAAAATTTAAGTTTCTTTGTGAGGTGACTTTTTTTCTACAATGTAATAACAACATTTTAAAGTTTAATTTTAGAAAAATTGCTTAGAATAAAAGTTCTTAGTTTGAGTAGTGCTGATCCTACAGGGTATGAAGTTATCTACTTCTTTTGACATTTCAGTAATAAACCAATTAACTAGGCTCTTACCTGAGTCATTCCAGCAGTAAAGGCAAAAGGGCTACAAATACTCAAAATCCACTCCAGAGATGAAGGAAGTTGTTCATAAAATACAGTGAACCCCAGACATCCCCAAAAGAGGGTAAGGAGAAACACAACCAAATTGGTGAGGACAGCTTTCTTTAACAACACACTCATCAGGAACACCAAAGCAACCTGCAGGAGAGAGAAGACGTTCAACTGCTATAAAATATATTTAACTCACTGAGAATCATTGGCAGCCCAATCAAATAAGGATTTTTATGTCATGAGAAATATTTATCAGTGAGAAAGTGGTGAAAATATTAAGGTATAATGAGTCTGTTCTTTCCTCAACTTCTTTTGAAAGAGGATCCTTATTTGTCCTACTCAAATGCAGGGCTTTTGTTGCTGAGGAAAGGGTGGGGGGAAAGCTGGAATAAGAGCTGAGGATAGGGTAGAAATGCAGACTTGGGTCTAAATTAATGTAATGAAGCTAAATTAATGTAAGAAGGAGCATCTACGTACTTTCTGCAGAAAACATCCTGGTGGGTGGAAATTAGAGGACCTTGTTCAGAGAAGGGAGACGGGAGCGAAATGAGAGGTGCATATGAGACAGAATATTAGAGGGAGAAGAGATACTGTGATCAGCTATCATGTGATGAGCACCCTTAAGGGAAAAAAAAATGGGGTCCACCCCTAAAAAACAACCTCAATACATACAGAAAAGCCTTTGATATTTTATAGTCAGCATCATTTTTTCTTTTTGATACATCATTTCATTAGTTCAGACCTTCATGCAAAAGGCAGGTCAAATTTTATTTGGATTACATAATTTTTTCACTCCATAGAAACTATCTCAAGTACACACAAGGACACACACATGCACACACAATGGACATGAAAGTAGTGATTGCAATAACCTACTAGGGCATTAATATTAGCTACATATAGCGAAGATCTAAAGCAGAGAAAGTGGTAATAAATGTATGAACTTACCAAAGATAAGCCATATAAGAAAAAGAGTATAAATATGACCATGAAGCCAGTCATGACTATAATTTCGGTGAATGTTATGATAATTGTAATGAATATGGAAATAATAAAGATGAAGCCAGCATAGATTAAACCCCAGGAGAGCCTAAATAAAGACAAAAAGTTATATAAATTATATTAACTTATTTACAAAATACTTAATATACACAAAAGCATCTAAAGAACAAAGTATAACTACCTTTGTACCTTCTAGATTAATAACTATACTGTAAATCCTACAGCAGAAGCTCATTGCATATCCTTTTTCAATCGCAATTCTCCTTCCTTATAATTGCCATTCATTTTAATTGCCTTTACCACATACGCACACAGAGATGATATATACTGAACACTGCTACAGGCACCAACCAATAAAAAAGGATGCCAAGGCTAGGCACGGTAGCTCACGCTTGTAATCCCAGCACTTTGGGAGGTCAAGGCAGGTGGATCATTTGAGGTCAAGAGTTCCAGACTAGCCTGATCAACATGGTGAAACCCGTCTCTACTAAAAATACAAAAAAATGTAGCTGGGTGTGGTGGTGCATGCCTGTAGTACCAGCTACTCAGGAAGCTGAGGCAGGAGAATTGCTTGAACCTTGGAAGCCGAGGTTGCAGTGAGCCGAGATCATGCCACTGCACTTCAGCCTGGGTGACAGAGTGACTCCATCTCAAAAAAAAAAAAAAAAAAAAAAAAAAAAAAGACAAAATTAATTAAGCTACTTGTAAGCACAGCTGGGCCATTGTGCCTTGTTTGTACCTACATGTTAGGCAACAGCTCTGTGTGCGTGTGTTGTATATAAATAGTATGACTATTTATTAAACAGTATCAACAATATCATATGTATGTATTCTTCTGCTAGCTGTCTTTATCAATCAGCATTAACAGTATTATACACTGCTGTATAATATTTCATTATGAGAATATGACCCAAAATTCTGCTGCCCATGGAAATTTAGGTTGTTTCCATTTTTTTTATTACAATGCCAAGAACATTCTCGTACTTGTCTTTTTTGAGGAAAATGTACAAGAGTGTTTCAAAGCATTTTGTACCTTCAGCTTTGTTAGATATTGCCATACCATCCTAATTGTAGAATTGTAAGCAACTTAAAAGCTTCTGATCAATCAAGTACTTCTAAAAACACTGGGGCAGTTGATCATTTGACTATCCATGAGAATCTCAGCAGGCAACACCTCCAGTTTATTTCATAGTAGAAAATTGAAATTTCACAACTCTACTAAGCCCATTCTATTCTCTCTATTCCTATTTATGATTTCTTCACTTAAATTTGTATAAAGTATGCTGCACCCTTAAATATTTGCATGATTTTGCCTTAGAGGTGCTAGTGTTGATATTTTTATGAAGTGATTATTAAGAAAGAGTATTCAATCTTAGATCTAATAAGACTATAGTGTGTTTTAGCCCAAGTGTCTCATTTTACAAATGAGGAAACTGCAATCCCTATTATTAGTTAAGGGATTTATCTAAGGTCACAAAATAAATTGGTAACAAAGTTCATGAAGATGTAGGCCTTATCTCTGTCAAGAGACCTTTCCTCTACTTAACATTGACTAATAAAATGAGAATTCAATAGCTGAAGCATATAGCACAAGTATTAAAATCAGGACTTTGCATCAACATGTCCCAATAGAACATGTTTACACTGGATTTATTGGTTATTTGACTTCTCTTTAAATTTCACGCCATTACAATGATTAAGTCTGTGTTAGAAACATCAGCATTTTTAAAAAACATATCACATTCTGTAAAACCCACTTCCTGAATCCAGAAGGGAACTACTTTAGGTAGGAATTGAAAAACCACAGGATATGAAAATTATAAATGAAAGAAATTACCTAGAAATTGCCACTACTTAGAAAAAGGAACCACTTGCAGGGGTGGAGTGGAATAATAAGTTATAAAAACCATCTTGCTAAAAACAAAGCAATTCAGGCATTATACTTAAAGAATAAATACTGATTACATTTCACATTTATTACATTAGTAAAAAGAACTTGTCATAAAGTTTATTTCCACTAGATAACCTGCACTTAGTAGAAACATTTCAGAATCTTTTTTCTTCTTAGTTTTAAGGAAGCATATATGAATTTACTTTGCTAAGTTTTTAGGTCACATACATACTAAGAATCACTTATCCTGAGAATGAATTCACACCCAAATGTCCCATACCTTTCTGACTTTAATATAGAGTTGCTCATGCCTCCCTGGTCTCAGGTGACTGCAGGGACACTGTCCCATAGGACATGCCCTGGACAGAAAGCAGGTCCCTTTTACAGAGGTTCCCTCCTGACTCCATGGGAGGCTCTATGTACATTATTTTGTATTTCCCAAGTTCCACTGCAAAAACTTTTCCTTCTCTCTTTTTTTATTTGAAGACACAGGTTCCTCTTTTTCTATCTTACAATTTATGTCTATTAGAATTAAGATTCTCTCCATTAATAAAATATATTTTATAGAAAATTAAAAATTTACTGGACCGTAGTTTCATTTCAGGTAACACGTGGCTCACAAGGAATTCTTCAATTCGTAATTTCTCATCCATTCCAGGTAGTTCCAAAACCGTAAAGAGTATTTGCTTCATACGGGGAGTAGATAGAAAAAAATCTCCCAGGATTTAATGTAACAAATGTTATATTTCTTTTGGGGTAAAATTAACAAATTATTTTTCCTTTTTTACTTTCTCTAGGCAGACAGTATGAATTTTGTCACTGATAGTATTGCAAAAGCCTTTTGGAAGCTTGGAGCTTGTATGATTTGCATTCCTATCTGCCAATCTTACTTACTGATTATTTGCTAGGTCCTTCTTTTTTTTTTTGAGATGGAGTCTCACTCTGTCGCCCAGGCTGGAGTGCAGTGGCGTGATCTCAGCTCACTGCAACCTCTGCCTCCCAGGTTCCAGCAATTCTCCTGCCTCAGCCTCCCAGCCTCCTTCAGTCTCCGAGCTGGGATTACTGGCACACACCACCACATCCAGCTTAGTTTTGTATTTTTAGTAGAGATGGAGTTTCACCATGTCGGTCATGCTGGTCTCGAACTCCTGACCTTAGGTGATCCGCCTGCCTGGGCCTCTCAAAGTGCTAGGATTACAGGTGTGAGCCAGTGTGCCTGGCCTATTTGCTAGGTCTTTATTTCTACTCCTAATTATTTGTCTTTATTATAATACAAATACATATCTACCTACATACATACATGAGTGTGTGTGTACATATATGTGTGTGTATGTATGTGTACACCTGCTTGTGTATATATACATACGTAATGTATGTAAATATGTACATATAGCACATATATATGTGTACACACACTCATTATTTCAAAATCACTTTAAATTATATGTGGATTGGGGCAAGATATAAATATCAATATATAAAGCAAATGCCCTTACTAAGGCCTTCTTACATGCCAGCCTTTGTGTTGTATGTCCTAGGTATATTGTGTGAGCTCTCTCATTAATTCCAACATATAGTATTTACTTGCTCCAAAAAATCTATGCCTTGTGGCCAAACCCCTGTACACAAGTCAACTTTTATAGGATTATAGGATTATACTCTCTTCAACATGAGAAAATCTGGAGAAATCAACTATTAACTGTAAGGAGACCAGGCGAGCAAACAAGTTGCATTCAGGGCACTTGGGTTGGAGTCTCAGCTCCAGCACTTACCCTTCATCTCACATTGGGCAATTCTCTTATTCTCTTTGAACTTCATTTTCCTTGCTTATAAAATGAATGACGGTTCCTCTATGTCAGGGTTGGCTTAAGACATTCATGGCACAGAAAAAGTGCTCAGCACATTATAAGCACTATTTTGCATGACAAAATTCAACAGACTAAATAAAAAACTCAGAACAAAAGAAAAAGTAGCCAATGCGTCAAGTTTAAACCATGATGCTCTGCAACAATAACACTTTTTCACTGCTTCTTAATTTTCCTTTTTATTAACTTGTGCTACTTGAATTAGTCACTCACCAGAATGCTGAATCTTGGAGACCCATCACTTTCATCAAATTCTTAGACTTTTTTCTCTCTTTTGTTACATTGAGCGATATAAAATATACAAGTGGGGAGAAATGAAGCAAGAAGAAGAAAATAAATATCTCATTGTGAAGAAGATCTTTACTTATGAAAGGTAACGTCTTCATAGTTATAGCAGTAACTGACATCAACTCCTCCATCACAGAGTGATTGGTTGTGATCTAAAGTAGAGTTTAAACAAACATAATTATTATTTAAAAGATAGAAACTGGTGAACTATGAGTAAGCTCTGTGTATTTTACTAATGTCAGTTCTCCAATTTTTCTTACTATATTGTAGTTATGCAAGATGTTCCCAGTAAAGACAACTGGATGAAGGCTACATGCACTTCCCTGTACATTGTATTTGCAGCCTCCTGTGACTCTACAACCACTTCAAAATTAGTTTTAAAACCAGTAACATTGGCTTTAAAGTTTTCAAATAGATATGCAATGTGTTCCTTGGTCTGAATATCTACTTCATTATATAACCACAGGAAAATCTGATTATGTATCATTGCTACGGTTTGAAAGTGGCCCCTCCTAAATTCTTGTTGAAACTTAATTCCCATTGTGATGGTATTAGGAGGGAGGGCCTTTGGGGTAGTGGTTGGGTCATGAGGGTGGAGCCCTCATGAATGGATTAGTGCCTTGTAAAAGGCTAGAGGGAACTAGCTGAGGCATGTTTTGCTCTCCGTTCTTCCAGCATGTGAGGACACTTAGTGCTATCTATGAGGAATGGAACTTCACCAGTCTTTCAGCCTGCCAACACCTTGATCTTGCACTTCTCAGCCTCCAGAAATAAATTTCTGTTCTTTACAAATTACCCAGTCTCAAGTATTTTATTGTAGCAGTACAAACAGACTAAGACAATTATCTTTCATCAAAATCTTAAGGTCTCTGGAAGTAATTGACATTAATTAGTAGAATTTTTCAATCAAGCACTTACTTCTATAATGGCAGTATTAATAGCTGTTTGTAAAGCCACAAATCCTCTATTCCAGTATTTGGTCAATTTACATGGAAACTCACCATATGCCTCCCAGCAATGAGCTGTAAGCACAAAGAAAAGCACAGCCAACATTATGGGATAAGGGCAGTTGGAGAATATGAAACAAGTATTGGAAAGAAAACAATCTAGAGGAGACTCTACCAGTAAACTTTTTTGGTGGTGGTGTTTTGTTTTCGTTTTTGTTTTTGTTTTTGAGATGAAGTCTCACTCTGTTGCCCAGGCTGGAGTGCAGTGGTGTGATCTCAGCTCACTGCAAACTCCACCTCCTGGGTTCATGTGATTCTCCTACCTCAGCCTAACGAGTAGCTGGGAATATAGGCACAGGCCACATTGCTAGCTAATTTTTGTATTTTTAGTAGAGACAGGGTTTCACCATGTTGGCCAGGCTTGTCTCCAACTCCCTACCTCAGGTGATCCATGCACCTCGGCCTCTCAAAGTGCTGGGATTACAGGCATAAGCCACCATGCCTGGCTCACCAGTAGACTGTTAACCACACAGAAAAAGGAAGAAAATAAATGAAAGCTTTTAATAAGGCAATTTTATTCTTGCAGACCACAGCCTGCTTAGAAAGTCTTAGAAAATAAAAAGGAGATGAAAGCAAACACTCTGCAAACACTCTGCTCCAGCCATAATGGACTCCTTGTTTCTTGACATTCTCCAGAGCCTCTCGTCAATCTATTCTCCAGGCTATATCTGGAGTGCTCCCCTAATCTTGGAAACCAAATTACATTTTTGCCCTGATTAAAGTGACTCAGTGGCTATTCCTTGCCTAGATTTACAAGATGCCACAGAAGGTAGCACTTGAATGACTTCAGCTTCACTCTCCCATTACATTCCTTTTCATGTTCCTTGTTCAGCTATACTGCTCTTCTTCCAGATATAGGAACAGATGTCCTTTCTCACCTCAGGGCCTTTACAATTACCTTTCTTCTGTCTGAAACACAATGCTTCTAGCACCTCACACCTGCTATTCATTCTGGTCTCCCTTTAAACATCATTTCCCCAGGTAAGATTTCTCTAATCCCACTATTAGGAACCCCTGGCCTGAGTGCCCATGAAACATTTTTTCTTGTACTTGTTCAATGTCTGTCTTTGCTGCTAAACTGGAATCTCACCTGAGGCTGGGGCCTGTCAGTCTTGGTTACTCATGTGCCCTTTGACACATGCATGTGCGTGCTCAAAACATACATATTGGGTGACTCTACAATTTTTGCAGTCATCCTGTAGCAGGAACATACGATTGACCTTGAAATAAGTTCAGTAATGAAATGGGCTTTCTTTATTTTCTCATGTGTCATTGAAAGCATCTCTGTTGCCCACCCTCACCTGTTCTTTATGCAGAAAACATGAAAAATGCCATAATATATTTGATATGGAAAGTCACCTGAGAAATCATCTTCTTTCCAAAGTGGAATGTTATATCCCTGTAAATATGTTAACTTATAAGAGAAAGTTTCATTAAAGATGATTCCCATAGCATATGGAAAGTTTTCCAGAAGTATTTCATTCATGTATGTTTTATTTGGTGCCCCAATGACACTTGTTCCTGTGAATAACAAGGTAAAAATAGACAGAAAATTGTAACAGAGTTTTGCCACAACATAATGTGATATTCAGCTGTTTCCCCATATAATTTCATTAGACTTAAAATCATTTTCCATTTAAATCAAACTTGAACCCAAATGTGAGGGGGGAAATTTTCTTTTAATGGTTTAGATTCTACAATCAGAAGACATGCATAAGAATTACATGTTTTCTTTTCATAATGACAAGTATCAGGGCAAGTTTTAAGTGCATAAAAAAAATTGTGCCAGATTAAGTATGCATAAGAGAATCGGAGTACAAAAACAGAAGTAATTGTTGTAGTTACTATATAGTCAGGGATTCCTTATTTCAGATTTACTGAAGCAAAGACAATTTACATGACCTTTGCCTTCTGCAGAAAACAAGATTTTTAAAAAGCGACTCTACTTTCAATAGCTAGGAATTTCACTTGTCAGGAATGGAGGATTAAAGAGTAAATAGCCAAACTGAACCCAATTTGCCCATGAATAAAATATGCATTTTGCTTATTTTGGTTACATCATAATGATCTCATTTAGAATAAAGACTTTTAAAGATGTTTACTGATTGTACTACATTCAGAACAGAATAATCATCAGATTATTCATTTCTACTTTTCAAAGTTACGAAATTATAGTTCAATAACCATGACCTATTTTATTTATTTAGATGTTTTTCTCCTGAGATACAAATCTTAATCATTGTATGACATGTTAAAAACACACACAATTTTCAATGACTATATTCCTTCTAGATACTATCCTGCAAATCTAAAAGTATAAATCTGGGTTTAGTTATATTCCAATAGAAATATAGACCTCCCTAAACTGGACTCCCATCAAGCTGAAAATATTTCAAAGACTAATTGTTGTGAGAGAAAGCAATAACCTAACCAGATTTGTATGCTATTTTAATACTTAAGTTATTAGCATAACATATGGCTGTAACTTCAAATTAATGTGTAGACAACTTATCAATAGTATATAAACTTCTATCAGTAATTCTTTTTTTGCCATGAGTATACCTACCTTTCAAAAGAGGAGCAAGTGCTGTTTTATTCATTATCTGCTGGGTTAAATTAGATATTGGTGTATACACAACCTTTAAAGAAGAGCTATTAAATTTATCTACCCTTCCCAGATTCTGAGGAGCCATTCCAGGAAACTGGACATTTCTCATGGAATTGGAAAACAGAGCAATACACAGTCCTAGAAGTATTGAGAGTCCCCACTCCTGTAATGCACAAAAAAAGAAAAATAAGGAATTAAAGTTGCGTTCACTTCAAGATCTCAGTCAATACCAAATACTGTTGAAAACAAATTCCAGTTGTGCTATACAGTTATGTTCTCTCTGCTCTCCAAGCCTCTGAGCATGGAGAATCAAATGAAAGATAAATACTAAGACAGTAGCCACATTTATCATTCTCTAATACTAGAACAAAACTTTTGCATTAAATCATGAATTCCTGCAGAAGCCCTCATAGAAGCTAATGGAGTGAATAACAGGATAACAATCTCTATATGCATGGACAGCTGACTATAGAATTTATAAGACATGGAGTATCCTAGATAGAGTTTATGTTGGCAAATAGCAATATTTTTGCCAGTTGTCATATCCTTGTATTGTAAACTAAAGAACGTGAAAAGGAACTGGCTGGTGGAGGCTACTACTATTGCTGTTCACCAGTGTCAATCATCATTACCTCTTTGGTACCATGCTAGACTACATTCTCAGCCTACTGAAATTAAGTGGAACCAAATGATTTCCTGGCCCACAGGATGTGGGCAAAAGTGATATGTACCACTTCCAGGTCTGGTTCATGGACATATACAAATTTCTATATTCTCACTGTCTTGGTCCCACTGTTTCCTGATGTTCTGACTGAATGCAGAGGATCCTCTAGAGGTTTTCAAGGTCCAGGATGGTGGCGGAGGCCCTGGATGAAGCCTAGGTGCCTGAATGATTGTGTGGAGAAGATTTCTTCACCCACCCAACCTACTTTACTTCCACTCTCAACTTTCATTAGACCATGAGGAGTTAAAAATAAACATTTGCTGTGTTAAGCCACTGAGATTTAGGCTAGTCATCTATGATTAGCCCACCTGCTTGATGCAAACTGACTATCAGTGGTGTTAGTTGATTATAATTCTTAAAAACAATCTTTGTGTAGAAAATTCATGTCCTTGAAAATAAATCCACAGAATTAAAATGTCTCCATTTCTCCTGGCAACATTTTTTTTGTACTTCTTGGCTGTAAGCGTATGACATTTGGTAGTAGCTCTAGCAGTTGCTGTAATTTATCATATAATTAAATGTTCACTTAATCTCTTTTTATATGAGTAATTATCTTAGTCTTTAATTATGTTATTCTTCAGAGACTGTGGTGAGTCTCTCAATTCAACAAACGTAACTAGAGAGAACTGTAAAATCAATAAATCCCATTTGCTAGTCAAAAGAGCACATAAGAGAATCGATAGGTATTGAAACACTGTAAGAGTGCTAACTGTGGAAAGAGACAAATTTTTAAACGTACCAATAAGCTCTCTCTTTTCATCCTCCATTTCTTAAGAAAATTCTTGCACAGAAGTGCTTTAGTTTGCTGATACACACTTTTCTGTTTCATATTCATTTAGCCTATTCACTGAAGGAGAAAGTAATCATGGTGGAATACAACCTAGAAAAAAATAAGTGTAATAAGGGAAACCTTGATCATACTGTTGAGGAAAATATTTACTACCCTTAAAAAGTGTAAACATAAATTTAAAATACTATTTCAATAATTTATGACTGTAAAATTTCACCTCAAATACTTCACCTTAAGCTTTTTAGGGGAGTAGGTGATGGTGGGAAGGCAGAGTGATTATTATCACAATTTTGCAATAAATTGGAGAACTGAAATGGAAAAGCTGTAATTCAAGTTCAGAACCTATAAGATAATTTCACACTTTTGGCCTTGTATAAGAGCACTTTAAGTACATGAATAGAGTAATTAAATTAATTTCATCCTGTTAATAGCAATTTCTTGTTCTTTACATTTAAACAGAAATCTCAGAGCTAATCAAATTAACATCAAAAGTCTGATTACTTAAATTTGTCTGAATAATAAATTAACACTAGATACAACCTCAATAAAGTGTTTTCTTGTAACTTTACTTTCAGATGGAATCAACTTTTATCAAAAGAGTTAGGTTGTAAACCATAATCCAGTCTCAAACTACTTGAAACTTGGTTCTGAGATACAAGAAGAATAAAGCAATTTCTCTCAATTTTCTGAATTCAGAAGTCCCTGAATAACTCAGGAAACTACAAAATTAGTTTTAAAAGAAACAAAAAGAAATCATATGGGAAAGTAATTTTGTCCAAAGGTTTGCAAATAAAGAAACACAAACAATTTGTTTTAGTTTCTGTAACCTCAAAATGAAATTCTTTCATATTTTTACATCAAAATATTCAGACAATTCTCTAGCACAGAAGCAAATGTTTTCCATTTTTCTATGTCTTACTGTTACAATGTACACAATACAAAGTGGTTGGGAAGAAGCAGAAAAATTTAGTCTTAGGTCTTTAACATAAAACACATAAGAATTGGGAAACATCTGAAAAACAGATTGATTTTAGCAGTGTCCACCCACATATTTGGCATAGCACAACAAAATAGAACTTTACTTACTGTCAGGAAAATAATAAAAAGCACTCTAGAAACACTGTCAAACCCAGTTCTCTGTTTGTCTAGGTAACGATTACAACTTCTTTATTGCTGCTTCTTCATTTTTTCTTTAAATGGGTGCCTACTCCAGCAGCTCTTACACAGCCTGGTTTCTGGAAAAGGGGTGTAGCCAGACCAAGCTGTACATGATGAACTTGTTTTGTTTTCTGTGTCTCTTTCTCCCTAAGCCAATTATTTTGCAAGGAAATGACTGTTCCGTGGTTGGTTGGGAATAAAAAAAACTGTGTTTGTTCACTTAGCCTTTCAACTACAGGGATAAGGGAGAAAATGGTAAACGAGGAAAATGGAACTAGTTCTTCAGAAATGATGAGACCAAGATGGAGGCAGGAACAAGAAAGAGTAAAAACAATAATCAAACAAAGCAGTTAAATTTGTATGAGAAATCTGTATCTATTTTATTTTCACTACTGATGAATAAACACAACTACCAGTTAGTTGTATATTTAACTAATTCAGACTAAGTTAGCAGAACATTCTGGAGCTGATTTTTTTTTCTGAATAAAGCTAAGCAATCCATAGTATGCTTTGGAGAAACTCCTAGGATAGACAAATGAAGACTTTTCCACAAATTTATTTCTCCCACCCTCTTCACAGTGGATGAAGGATTTCATAATACACATGAACAAAATAAGCCACTGGTTTGCCAAGGTCTACAAAACATATAAAAAGATTCAGATAAATTTTTGTGCATGAAGACTATAACAAACTGAAACGTGTTCAATTCATATAGCATAGTGTGTCTCCCTCTGCTCTGCAAAGAGTTGCAAACTTTTCTTGACCTGCCACAGTGAATGACAAAACAGGAAACCAAAGTCCATGAATTGGGAAATCTCAAATATTTGACATGGCTCCCAATCCACAGATGTTAATGATCATAAAGCTGAGAAACTTTCTGGAGCAAAGCAGATAATTTAAACAACAACAACAACTACAGCTATGATACTATTATGTGTATACGTGTGTGTGTGTGTGTGTGTGTGTGTGTGTGTGTAATTTCTCTCCTTGGCAATTACTTCTGTGTTTAAAAATAGTCAACAGTGACATGCCACTTCTTTTACATTGAAAACTGCACAAACACTGCTAATATAGGTGTTCTAAAGTTCTCATGGGGTGTGGGAAGGGAGGTCATAAACACTCTTAACATTTGGTATTAGGAATACAACAAAACTCAAAGTTACTTTTAAACTACCTGTAACACAGTTAAGGTTTTTATGAAAGTTTTTGTTGTTATCATTGTTTTAGACCCTTTATACTTTATTTTAGGAATCATTTTCATTCTACCATCCTTATAATTGTACTAAAATTCACAGCTACAATATCAATGATAATTAGATTAAATATATTTATTAGTTTCATTTCTTACCATTGTTTCTTGTGTATGCTTTCTCTTCCTTTTTCTTGACCTGTTTCCTCTTATTTATTTTCATTTTGGGAGGCCATTCTCCTTATGTAATGTAACAATTTCCCCACAAATAGTGACCTAATATACTAAAGTGCCCAGCCTCCAGCTAGAAGGGCATGGAAATGGTGGGTAAAATAGATCCCCAAATTGAATTTCCAATACATAGTCAAATTCAAAAAAGGAAGAAAAAAGATGAAGAATGTAAACAACAATGGAACAAACAAACAAACAAACAAAGACAGAAAGACATGTTTCCAGGTGTTAAAACTGAAAAGGAATTTAAAGTTTCCCTAAAGTTGTGAGTGGGATTTCAGATACTCCAGCAGTTGAAGGATATATTGGACTGAAAACCAAACCTTAGGTGTTTTAATGACCCTCTGTCCTGAACTTGGTCCTTGAAACGTTGGTAAGCTGGAGTTCATATTCCTGGGAATCCAGAGGGTTTATAGGACTGTCCAGTGCTAAAAACAGACTAGGAAAATTTCACCTACAACCTCAGGGAAGAGTAAAGCTGTATTCTCTGCCCAATTTCTGTAAGACAGACAGACAGACAGACAGACAGACAGACAGACAGACAGATAGATAGATAGATAGACAGACAGACAGACAGATAATCGCCCATAGAAAATGAAACCCCAAAGTATGTAGAGCATGTATCATGTACAAGAGACAGGAGAAGAATCTGAATTTATTCTCCCAGCATAATAACATGTCCAGAGATGTATTTTAGGCGTTAGTGTATACACTCTGGAGCCGAACTTGCGTTCAAATTCTGACTCTGCCATGTACTAGCTGTGTGACCTTGCACAATCCATTTAACTCTTATCCCCTCAGGTTTTTCTACCCCCAAAAAGTGGGAAAACAACAGCATTAATATATATATGGTTATTACAGGGGTTAAATTCATCTATGTAAGTACATAGAACAATGAGGGAAAATTGTAAAAGCTCAAAAAATGTTGTGTGCTGCTACTTCCCCTCCTCCTCCCCCCTCCTTCTCCTCCTCTTACTCTCCTGGAGTGTCACAGAGAAAACACAAAAAATTCCATAAAGATACATCCAAATTTCAGAACACAAAGCAACAGAGGTAAAAGAAATATTCCTCCCACTAGATAAAGTCATAATCAAAAGTCTACCATGAAAACAAATCAGTAGGACAAACAAATGAGACTATTCGAAAACCCAAGAACTAAGGAGGAAATTATTGTGAGCTAAGCAAGGTCTCTCAAATGTGACTAATACAAAATTCTAGTAGTAGTATTTTTAAGATCTTCCCCCTTTTTTTTTTTTAATAATTATGTGTGTTTCTTTGGGAACTTTGCTGATTGTTGCACTTAGATTTAATCATTCCGTAGTCTTAAATTTTCTCATCTGGCCAATGATTTTTTCCCATTAATGACCCATATTAAAGAAGTCTAGATTCATCAGAGTGGTGGTTGGATTCTGCTGGCAATTGATTAGGTCAGTAATTCTTTTCTTTCCTTTTTTCTTTTCTTTTCTTTTCTCTTTTCTTTTCTTTCCTTCCTTCCTTTTCTTCTTTTTCCTTTTTTATTTTTTTCTGACAAGCTAACCCCTTTTTTTCCTTCCCCTTCATTTCTCTCTGTAAGACAGACACAAGATTCACCAGAAACAAAAGTCCTCTTCACTTCAGTTACTACCACAGCCTGGAGATGGTGTTGGCTGTGTAGCCAGGGTTCTTGGTAGGACTTTTTTCTTTCTGGGTGACCCCCTACACTGGTTACAAGTGAAAAAAACACAACAACAAAATGAAACCACATGGTAGAATGATCATGAGGCTGAGCATTTTCTTCCTTGACTAAACTCTCTGCTCTGTTCAGTGATATAACAGGCTTTCCCTTAGCTGGATCATGATTTCATAAGTCCCCTAGCAAGGTCGAAGAACGTAATATGGGCTTTCAAATTTCTCTTCACTTTCCACCTTTCCCAATCTAATCACAGATGTGCTAGCTCCTGGCATCTTTCTTTCGTCTAGCAAATAATTATTTGGGATGCTAACAATATTATAATAAAAGCCTGGGACCTTTCTTGGTTCCATGTTAGCTGTATATTTCTGCCCTCTTTTTTTGTTTATGGAAATGGGCACTTCACTTGGCATTACTGCAAACAGTCTCTAATTCCTTCCTTTCTGGGTAAATTTCTGGACTGCTAGGGATGGAAAGGATTGGTACAACTCCACACAATGACCCAGATATTCTAGGAATATATTTGAAGTGATTATATAGATAATTGCTGTAATGGTTAATACAGAGTGTCAACTTGATTGGATTAAAAGACACGAAGTACTGATCCTGGGTGTGTCTGTAAGGTTGTTGCCAAAGGAGATTAACACTTGAGTCAGTGGTCTGGGAAGGGCAGACCCACTCTTAATCTGGGTAGGCACCATCTAATCAGCTGCCAGCTCAGCCAGAATAAAAAGCAGGCAGAAAAACATAAAAAGGCTAGACTGGCTTAGCCTCACAGTCTACATCTTTCTCCTGTGCTGGATGCTTCCTGCCCTCAAATATGGAACTCCAAGTTTCTTCAGCTTTGGGACTCAGACTGGCTTCCTTGCTCCTCAACTTGAAGACAGCCTATCGTGGGACCTTGTGATTGTATGAGTTAATACTACTAAATAAACTCATATACATATATATACATATAAATATGGAATTATATATATATATGGAATAATGTTGCATGTATATGTTTGGCAGGGTTCTCTAGAGGGACAGAACTTCTCCAGCATTGTTTCTAACAGGAAAACTGAGAAACAATCTGTATATCTTTCAATTTATTCTTAACTAAAAAGTTTTGGTACATCCAAACACTGAAATGCTAGATATGCACTACAAAAAAAAAAAAAAAAAACCTGACTTAAACTGACATAGGTATACAATAAACTAGAAAGTGTGATGTTCATAGTAGGATGTTAAGTATTTATATAATAGTAGATATAATATTATCCTGTGTGTATATGATAGAAAAACGTATTAGCTAAGAAAGAGTATTTTCCAGTTTAGATTGTATAAACACTGTAATGTTTATGGAAAAACATATAAGAATTTAAAAATTTTTATTTTTTAAAATTAAACGAATTATCCACTTTGACAATTTTTAAGTGTACAATTCAGTGACATTAATTGCATTCACAAAGTTGTGCAGCCATCGCCACTGTCTAGTTCTCAAATTGTTCGTCAACCCAAACAGGAATTCTGTAACCATTAAGTGATAACTCCCACTCTCTCCTCCCCCGAGCCACTAGTAATCTTTAATTTCTTTCTGCCTCAGGGAATGTGCCTAATCTATAAATAGATATTCCATATGAGTGTAAGCATACAATATTTTTCCTTCTGTGTCTGATTTATTTCAAGCAAATTTTGTTTTATTATATCTTTGCCACAATAAAAAAAATTAAATGGATTGAGACACTGAGACTTTATGGGCAATAAATGTACATTCATTTTATTTGCAACAGTTGTTTTTTCTTTTTTTTTTTTTTACCCAATCCAACACAATCCTGCTAAATTTTTTAATTCATTTGCTTCTGTATTCATCCAATGTTTCTTATTGCTCTGCTGCAAACGCTGCTTGTTGGAAGCATGTGAAAGTCAGCAACCGCATATCAGCTCTGCTTTCACAAGGCCTATCTTTTTACCACCACTTCTGACTTTAGGGTGGTTTCTGTGGCAGTGGTCCTCCTGTCGCTTTGGAACAAGACACATTTTCCATTGAAGTTGTTGCTTGCCTGACGTCCTATCTTCCTAGGTGTTTCACAGGACACTTTTAGGCTGACTCTTTCAGTTGGGATTCTGAAACCACAGGTTGTACAAGAAGGGTGGTGCCAACATCTACATCTGGTGAGGCCTCACACTGCTTCGACTTGGCAGAGGTGAAGTGGGGCCAGCATGTGCAAAGATCACATGGTAAGAGAGACAGAGAGAGGGAGAAGGAGATGCCGGGCTCTTTTTAACTACCAGTTCCCCTGAGAACTAACAGTGAGAACTCACTCATAATTGCAAGGACAGTATCAAGCAATTCATGAGGGATACATTCCTACGACCCAAACACCTTCCACTGGGCCCCACCTCCAACACTGGGAATCAAATTTCAACAAGAGATTCAGAGGGTCAAATATCCAAACGACAGCAGATGGATAATAACTTTTTCTACAGGTCAGGGAATAAAGTTATATGAATCTTACAGAAGAGAGAGAACCATCAGTTGATATCTGAACCACTTACCTTAAGACTCTAGTAAACAAAACATAAGAAAAGTCCATCAAAGTTTTATTTCTAAGAAGTAAATTTGCATATAACCCAAACTTAACAACTCTGGTATTACATCACTACAGCTCTAACATTAATGCAGCAATTATATAACACAAAAGTGTTATAATGACATGGGAAATGTTCGCAAACTGTGAGGTGAAAAGATACAGAAAATGACTATGCCTACTGATATTACCTTTGAAAAAGGACTCATAAAAAATACATTGAATATAAGTTGGCTAAATAAAATATTAACTGTGGTACTTTCTTACAGATTATGGTTATCTTCTTCCATATAATTTCAATATGTACTAAAATTCACATGTATTTATTTTATAATCAGAATATGTCATTTTAATGCTATGTTGTGCCATTTCATCAGATCTTCTTATAGTCAATGTCACATTAAATTAGAATCTGAGTAACTAATGTTTAAAAATAGCTAATACATTTGAAGTTCAGGCTAAAAAAACTCATATTTTTTTTTGTAAAATGTGCTCAGTGTTAGCTTTATTGATGATAACCAAAAACCAACCTAATATTACATGATTTTTAAATTATTTTTAAGCCCAAAATAGACCACGTTGGAGAGGAATAACATGTCTGATTTTGTTAATTTTTTCTACTGCTTTTCCCTATATTTCCTTGTTTCCTTCATCCTAAAATTTTTAAAAATGAAAACTTTAATCATTACTGAATATTTAAACTATTGAATATTTTCTTTTGTTAACTGAAGTAAAAGGAAACATTCTTGTAGAATTATGGAAACTAACAATGTAGTAGGACCTAAAATTGAATGTTAGGAGGTTCTTCGTTTTAAGGGTCTTCCTGTGGGAGAAGTTTCCATTGAACTGTTGTATCAATTTTATCATCAACATTTCCCATCTCCTGCTCTTTACAGAGTTCTAAGAATACCTAAGTAAGAGAAAATAAAAAAGATACAAAAAAGTCAGGGTGTTTCTGAAAGACTGATTCACACAGAGGTCATCTGGATGGTGCTCACTCGTTCAATGAAAACCCACCTGCTCCAAGGTAGCCTGAGAGAGGCTGTATTCCTTTAGGTTGAAGGTCTGTTTCACTGCATTTAAAGAGACTGACATTAGTGGCTTATATATTTTTCACCAAGTGTTTGTAAAGTCATACAACAGAGACAATAACTTCAAATTGTTTAGATACTGTAAGATATAGGCCAAATAATTACATTTCTTTGAAGGATAAATTAAACAAGAGTGCTGATATGGCTAATAAAAGATAGCCATGCATGAACATATTCAGTTTCCTATAAACTCTCTCTAAAAAGCTCCTTGTGTCCTATTTTAGTATTATCCTTTTGATTCTTTACATGTATGCTTTGGACTCCAAATCAGCTGTCGAGAACAACTTATTCTATATTTATAAATCTATAGAGGAGTCTACTCCATGCTGGCTCCCTTTTAACAAACCCCACATTTGTACATTCTGCAGTGTCTCTGGAACTAGTTCAGAAGCCCCTCCTCAATTGTGACTTGTTACACCTCACCCTTCTGTGTTTTCTTTTGCTGACCTTCACTCAGTCCTCCAATTGTTACCTCTGTACATTTGCTCCTGGGACCTTGGCTTTTAGAAACATAGAGACCCCAAAAGCTCCCCTTGGTATTCTTTGGGACAACATTCTCATAATTATCCTTCAATTCTATGCACTGTTGTCATGGTAAGAAACAGCCCTGGTACCCCAATTCAATCCTGCAGGATGGAGTAACCTGACTGACTTGTGGCTGGGCTTCCTGGTCAGCACAGGAAGAATCAGGTGGAGCAAACCCACATCTAGGACCACCACTTCACTTCCTTTGAGACTGTTATGACTATCCTGGTAGGGATTTTTCAAGTTTTGATTGACTATTTAATTGTTCTACTTGAAATTACATAGTCTACATTTGACATAAAAATAATGCAAACAATACACAAAGTCTTATTTATATATATCCAAACTTACCTGCCTCTAATTTGAAAAAGGCCCGAGACAGAGGGTGGACATCCTCCACAGGTAACTTATACGCCATAAAAGAGGAGTATCTGTCAGGAAGAAGAGTGAGATTGATCACTGAGTTCCAGTGTGATAACACTGGGGAGGAATTAACAGGCAAAGTAAAATAATTTTTCAAAGTGTTCTTTAAATAAAAATGTCTCACTTGATACAGCATGAATCGATGTGAAATAACATATTCAACCATAAAAAATGTTATAACAACAAACATCTAGTTGCTTCTAATTTTATGTTGAATATAAATTCTGAGAAATGGTTTTGATCAAGAATCTTTCCCACTCAGCCTGCACTTTCTTATTGTGCTATATTTCTTACTCTCAAAAAGCAACCTTTCTAGAACATTTGTGTTACTTTCCCTTCTCTCATAGGAGAGATTGAGATTTAATTTTCAATCTCTCCTATAAGAATTAAAATATGTTGAACCCTCTCCTGCTAAAAAAAAAATCTTTCTTGACCTTCAGACCCCCTTTCATGTGCACAATCCAATAAACACTCTTCAATCCTCATTCTGCAGATTTCTCAAAAGCATTATATAAAATTGTACACACCCTCCTTAAAACAAACAAAATCTTTCTCTCTTAGCTTCTGAGACAACCACACTTACGATTTTCCTTCTAATTCTCTAGGCCTGCACTGCTTAATAGAGTAGCTATTAACTCCATGTGGCTATTTACATTTAAAGTAATTAAAATAAATAAAATTGAAAATTCAACTCCTCATTCACACTAGCCACATCTGAAGTACTCAGTAGCTACATATGTGTATTGACTACCATCCTGGACAGCACAGATAGGACATTTTCATTATTCCAAAAATTCTACTGGCCAGTGCTGTTCTAGATAGTCCTCAGTATTTGTTGGTATGGTTGCGGTGGTACTGTCCACACAGGAGGATTTATTTTCTTCCTCAATCCCATCTCAAAGCTGAGAGCTCCTGGGGTTCATCCTAGACCCTCTTGACTTCCTATCTCTCTTGTTGGCCTCAACATTCTCCTAGTTTAGTGGTCTTCTATATGGTTAAAAAATCCCCCACTTTGTTTGTTGCCAGGCTGGATCTCAATGACCTCTTCCTTCTCTTGTGAGCCACAGGTCTACATCTCTGTATTTTGTCATCTCCACTTGAATATCCCTTTACACATCAACTACATGAGCTTTTGTTTCATCCTTCACATTTGTAGAATTCATCCTTGACCTAAGTTCTTTAAACGAGCTGTTTCCTGGAAACAGTGTCTGTTACTCCCACTTTTCAGCTGACCGAACCCTGCTCAGTCTTAAAGCCCTACCTCAATGTCATATCCTCATTTATTTGTATCTTCATTTGCTTAATATCCTAAGCTCTAAAAGAGAAGAACCTTGTCTATTTTGTTGACTATTCAATACATAGCCTGCAGCAGATAATAGGTGTTCAATAAATATAATAAATATTATAAAAATAAATGAATAGAAATGGTATACAAGAAAATTCTGTTCATCTTTCAATTAAATTCAGCCTTATTCTGCTATTCACAAAGATTTGATTACCATTACTTGTAACCCATGGCTGACCACATACAACTTTAAAAGAAACATTGGGAGGATCAACTGATTTATAACTGAATAATACAGGATAGAGTCAATCCTTCTCAAGCATGGAAGTCTGTGTTATGGAACTTTTGATGCGATTTATATTCAGCAAAATCCTGTAGGTGAAAGCATTGTTTTCATTGTTTATTTTTTAAAAATCATTTAAAAGTTGATAGTTTAATTTGTCTGAACTTTGTTCTTAATCTCCAAGCCATTCCACCATTTACACACATACATATGAATGCACACACACACACAACATTCACCTTTTCTGAGGTCTAAAACACTCACTAAAAATAACTGTTTAGTTTTTGTAATGCATCCTAGCAATCCTCAAACAGCTTGTTATGTAATGAATAAGTCCACTCTGCCTTTCTCTTCCTGTTTAGACTAGCACAAAACTAATTGATGCTAATACTGGAAAACACTCATACTTGTCACTCAAACCAAAAACATCCTTTACCTTTCCTGCCGAGCAGCCTGTGGGAAAAGCTTCAAAATCTCTGTGTGGAGAGCTTTCACCTGAGTAGGTTCTTTCATTTTTATTTCTAGTAAATAATCTTTACCAAACTTGTTTTTCAGATGTTGAATGGAACCAATACACCTAGTTCAGGGGAAATAAAGAAAAAATACTTGTCTCTTAATTTATTCCTTGGTTCTCACTGTAGAGGAAGGTGTTTAATTATAGGTTAGGGAGCTGTAGAGCATCAGCTGTTCATAGCAAACTGAAACTCTCTCTATAAGAACATGTTAGTCTCATGCTGGCTCAGGACAGGCACCCACCTTAGCGTTCCTGAAACCATGATGGCCACACGGTCACACACAGCCTCAGCCTCCGACATGTAATGGGTGGTCAAGAGGGCGCCCCTCTCCTTGTTTTTAACGGTAGCCTGAAGTATCTGCCTAAAGATAAAGTAAGGGATTGTTTACATTTAGAAAGTAATTTGGGAAAACAGATAAATAGAAAAAAGCAGGAAATCTAAAGAGAAGATGTTATGTTAGGATGCAAGAAGCCTGTGCAAAATGGTGAAACCCCATCTCTACAAAAAATTTAAAAATAAGCCAGGCATGGTGGCACATGCCTGTGGTCCCAGCTACTTGAGAGGCTGAGATGAGTGGATCGCTTAAGCCCAGGAGGTTGAGGCTGCAGTGAGCTGTGATCACACCACTGCATTCCAGCCTGGGAGATGGAGCAAGACTCTGTGTCAAGTAATACAATAAAATAACAAATAAATAAATAAATAGATAAATAAGGCTACAAGAGAAAATCCTTGCCATAGAGAAAAAGAACAAAAATTGTGCTACATTACCTAATGATAGTACCATATTAATAGGCTTCATAAAAAGAAGAGTATTGGTAAAATAATGCACTATTGGAGAAGAAAAGTAGAAAAGTTGGAGTAAAAAAATAGAGAAACATCACACTATGTGACTTTCAATAATTGAAAAATGAAATGGAAAAATAAAAAGACAGGGGGAAGAGGAATAAGAGAAGAAAAATCCAAACAAACATAATCAAGAGTCTATTTGGGTCTTAAAATATCTATTTTTTCCTTCCTGGAGGAATTTTGAATGCTGTATTAGGTTTCACTGAATTACAAAATAGAAGATGTGCCCGTCAAAGGTTAATGGAGCAAAATGTAACAAAGAAACATACAAAAAATAAAATAAAAACCTAGATGTATTCTATTGACTCTGACACTTAATATTCACTCTCCTTACCACATTTGCTGCTGCCCCTCGGGGTCCATCCCAGTAAACGGCTCGTCTAGAAGCACCACTGATGGGTTCCCCAGGATGCTCAGCACAAAGCACAGCTGCAATGGGAGGAACAGCCCATGGGCACCCAGCCAAGGGTGCACAGAGCAACCCCGAGCCCGGCCCATACCTTTCTCTTTATTCCCTCTGATAGAGTTTTCACGGGAGCCTTAAGTTGCTCCTGGAGCTTGAGAGCTTCCACCAATCTGACAAAAAACAGTGTGATTATACATGAAGTATATGGCAAATGGACCTATCTAAAACAACTATAGGAAACCCTAAGCACTGTTATTCTAGATAGTAAATTTAAGCTTCCTTAACATTTTCATACATGCTAAATCTTGTGATTTGGTTCTTATGCAGGTAGTTGGATCATTTTATTTGCATGAAAATTTAAAGACACTGTTTATAATTTCCTTTTTATATACAATAAAGAAATGACATATTTTTCCCTTCCTCCAGCTACAGATTGTGAGACTTCTCTCTGTACCGTGAAATACTAAGAGCAGCATCTTCTTTGCCCAGTCCTTTCACGGCTGCATACAACTCCAGGTGCTCTTTCATTGTAAGCTTGGGCCACAGTGAGTTCTCCTGAGGGCAGTACCCCAAGAACTTGAGACTGTTGTCATGCTGTTGCCTTACCGATGTTCTGCTGTCTTGTAACACCACCTACAGAAGACAATGAATGTCAGATCCACCTTTGGTTTTTGCTCCAATCCCCTTTCTACTAAAGGAGATAGAAGTGGCTATTAAGCTACAATATTTTTTGAATACGCAAGAGAAATTTTATAAATTATTTCATCTATTTTTTTAAAAGATATTTGATTTACTGATAGGAATAATAGAAGGATGTCATCAATATTTAAAATAAAATTTCCTTCACATATCACATACCACTCCTGCACATGGCTTTGTGTATCCAGTTATCATTTTGATGGAAGTACTTTTACCAGCTCCATTGTGTCCTAGTAATCCCAAAACTTCACCTGGAAGAAAGAGCCACCATCAATATTTGAATTTTCTCTTCTTTTTTATTTTTTAAAGGGTTTTTTTTTTTTTTTTTAGACAAAGTCTGGCTCTGTCGCCCAGGCTGGGAGTGCAGTGGCGCGATCTCGGCTCACTGCAACCTCCGCCTCCCGGGTTCACACCATTCTCCTGCCTCAGCCTCTCGAATAGCTGCGACCCTGTAGTCCGCCACCACACCCGGCCAATTTTTTGTATTTTTAGTAGAAAGGGGGTTTCATCATGTTAGCCAGGATGGTCTCGATCTCCTGATCTTGTGATCCACCCGCCTCGGCCTCCCAAAGTGCAGAGATTACAGGCGTGAGCCACTGCGCCCGGCCAGTATTTGAATTTTCAAGGTTGACTAATCCAGAATTGCTTGGTTGGTTCCATAACATTTTGAAACAAAAGGCTTTTTTTTTTTTTTTTTTTTTTTTTTTTTTTTTTCCGGAGACAGAGTCTTGCTCTTTCGCCTAGGCTGGAGTGCAGTGTTATAATCATTGCCTGCTGTACCCTCGATCTCCTGGGCTCAAGAGATCTTCCTGCATCAATCTCCCAGGTGGCTAGAACTACATGCATGCACCACCACACCCAGTTAATTTTAAAATTTTTTGTAGAGATGGAGTCTTGCTATGTTACCCAGGCTGGTCTCGAAATCTTGGCCTCAAGCCTCCCGTCTCAGCCTCCTAAAGCACTGGGATTAGAGGCACAAGCCACCATGGCCACCCCAAAATAACATTTCTGAAACAAAAGCTTAGTTAGCACCTTGAAAAATCTCCTGTATTACAACATTAATACAGAGAATTGGGGTCTTCTTTATCCAAGATTGGGTTTCTTGCCATTTGAATTGGGATATGATTTTGAAGTAGAAGACTTATCTGCTGACATGTGAACTTTTATAATTACACATTAACCAGGATATATGAACAGCCTCAAAGAATAAAAAGTTGTCCCCTTCATAGTCTTAAATCTAGAGAATAAGAAACATTATAATAATAATAAAAGAAGCAATTATTCAAACCTTTTTTAACACAAAAGGAAATATTTCTGATGGCTATTTTCTTCTTTCTTGTTGAAAAGCAACTTTTCTTTGTGTCATAATATTCCTTGTGTAAACAGCTTGCAGTTATGACTGGCTTCTGAAAAACATGACAAAGCATGATTTCCCTGTTAAATTTCAGATACTTTATGAATTAATGTTTTATTTTCCATTCCCTAGTCTATAAACTGAACTAAATTTTATGTCAGGCTGAAGAGCTTTAGCCTCTTTTTTCAAATAAAATGCCCAAATGTATGTTCATAAATAAGGGCTACTTAATCAACTACTAATAAAATTAATTCCTAATCAAATACATTCCCTTTGCATTATGCTAGCATCTATCCTTGCTCTTTCCACTAATTTCATTCCTACTTTATTCCTTATTGATTTCCATGCATTGTAAATTCATTTGTTCTTGTTCATATGCTATTCAGTTAATAATATTACAAGTAAACTATAATACAAAATGAAATTGCAATTCTTGAGAAACATGTGCGATTTTGTTAAAATTGATTTAAAAAATCAGAGAACTTGTTGATTACACTGATGAATGAGGAGCTGGAAGATTAAGACTCACAGAAAACTGAAGAAGAAAAAATTAAAAGAGTGAGAACAGGGTAGTTACTTTTAAAGAGAATAATTTGAATATAAGCTATAAATAGAAATATTAAAGAAACAAAAGCAGCTTTTCAAAATAAAAACCAACACCTCATCCATTCTACAGCACAAACTATCTGAGCATTTTATTAAGGGTCTAATCACTGTTGTCCACCTCCGCCAAGTTTGGAGTAGTGAGTGTATTTGCTGCTTGGACTCTTTCAGCTTGAACATCTTCATCTTCTTCTTCGGGCTCTTCTGGATTGGGATGAGTTTCTCTACTCCGTGGAGAGATTCTACAGAAGAAACAAAATAACATAGAAATGCAATTTTGGCTTACAACAACTGTTAATAAAATGTAAACGCCTATAATTAAACTATTATCCTTTTTTAAAAAGATTATCACATGATTAATTTATTACCTACAAGATTCTTCTTGGCAGTAATAACACCTCCAGTAGCCAAGTCTCTTGAAATCTTCTTTGACTATTTCTTCTCTTTAAAATATTGTATCCTATCTGTCAAATGGCTCTGTTCCTTCACTTCGTTCTTTTAAGTCACTCAAATGTAGACATACGAGTCTTTTAGTCTGTCACTAGCCAGATCATGACCACTTTCCTCATAAAAGATCATTCTAATTGGTTGTATATGGAACCAGTTTTTACTGTACCTTCTCCTTAGGGACCCATAAAGGCTATAACCAGGAGAAAAGCAAGCTTTGATGCTTAAACACTACTGACAGAGATGTACAGGACAAAAACTCATCTTGCCTAAAATCAGAATCTATGACTTAGAAACTAAATATCCCTGCATCCAATCTAATTGTTTCCTTTTTCTGAAAATAGCACTGTACAACGTGCTTAGCCAAGTGTTGGGTACTAAATCCATTTCAATAAACTGATGTTAAATGTACTGCAATAAAGACTAAATATTTAAGATTATGACAGGAAGATTATTTGAGGCCAGGGATTTGAGACCAATCTGAGCAATATAGCAAGATCCTGTTTCTACTTTCAAAAATAAAAACAAATAAAATTATAAATTTAAAAAGATTAAATATTTAAATTACATTCAGATCTCAATTAGTATTCTCCCAACCTGAAACCCTGTCTCTATTTTCAAAAATAAAAACAAATAAATAAACAAATAAATGAAATTACAAATTTTAAAAGACTAAATATTTAAATTACATTCAGGTTTCAATTAATATTTTCCCAACCTGAAAACTGGGTCTTTATTCATTATTTCATTTCCATACTTCATTTCCAGACATCTTATGACAAAAAGGAAAAGAAGACTCTGAAGGTATGGCTAAAAGAAAAGAAAAATAATTAGAATTAGCATCACGATGGCACTCATACTCAATGGTCAATATTTGTCCATTTTTTGTCACAGAAGATTCAATCATTTTCTTATAAATTTGACAAAAAACTTGTAAAATACTTCTCATGTGGAAGAAAGGTTTATTCAAACTCACCCTCCCACTGAGAAGGAATTAAAAATTCCACATTAATTTTTTTTAAACTTTAAAAAAGTATAGAAGAGCTAATAAAATAATATGGACTTTTTAAGCCAAATCTAAGTGAATACAGGAGATAGGGTTAGCCCCAAAGCTATCTTGTCCTAGAGTTATTCTTTATCCTTGAAATACTCAAACTTCCATTTTCATGCCATGTCCAGGAGCAGAAGACAGAAGAAACTGTTGAAGCACAGAGTCTTCCTCAAGCAAGGAGTAGATAGGTCACTCTTTCTCTAATAAAGGATGGACCTCAAAGGGTTATACTTTTAGTGAGGGGTGAAAAGAACCCTCAGGATATTGCTAACATCATTGCCTTGAGTGCCCATCATGAAAAGAGAAAGTGAAGGTGGAAATACAAGCCAGCTTTTACACAGACTTGGAGCCCAAATTCACATCACTGGATGGTCGAAACAAAACCTCAAGCCTAGAACGTGGTTTAACGTGGTACCAGACTGGTAGTGTACCTATGAACTTGACAAAAGCAAACAAAATGGAATAGTTATCCCAGAAACAGACTCTACATATATAGGTATCTGATATATGAACAGAAGTAGCTCTATCAATGGGAAAGGTGCAGATTTTTCAATAAACAGTTGTCTCAACTGCTGGGACAACTGGACATCCTTAAAGATAGAAATAAAACAAGCCCGCAGGAAAAAAAAAATGAATTTTAGATGATTGAAGATACAAATGTGAAAGGGAAATACAAATATTTTAGAAAATAATATAAAATAATATCTTCTTGACCTTAGGGAGGCGGATTTCTTAAACATTACAGAATATAAAATAAAATTTATTAATTTTTAATGGTTTTATTTAAAATAAATTGATCATTCTTAACAGGGGCTCATAGGCTTTGAGAAGATTCTAGATTCATTCTGCATAAATACTAGAAACAAACAAAAGACAAAAGTTCTCAGTAATCCAGGAATTGAGGGATTTAGTAAGATAAATAGTTTATATTTTTAAAAGTTACTACAATGCTAATGGTTAAGCACTAAGAAAATTCTCAGTAAAATCAGAAACAATGTAAGGATGTCTTCTTGCAACAGTATTAGTGGATGATTTTTAGAGATTCAAGCCAATGTCATAAAGCAAGAATATATAATGCAGTATATATTTTCAAAATAAAAAGATAATTATTTCATGATAACATGGCTGTTTCACAAGAAAAGGCAAGATAAGCATCTGAAAAAAAATTGGAAATAAGAAAATTCAGTAAGGTAAACTGATATAAGATAATTGTACAAGAATTTTATATTTTTGTATAGAAACCTACCTAGAATGTGCACTGGGAAAAAAAAATTTTATGGCAAACAAATAAATACATAAATAAATGTAACTGAATATACACAAAACAGAAATAAAGTAAGAATATCAAATAAAATATTAAAGTATATAAAATAAACCTTAAATGCAGATAAACCTTTAAACATAAATATTTTCAACTCACAAATACTGTTCTAGCAAAATAAACATTAACAATAACGTCCATAAAAGTCTACATACCAGTTTCTGGCACTTGACTGCATTCTAATTTTCATCAATAAAATTGAGTAGGAAAATAGAAAAGTTTTGAAAAATTAATCCTATTGATGATAGGACATACGTATCATTTTGAATTGAGCAAAATATATAAACCTACTATAATTAAAACAATGTATTCCTGACACTGATGTAAACAAATGGATCAATGGGGAGAATATCAACACAATCAGTCCATAAATACAAGCAAATGTAATGCTGATAAAGATGTCATTTCATGTTAGGAAACATAAAATGGAGTATTCATAAATGGCATTGAGATAACTAAATGCCCTTTTTTGGAAAAACTTAAAAAATGAAGATTAGTCTATATCTAAAAACAAAAGATAAAATATATCCAGAGGATTAAACATTTAAGAACTTTAAGAAACAGCAAAAATTATGAAACAGAAAAGGGTAACCCACATTCAGAAAAAAAAGATCAGTTAATAGAAAGTGTTTTTGAATGTTATCAAAGACGTACAAAAGCTACTGTACATTCACTGAACTAAAGTCATATTTCAAAAATTAAAGTAAAATATAACTCAAATACAGACTTTCTATCATATAATTGATCTGAAGAACAGACAGAAAAATGATGAACTATAAATAAACAGAGCCTCAAAGATTATCAAGCATACCAAATATATGTAATAGGAGTTCCAAAAATATAGGGGAGAGAGAAAGAACAGAAAAACGTTTTTAAGAAATGATGGCCCCAAAGCTTCCAAAATTTATTTTAAAAAATATTTATATAAGCCGGGCACGGTGGCTCACGCCTGTAATCCCAGCACTTTGGGGGGCCGAGGCGGGCGGATCACAAGGTCAGGAGATCGAGACCACGGTGAAACCCCGTCTCTACTAAAAATACAAAAAATTAGCCAGGCGCTGTGGCGGGCCCCTGTAGTCCCAGCTAGTCAGGAGGCTGAGGCAGGAGTATGGCGTGAACCCGGGAGGCGGAGCTTGCAGTGAGCCGAGATCGGGCCACTGCACTCCAGCCTGGGGGACAGAGCAAGACTCTGCTTCAAAAAAAAAAAAAAAAAATTTATATATACGTTCAAGGAGCTTAACACATCATAGGTAGGATAATTACAACAAGTTCCATATCTAGGTAAAACAGTCAGATTGCTGAAAATCAAAGGCAGAGAAAACAGGAAGGGGGAGAGGACTCATCACTCAAAGAGAAGTAACAATACAATTTATTCTCTTCAGAAACAATGGAGGCCAGGAGAAAGTGTAATGATGTATTCAAAGAGCTGAAAGAAAAAAATTTATCCAAAAATTGTATATCCAGTAAAATAATTTTTCAAAATAAAATCACCCCCAAGTTGTTCCAAATTGACTTAATGCAGTCATCATTACATTGAAAAGGGAGACAAGAAAATAAAGAAATAAATCAGCTATACAACTTTTATTTTAAAATAGACCAATAGAATAGAATAGAGAGCCCAGAAATAAACCCTCCCATATATGCTCAAATAATCTTCAACAAGGGTGCCAAAACCACTCAATAGGAAAAAGACAATCTCTTCAACAAATAGTGCTAAGAAAACTAATGCCAATATGTAAAAGAATGAAGTGGGGGCCTTATATTATATACAAATCAAATTTGCAGGAAAAAACTCCATAAAATTTGACTAGACAGGGATTTATTCAATACGACACTAAAAACACAAACGACAAAACTAAAAATAGGCAAATGTGTTTGCATCAAACTAAAATCTTCTGTGCATCAAAGGACACAACTGACACGGTGAAAAGATAACCTACAGAATACAAGAAAACATTTTCAAATCATATATCTGATAAGAAGTTAATATTCAGAATAATTTTTAAAACTCCTACAACTCAACAACAACAAAAAATTCAAATAACCCAATTTAAAAATGGGCAAATAATGGCCGGGCACAGTGGCTCATGCCTGCAATCCCAGCACTTTGGGAGGCTGAGACGGGTGAATCACGAGGTCAGGAGATTGAGACCATCCTGGCCAACATGGTGAAATCCCTGTCTACTAAAAACAAAACAATTAGCTGGGTGTGGTGGCGTGCACCCATAGTGCCAGCAACTCGGGAGGCTGAGGCAGGAGAATCACTTGAACCCAGGAGATGGATGTTGCAGAGACACAAGATCATGCCACTGCACTCCAGCCTGGTGACAGAGCAAGACTCCAAAAAACAAAAAAATTTTTAAAAAAATTTTTAAAAAGCAAATAACTTGAATAAATATTTCTCCAAAGAAGATATATAAATGGGCAACTTTAAAGGTCAATGAAATGCATATGAAAACCACAATGGTATACCACCTCACATCCATTAGGATGGCTACTATATAAAAAAATACGTGTTGGCAAGGATGTGGAGAAATTGGAAATCTCGTACACTGTTGGTGAGGCTGCAAAATGGGGCAATTGCTATGGAAAACAGTATGGAGATTCCTCAAAAAATACAACTAGAACTATCATATAATTCAGCACTCCCACTTCTGGGTATATATCCAAAAGAATTGAAAGTAGCATCTTGAAGAGAGATTCACACACCCACGTTCATAGCTTGGCTTTTCACAATAGCCAAGAGGTAGAAGCAATAAAAATGTTCATTGACAGAATGAATAGATTTTTTAAATTATGGTATATATACACAATTCAATATTATTCAACCTTAAAAAGGAATGAAATCTTGTCATACATCTCAACATGGATAAACCTTGAGAACGTTATGCAGAGTGAAATAAGCTAGTCACAAAAAAGACAGATACTTTATGATTTCATGTATATAAGATATATAAAGTAGTAAAATTCATAGAAACAGAAAGTAGAATGGTGATTACTGGTTTGGGCAAAGGGGAAAAGGGAAATTGTTTAATGGCTATAGAGTTTCAGATTTACAAGATTAAAAATTCTGGAGATTCTTTTCACAACAATGTGAATATGCTTAAAAAACTGAACTATACGTTTAAAAATCATAAGGATGGTAAATTTTGTTACTTTTTTTACTACAATTTGAAAAGCTGGAAAAACTTATATGTAAAAAATAACTGCAGTTGTTTTTTTCCACCACAGGTCACTGACTAAAAGCAAATAGGTAAGTAGCCATGAAGTAAAATGTGGTGGGATGTGACGAAAGCCGCTTCTAGGCCTGGCCCTTAAAACGAGGGGACTTCAAAAATATCATGAAAAATGCATATGATGAAAAATCTATGTGTGGATTTCAAACTTGGGGGGCAACAAAATAAACTTATCCTAACTTCTTATAACATGTTTGAACAGGATCTGGTTTGAGGTACTAAGAAGGGTACATTCATTTGAAAAGAGCCCTTATCAGAACATGAATTCTGCTAAAACTGAAGCAAGAACAAACATCAAATGTATGGAGAAGCTTGGAAGGAAGAATGGTCAAATCATTGATGATGTAAAGAAGTTTATGAGGGCAATGGCCCAAAGAAATTCGCAACTTACAAATGGTTAAGAGGTTTTAAGAAAGAACAAGACAATATTGAAAATAAGTCCTATAGCAGCAGACCATCTACATCAATTTGAGAGGAAAAAATTTATCTTGTTCATCTCCTAATTGAAAAGGACTGACAATTAACAGCAGAAACAATAGTCAACATCATCGACATCTCAACTGATTCAACTCACATAATTCTGACTGAAAAATTAAAGTTAATCAAACTTTCTACTCAGTGTGGGCCTAAACTGTTGTGCCCAGGTTAGCAGCAGACAAGAGCAGAGCATTCAATGGAGATTTTAAACACATGGGATCGATATTCTGAAGCATTTTTTTAAAAATAATTGTTTACAGGAAATAAAACATGGCTTTACCAGTATGATTCTGAAGACAAATCACAATCAAAACAATGGCTACCAAAAGGTGGAAGTGAGTCCAGTTAAAGCAAAAGTGAATCAGTCAAGAGCAAAGGTCATGGCAACAGTTTTTTGGATGCTTAGGGCATTTTGTTTGTTGATTTTCTGGAGGGACAAAGAATGATAACATCTGCTTATTATGAGAGTGTTTTGAGAAAGTTAGACAAATATCCAGGAAATCTTTACTAGAAGGTCCTTCTCCATCATGGCAACGTTCCTGCTCATTTCTCATCAAACAAGGGCAATTCTGTGAGAGTTCCTTTGGGAAATTATTGAGGGGTATCCACCTACAGTTCTGATTCGGCTCCTTCTGAATTATTTTTGTTTCCTAATCTTAAAATATATGTAAATGGCACCCATTTTTGTTCAGTTAGTAATGTAAAAAATACTTCAATGACAAGGTTAAATTCCTAGGATCCTCAATTTTGTAGGAATGGACTAAATTATTGGTATCATTGCTTACAAAAGTGTCCTGACTTTGATGGAGTTTATGTTTAAAAAATTACATATATACATATATATGTATGTATTTATATATATGTATGTATATATGTGTATGTGTATATATGTATGTGTGTGTATATATATGTCTGTATTTGAGACGGAGTCTTTCTCTCTTGCCCAGGCTGGAGTGCAATGGCACAATCTCAGCTCACTGCAACCTCCACCTCCTGGGCTCAAGCGATTCTCCTGCCTCAGCCTCCCGAGTAGCTGGAATTACAGGCACGTGCCACCACACCCAGCTAATTTTTGTATTTTTAGTAGAGATGGGGTTTCACCATGTTGCCCAGGCTGGTCTTGAACTCCTGGCCTCAGGTGATCCACCCTTCTCAGCTTCCCAAATTGCTGGGATTACAGGCGTGAGCCACCGCGCCTGGCCAAAATTTATATTTTTTTATTTTCAACTTTTAGTTCCATTTTTCCATGAGATTTTTGGAGTCCCATCTTGTCTAACGTTCTAACATTTTCTTCCACTGCAGAGGCAACCCTGAAGATTGAGGGGTTTCAAAAAGCATAGCCACCAAATGGAGGTGGGCAGCCAAATATACAATAGAATTTATTTGAAAAATCCGTATTAAGTCTTGAAGGTTCCAGGGTTTGTTTGCTGTGTCGGAGTTGCATACTTAAATGAACATATTCCCCAGTTGGACAATTGTATGCCTTTAGAATTCAATGGTCAATTAAAATGACTATATATGGGACATCTCTGCAGGTATTTACAAAACAGGAAAGATATACATTCATTATACAAAGACCCAGATAAAAATGTATAAAAGTTTATGAATCAAAACAAATTTAGAGGTTTCTTCCTTGATAAACTGCTGTTCTGCTATTAAAGAGGAAACAAGAGGTGTGCAAACAAGAATATGTTTCCTCCTTCTGTCTCATTTATCATAATAGACAGAAATAACATTTATATTTTGTTTCATTATCTTTCCCCACTATAAAATTTCATTTAATTTCTCTCCTTTCCTCCTCGTTATCCAAATTAGTTGTTAATACATATTTACTTGATTTTGAGCCATACACCGTATGCTGCATTTCTTACATACTGCATCAAATTGTCTTTGGATGCATATCAACAACGTCTATCACAATAATAGCAACCAAGCCTTTAAATGTTCTAGTATGTATTATATTATCTGTGACTCTATTTTAAAAATATCTTTAGTTTTTACTGCCATTATATTGGAATGGAAAATATAGGAAGAGTGGGTATTTTAAGATATTTAAATTTGGCATACCTTGAATAAGATTTCACAGGCTATGAATCTTATGCAACATATATATATTTAGGCAGAAAATGTTTCTTACTATTAAGGTTGTTAAAAGAATGGTTTTATTGACTTCATTTATTCTACTGTCCAGACTGTCCAAGTTTCTCATATACATCAAGGAGAACTGAAAAAAAACACACCAAGAGTTAAATGCAAGTTTCTCTATAAATATAAAACTTACACATTAAATACAACCACGTTGTAATTGTACTTGACGTTCTATGGGACAACAGTAGGTATTCCATGAATTGAGATAAGAAGAGTTGTTTTCTGATGCTAAAGTCTATTGATGACCTGACATCTTTCTTTAGTTATGACTTCCAACACTGTTTATTTTCCAATTGTATGTAACAGGGATTTCCAACTTTCTTTTTAGTGGGAGTGACAAAGTACAGAACTATGAATTAGGCAAGATTTGTCCACAGTTCCCCAAAATTCTCAGTGGTCTTTAGTTTCCATCAGAAGTGGTTAATAGAATCATGTTTTCTTTCCTTCACTTGCAAGTCATACACTCCAAAAGCAATTTATTGATGCTAAGCAGTATGCAATCAATAAGTCCAACAATATTTTAGACATTGATCAATATTGAAATGAAAAACTTCTATCCCCTGGCAAGATTGATTCACCACAAGAGAGCATGTTTTATAGCAATGGAAAAAGTTTTAGTCTTGTCTTAGTATCTCCTCTGGAATTCATAAACCATGGTTGGGCTTCCTGCTGCATTTCTGCATGGATTGACCCTCTTCCTGCTAGTATGAGTAGTGATCTCAGCAAATTGGACAGCTTTCAATTTTATACAGCTTTAAAATCTTATTTTTAGAATTTATCAGCATTGAATAACTTCAAAATTTTATAAATGCACCTGTTCCAACAATGGGTAAGGATTTTATTAATGGGCTACAAGGTCAAGACCAGAGACACAGTAGGTATCACTGCTTACCTGGATCAATAACATGATATATCCCAGCAAAGTGAAGGAAGGTATGAAAATCATGCACAAAATTAAGTTGGGTGTTTCATATTGAGTTGATACCAGAATTGTGGATACACATAGTAAGATCTAGAAAAAAAATCCAGAGGTATTATAATTTTCTCAGTTATATTAGATATCTTAAGATATTTCCTATGAATAACCTGTTTTCCTGGGAGATACTGCCATTTTCAACTTTCACCTCACAGATAGAAATATTCTTAGGATATCTTCTTTAGGAAGTATCAAACTTTCACTGCAACTAAAACATAGGATTACAATAAGTTCTGACATAAATGTCGTAAAGATTTTGCACTACCCAGTAGGGATAAACAACAACAATAAAAGAAGGTGATATAACATTATTTATTGTGTCTATTATAATAAATTTTAATATGTTTTCAGTATAAGGATACAGTGAAGAATTAACTGATGATATGACTTGGGAACTTAAAAGGCAAAATAAACTTTGAGGTTGGTGTTTACCGTCATATCTAAGCAGTCAGAGAAATGTAGGAATTATCAGTCTTGATATCCGAGGTAGGAATATTGAACAGTTTAGAACATTCTCAGAGGTAAATTATATGGATGTCACTTCAGAGGGTAGCCCATATCCCCACTCAGACTGTTCATAGTTTCCTAAAATGGCTCCCTGGCTCCAGTTCTTCTGCCATTCAAAATTCACACGACATTCCGAAGAGTATATACAGTTGGCTTTGAACAACATTAGTTTATTATACGTGGATTTTTTTCAATAAATATGTTAGAAATTTGGGAGCAGATTTGTGACAATTTGAAAACCTCACAGATGAACCACATGGTCTAGACATATTGAAAAAAATTAAAGAAAAGTTAAGTATATCATGAATGCATAAAATATATGTAGATATTAGTCTATTTTGTCATTTACTAATGCAACCTATAAACGAATCTATTATTAAAAGTTAAACTGTAGCAAAACACACAGAGAAACTCTTACATACCACACATTTGCCATTAGCAATCAAGAAAAACATGAACATAAAGATGCAGAATTAAATTGTGACTGCATAAAATTAACTGTAGAACACGCTGTACTACTGTAATAATTTTGTAGTCACCTCCTGTTGCTACTGTGATGAGCTCAAGTGTTGTGAATATTCCCTTAAAATGCTGTGGGAGTCTAATCATCTCCTTACTCTCAAGCAAATGGCATATCACAGTAAAAAGTGGCCTTTCCTGGTTCTTGCAGATCTTTCACTGTGTTTAGTGCAATACCATAAACTTTGAATAATATCATAGGACCAGGCCGGGCGCGGTGGCTCAAGCCTGTAATCCCAGCACTTTGGGAGGCCGAGACAGGCGGATCACGAGGTCAGGAGATCGAGACCATCCTGGCTAACACGGTGAAACCTCGTCTCTACTAAAAATACATTTTAAAAAAATGAGCCGGGCGTGGTGGTGGGTGCCTGTAGTCCCAGCTACACAGGAGGCTGAGGCAGGAGAATGGTGTGAACCCGGGAAGCGGAGCTTGCAGTGAGTGGAGATCGCGCCACTGCACTGCAGCCTGGGTGACAAAGCAAGACTCCATCTCAAAAAAAAAAAAAAAAAAAAAAAAAAATCATAGGACCTATAAGAATTGCCACTAGTGATTCTGGAAGTTCTCCCAAGAAGCAGAGAAAAAGTCATGACATTACAAGAAAAAAGGTGAATTGTTTGATATGTACCGTAGATTGGGGTCTGCAGTTGCAGCTGCCTGCCATTTCAAAATAAATAAATCCAGTTGTAAAAATAAGAAAAGGATGTTTATGCATCTGCCACTGTAGCCACACAAGCAGGCCCAAAAACCTTGCACTTTTTTTGAAATACCTTTTTATCTCCTATTGATGATCCAACTTTTATACCTATAGGCTTTAATACAATGTGAGAAAAAGTGAAGTCATTATATGACAACTTAAAGTAAAGGTTAAAGATTTAAAGCTGGAGAATGTAATGCCCTCAAAGGATGCTTTGATAATTTTAGAAAGAGGTTTAACTTTAAAAATGTCAAGATAACAGAGAAAGCAGCTTCTGTCAATCGAGAGGCAGCAGACAAGCTCCCAGTTGCTATTAATAAAATCATTGAAGAGTAAGTATATTTGCCTGAATGCGTTTTTAATACAGATGGAAGTACCCTATTCTCGGGGGGAAAAATGCCACAAAGGACAGTGATTATTAGAAAAGAGAATCAAGCACCAGGATTTAAGATAGAAAAGGATAGGCTATTTGTGCAAATGCAGTTGGGTTGATGATCAGTACTGCCATTATCTATAAAGTTGCTAACACTGAAGCCTGGAAGGGAAAAGATAAACACCAACTGTCAGTCTTTTGGTTATACAACAAGAAGGTCTGGACAATGAGAACCCTTTTTCTGGATTGGTTCCATCGATGCTTTGTCCCAAAAGTCAGCAAGTACCTTGCTAGTAAGGAACTGCCTTTTAAAGTTATTTTGCTATTGGTCAGCACCCTTGGTAACCCAGAACAACATGAGTTCAACACTGACAGTAACAAAGTGGTCTGCTTGCTCCCAAACACAGCATCTCTAATCCAACCTCTAGATCGGGGTCATAAGAACTTTTAAGGCTCATTACACACAGTACTGTAAGGAAAGGATTGTCAAAACTATAGAAGAGAACCCCAATAGAGAGAACATCATGAAAGTCTGGAAGGATTCCACCACTGAGGACACCATTGTTATAGAAAGAGCTGTGAAAGCCATCAAGCCTGAAACAATAAATTGCTGCTGAAGAAAATTGTGTCCAGATGTTGTGCACGACTTCACAGGATTTACAATAGAACTAATCAAGGAAATAAAAAAGAGATTGTAAATAGGGCAAATAGGGTAGGGAGTGAAGGGTTTCAAGATCTGGATCTTGGAGAAATTCAATAACTAATAGATACCACACCAGAGAAATTAACAGAAGACAATTTGATGGAAAGGAGGGTTTCCATTGCCAGATGATGAGGAAGAAGATGTAGAAGAAGCAGTGCCAGAAAAAGAACTGACAATCTGAAAATTAGACAATCTGAACGAAGGATTCTGATTATTCAAGGCTCATTTTGACTTATTTTCTGACATGGAATCTTCTATGATACAGGCACTGAAACTAAAGTGGTAGAAAAAGGATTGGAGCTATATGGAGATATTTTTGGAGAAATAAAAAAGCAAAAAGACAGAAATTATAATATATTTCTGTAAAGTTACACCAAGTGTGTCCGTATGTCTCTCCTACCTCCCCTTCAACCTCTTCCACCTCCTTCACTGACACCCCTAAGACAGCAAGTCCAACTCCTGCTCTACCTTCTCTTCCTCCTTGGCCTACTTAAAATGAAGACAACAAGAATGAAGACCAAGAATGATAATCCATCTCTACTTAATGAATAGTAAATATATATTTCTTATGACTTTCTTAATAATATTTTCTTTTCTCTAGCTTACTTTATAGTGAGAATACAGTATATAATAAATATACAAAATACATGTTAAGCAACTATGTTATCAGTAAGATTTCAGTCAACAATAGGCTATGAGTATAAGTTTGAGAGAGTCAAAAGTTACACATGAATTTTCAATTGCATGGGGCAGGGGGTTGGTGCCTCTTACTCCGACATTGTTCAGGGGTCAAATATATTTTTATTTGAACAGGAATCATTCTCTTTTATATTCCATTGAATGTAAGTACTCTGATTGCAGAAAATTTGCTTTGTTCATGGTTATATCCCAAGCAAAGTATCCAGCTCACAGGAAGATACAATCAATATGAATGAATGAATAAATATTGGGAAGGACAAAGAATAAGGAGGATTTCTATTTTTCTGTTTTTATTCACCAAATAATCAAAAAATATGCATATTAAGAGCCCAGCTTATTCAAAACATTTTGCTAAATAGTTACTGTAGTTACAGGAATAAACTTGGAGGAAGAAAAGGAAGATGACATGGTTTGACTCTGTGTCCCCACCCAAATCTCATTTTGTAGCTCCCATAATTCCCATGTGTTATGGGAGGGACCCAGTGGGAGATGACTGAGTTATGAGGGCAGGTCTTTCCTGTGCTGTTCTCATGATAGTGGATGGGACCAACAAGATCTGATGGTTTTCAAAACAGGAGTTGCCTTGCACAAGCTCTCTCTTTGCCTACTGCCATCCATGTAAGATGGACTTGCTCCTCCTTGCCTTCTGCCATGATTGTGAGGCTTTCCCAGCCACATAGAACTGTGAGTTCTCCATTAAGCCTCTTTGTAAATTGCCTGCTCTTAGGTATATGTTTATCAGCAGTGTGAAAACAGACTAATACAGAAGAGGATAATAATTCCTCATGAACATTTACTATTTATCAAATATTTTAATGAGCAGTTTACCAGCACTGTAATAGTTTATGCTCTTTTAAAATCTCAATCCTAAAACACTAAAAGTACTACTGTTATTATACATATATTCTGATGTTTAAATAACTGAACCTCAAAAGAACTGAAATAATGTGTTCAATTTCTTATAGCTATTAAGTGCCAGACCATTAAGGATTAAAACCTGGGGCTATCTGATGCTAAAGCCAAATTCTTAATCACTATACTTTCCTAAGGAGATATTGTATCAGTCAACTGTCCATACATCAAGTCAATATATAATGTGTTGGATACCATGAATTTATATATACAAAACAGATGTTTTTAAAAGCCTAAAATGGAGAAGCAGAAAATGTTTGTGAACTGGAAGATTCACTATGTAAAGATATTATTTCTCCCTCAAAGTAATTTATAGAGTCAATGCAATCCCAATTAATATCACTACTTGTGGAATTTGACAAGCAGATTCTAAAAGCGCATGAAAATGCAAAGAATCAAAAATAGCTGAGATACTTCAAAAAGAACAAGGTGGGAAGGTTTGCTCTCTCAAATAAAGCTACCATAATAAAGACAGCATGGTATTGATGTATAAATAGAAAAACAGATTAACGGAAGAAACCAGAAAGGCCAGAAATAGTCTTGATTGATAAACAAAGGTAGCACTGCAGAGCAGTGAGATAACGGTATGAACAAGTGGATATATAAATATGATACGTATCAAAAAGGCATATAAACAGTGTTTCTTCCATATTTCTGAAGGAATAAACAATATAAACTGAAATAAGTTCAGGGTTTCATCAGCTTATTTTGTAAACATTGTGTATATTTCAGAATCTCCTCAAAGATTTAAAGGCCATAGTATTTGTAATTATTAAGGTATTGCTCTAACAAAATATATAGCAATATATCTTCAGTATTGTGTAAAAATTAAGTTAGATTTTCTGGCTGGGCCTGGTGGCTCACTCCTGTAATTCTAACTCTTTGGGAGGCCAAGGCATGGATCACCTGAGGTCAGGAGTTCGAGACCAGCTTGGCCAAGATGGTGAAACTCCATCTCTACTAAAAACAAAAAAATTAGCTGGGCGTGGTGGCACATGCCTATAGTCCCAGCTACTTGGGAAGCTGAGGTAGAAGAAACACTTGAACCCGGGAGGTGGAGGTTGCAGTGAACCGAGATCGCCCCATTGCACTCCAGCCTGGGTAACAGAGTGAGACTCCATCTCAAAAAAACAAACAAAAAAAAAACAAAAAATTAAGTTAGATTTTGTAAATCTAACAATGCAAGTGAAGAATGTATCTTTGACCATCTTGCTTCTTTCATCTTTATTCCATTCCTTTTTGTCATCTTACTACAAATATCTCCTCTTTTTTGTTTTTTTTCTCTAAAAAAAAAAAAAAAAAAAAAAAGTCTTCATTAACCATTCCTTCTGGCAAGCAATGATAGCAACAACAATGCCTTGTAAGGAGTAATTAAACACTTCCTGTTTCTGCTTCTGCATTCTATATTTATTCTTCCATCTGTTACAAACTGTATTCTACATTCACTGCTTTATAAAACTGCAGTCTCAAAGTTAGTTGTAGACATCTGTATGTGGAGATATGGTATAACAGATACCCTAAAGGGTCTTACCCATACTGCACAATTAAATTTTGGGAAATTGAAACAACTGTCCCTTAAATACACTGCTAATTTCAGGGGGGAAAAAAAGTGAGGAAATTCTTTAAGGACAAAAACAAAGCCTGAAACCCAACTTGGGCCATTAAGTAAACACAAAATCTGCTTGGGCTGAGGACAAGTTCCCATATCAGCCCATGGGTAGGAAGATATGATTTGGGTTCTCTTTAAAGTCATTCCCTGCAAAGAACTTTAAGAGATTCAAATGAACCCTCTTGATGGGAGCTCCTCGTAAATCCCATATTGAAGCATGAAACTCTAAGTTGGCTTATACAATCTTAGATGGATTCTATACTGCACTTCTCACAAAAATAATTGAAAATCTTTTGGGGATGAAACATCTCTAATATAGAGTCTTGGGAGTTCCACGCTTTAAGGTCAACCAAGAATGAGCTCCTCTCCTTGACAAAAAAAATTATCAAACATACAAGGCAATAAGCACTAGACAACTTTTGAGACTAGAATTGTCAACAAGTAGAAATATTGTTTTCAATGAAGTGTTGAAATAAATCAAATATGAAATATAAAATAATAGCAAGTAACAAAAGATTAGGAGAAATAACTAAGCATATTTTAAATAGAACCAAAAAGAGTTTTGGAAAATAAAATGGAAATTTTAAGTAGTCAATGAGTAAAGATAATTTAGATGCAGATGAATTTAAAACAAGTGAATTGGAAGAAACTTCTGAAGCTTTCCCCAGAAGGCAGCAAAGACAAGGACATGGAAAATTTGAAAGAAGTGCTAATAGATGTAGAGAATAGTATGAAAAGCTAATATTATCTCAGTAGAGACTTAAAGTCACAGAGGCAATATTTGAAGTGGTTTTGGCTGAGAATTTTCCTAAACCGAAGACAGAAATGAATTCCAGGCAGCAGAATTTATACAAAAATAAAGATAAATAGAAAATCACACCTAGAAACATTGTAATGAAAGCTAAAGTCAAAGGTTAGTCAGTGAGAGAGCCCCTGTGAAGGATAGCAACTGACTGATAGCAGACATCTGAACAGTTAAAATGTAAGCAATAAAAGAGTGAATTTTCAAAGTGGTAAGAGAAAAGGATTGTCAACCTAGAAATGTATAAGCAGCTAAATTATGTTTTAAGAATGAGGGTGAAAAAATATATAAATGATGCATTTTGGGAAGCCAAAAAAAAAAAAAAATGATTGATCTCAAAAGGGAGGAAAAAAAGACTAAAATCCTATTATGATTAGTGAACAAATGGATTGATTTAAAATGTACACAAATCTTTTTTAAGTTCTTAAAATGTTAATAAAAATGCTTATTTGAGGGATTAAAAAAAGAAAACCAAAACACTAGACAACAGCATGTAAGTAGGGTAAGAAATTATTAATAATAAAATCCCCAAAACACGGTGTTGGAAGTAGGATATTTATTAACTTTAGGCTTTGTTAAGTTTACCATGTAAAAAAATTTTCAGGGGTGTTATGGGCTGAGTTTTGCCTCTCCAAAATATATATGTTTAAATTTTAACCCCCAGTAGCTCAGAACATGACTATATTTAGAAATAGTCTCTAAATGGGTAATTAAGTTTAAAGGATGCCATTGCAGGAGTCCCTAACCCAACATGGCTATTGTCCTTGTAAGAAGGGGAGATTAGGACAGGGATACATCTGAAGGGAAGAACATGAGAAGACAATGGAAGAAGATGGCCCTCTATAAGCCAATGGGAGAGGCCTCAGAAAAAATCGACCTTGCCGATTACTTGACCTTGGAGTTCTGACCTCTAGAATTGTGAGAAAATAATTCTGTTCCTTAAGCCTCCTAGTCTGTAGTACTTTATTTTGGCAGTCCTAGCAAATTAATACAAAGTAATAAAATATAGATTTTGACTTTCAAACCAGAAAAAAGAAAAATATGGAATAAAAACAAAATCAAACAAACAAAAAAGGGAAGAAGAAAAATCACACACACAAAGCAAAAAGTAAAACAGTGTAACTTCAAGAATATCAAAAATCACAATAAACTCACTAAATTAAAAGCAAGTTGTCAGCCTGAATTAAAAAACAAATAAAATCCAACTATATTTCTTTTACAAGAGACAGGCATTAAAGCATAACAACAATGAAAGTTAAAAGTAAACACACGTGGCAAAAAAGATTTATCAAGCAAATACTGAACAAAAGAAATCTGGTGTACCTATATTAATATGAGATACATTTGACTTTATGACCAAAAACCGTAAGAATAAATAGGGTTGGTGTATAAGAATTCCAGACTTCAATGCACCAAACAAAAGAGTCTCAAAATATACAAAGCAAAATTGGATTAAATTAAAAAGTGAAACTGACAAGCCTACCTTTATAATGGAATTAGAAGAGAAAAAAAGTAAAGATCAATGACTAATACCGATGGTTTAGAAGACATTACTCTTGGTTATGACATTTGACCATTGCAGGACAGCCACTGATAAAACTGGCCCAAGGAATTATGTGATTAGCTGTCACAGGGATGAGATTTGGAAGCTTAGAAGCAATTTAGTAGCCTTTAGGATTTCTGCTGGCATACTGAATTCTATAACTGGTTGTATTTGTGGTATTCCTGTTTATACTAAATCCAACTTTTAGATACTACTCACAAAGGTCAACCAATGTAACTGTAACAGCTCCAGTGAAGTTAAACTTTGGTCCCTTTACCCTAACCCCTCCACCCTGTCCACAGAAAAAGGAAAATCCAGAAGAAAATAAAACACAGAGTCAAAGTGTAGACCTTGCTTTCTCACTGCTGATCTCCAAACTAAGGGCATGCCTAAGATGAGCCTGGGGAGAGAGTTTTATACTGCTTAAGAAAGTTATGATTTGAATTGACCAATCTTTTAGATTTTTTTTTAGTTCTTTAAGTGAATTGTACTTAACAAATTGGAAAGTTTGAAATGGTCAGAAAGCTATAAGTAACTGCTCAAGAAGATATCAGCTAGTGATAGGGAAGGAGATGCAGTAGCATATGCCTGAAGTAATAAGTAAATTATTAAGAAAATAGTTTCTTATTTATTTTATTAGTCTATATAGCCACCTATCATGCTTGTTTGTTTGTTTTTAAGTAAGGAGAATTATTTAAGAGAAAAACCTCACTGAGTTGAGCGACCTGGGTTTAAGTCTGATTCTTTTCAGTTTTTCCCACTCTGTAAAATGAAGAAACCGTCCCAAATGATCTAGTCTTTCAGCTGTGACATGCCATGGTTTCTACAAATATTTTACTTCTTTCCAAAGAAACAGAGTTCTGAAAGAGAAACCTCAAAGAACACATGGAAAATAAAGGAAATAAAATGAACAAAACATTCTGAACCCATAAACATGGTACAACAATAATGAAAGTACAAAAGAAAAAAAAAACCATTCTCTTCTAGGCAAAGTACTTATACTTAAATTTGCATTTTAAAAAACCTTAAGAAAATTTAATATAAATGTGCATGCATGTATATATACTTACAATAAAAAAACCAAAAGGCCAAAAGCCATTTTTTTTTCTCCACTTGCAAAAGATGAATGAAAGCACGTATGTGAGGAATATAAGAGAAGCTGCACAACCAATTATGCATACCACCTGCAAAGAATAAGGATCAATGGCAAGATTAGAAATGGCAGGTCATAGAGGGAAAGAGGAGAGGAGAGAATTATGTCATAAAGCTATCTAAGGCAATGTTCTTATTTTCTTGCATATTACATGCCTTTTGCTAATGAGAAAACATTCATGAAAATGAATTTTCATTTTGATTCTACTATCATAATTGGCCTGGGGAAAAAGTGATCACTTACCAAAACAAACACGAGTTCCCATGAAAGCTGGAATCCCAGAAAGATGAAGTAGTAAATCAAATGTATTGAAAGGAGAATCAAGAAGTATAATGGAATGTCCACCAGAGCCTGTCCACACCAGTATGCTGAAGGCCAGAGGCCTGAAATCCATAACTGGGATTGAACTTTTTTCTGACAAAGAAATAGAAGGGATAGAGGAAGGGATCTTAGTTTGAAAAGATTTTATGGTTATGTAAAAAAAAAAAATGTTTAATAAATTTTAGATATAGTGTGGTATAGTGTCTGTGTGACAAAAAGCATTCTCCTAAGTGTCTAGCATCCCCAATGGAAATGTGTAGTTATTGGTTCAACATGAAAGTCTCAGCTATTTTTAAAGTTCATTTACCCATTGGTACAGATTAATGAAGATGACTACACTATATATTTTTAAAGTCCAGTTTATTAAAGCATAGTTAAATAATTGGAAACATTGTATGTCTGACATTTCATGCCATAGTTAAAAATCTAAATTCCCTTTGGAACTGTGAAATAACTGCATGGATCAAACAGTACCACATCTTCATCCCTGAAGTTTATTTAGCATGGTTTCCCTTACAGCTGAGGCAATTTTATTGTGCTAAATGGTAAACTTTCTACCTCTTTGAAATCATGTGTTTACTACAATCTATAATGATATTAGATTTTAATGTATGTGTAAACACATTAACCAAAGTACAACCCTGTGTGTATAAAACAATAAAATTCCAATTACTAAAGTCAGATAAAATCAATCTCAATCTCTCTAATTTCCTCTCTCTCTTACTTTATAATCGCTGATGCTGCTCATGCCGATAAAAGGAGAAATGCAGTTTGTGATCAACAACAAAAATATGGACCCATCTATAAAACCAAGATCCAGCACTATGTCATCCTGAAAGATGAAAACACATCAGTAAGTTGCTGCAATTGTTACAAATTATACAAACATTATACAATATGCTTCTGGGAAATAATGAAAAACTCTGGAAGCATTCATCCTATCTCATTTGCAGAAAACTAGAGTTTGTATTATACAGTATTTATTTCTTATTATGCAATTTTCCAATAAAATTTCGTTATCTAAAACCACTATGCATATTTTCACTAACATCCACATGATTTCTATAATTTTTTCCCTTTTTTATCTATCATAATCAAACACATCAGTTAGGAATTATTTGACAATTTAGAAAGGATAACCAAATTGCATCTGATCAAAAATTGCACTTCACATCCTAAGTTGTAAAACATAAAGAAGCCAAACCCAAAAAGGCACTGCAGAATTTAAAATGATGAAGAACAATAGAACTGTCAAAAAATCATAATTTTAGGATTGGACTATATTTTATCATAAATCCCTTTGTGGTGGAGATATACATATACATATGTGGGTGTCTATACACACATTCACACTTTTGCATTTGCATTAATCAGTGTATATATCTTATATTCATCTAATTCTCCAGGGAAATCTGACAATCTGACATAAAATTAAGGATTTAGGTTTAAGGTATCTCTGGTATTCTTCATTTCCAAGCAAATCCATTCATTGATTTCAGTAAATATGCATTGAGTACCTAGTAAGTTGTATATGGTAAACCAAAGTCAAAATTATGAGTTTTCAACAGTCCTGTGATTTTTTTTCTCTTTTATTTTAAATTCTGCAGTGTCCTTTTGGATCTTGGCTCTTCTAATACCATGTTGGGCTGTAATTCCTGATCAGACAAGATTTTAAACTAGAGGGTTAAGGCCAGCCATAAAACATAACTCTACAGAATACCAAGTCTTAATAAATGTAATGAAAAAAATAGATCAAGATAAGGCTTAGGAAGTGACAGGTTACATCTAATTTACTAAGTAAAGAATTACATATTTAAATTTTTCCATAAAACTTTTGAATTTTAAAAATTTAATTAGACTAAACATAAAAGTACTTGAAAGATTCTTGATCTTTCAGAATAAGTAATAGCAAACATGTATTTGAATGTTTCCTCTTTCCTTTACAGGAATGTAAGCTCCGTGTGGGTGAGATTTTTGTCTATTCTGTTCATGCTGTATTCTCAACATCCAGAAGTACCAGAAAATAGTACACTCGGGAAGTAGTTATTGAATAAATTTAAATTGGTATATATATTTATACATATATGTGTGTGTGTATATATATATACACACATATATATATATGCGCCATGCTATGATCTAGGTACTCAGTAAATTCATTTAATCTTCATAATAATTCTATAAAGTAGGTACTATTACACTCCCTATTTTGCAGATGAAGACACAAAGGCAAGGAGTAGCTAACAAACTTGCTGTTAAGTGGCAGAAGCAGGATTTGAACTCACGTGGTAGACTCTAGAGCCCTCATCCTTTATCCCTCTGCTGTGTTGCCTCTTATATAAATCAATACTCTACTTACATGAGAAAATGAGGTGCTCTCCGTTTGAATAAGCTCCGTGAAGTTAAAAATTCCAATAAGGGCATTGCTAACAATTCCCATAAGAACAGGAAAACAATTCAATTTCTTGATATTACATGCAACTGAAAATCTGTAATCCTTAAAAAAAAGTACACAAATATAAGTTCTAAATTCTTAGAGTAAATATATTTATTGTATACTTTGTATATAACCAGAGTGGAATTTGAGTGAGGAGACTATTAATTTTTCTTTGACGCTTCTGCCTTCTTTGAATTGGGACAAGGACGCATTATTTTTGTAATTCAAGTGACTTGTTTTGTAAATGAAATGGATTAACATTTACTAACACGAAAAGATGTCAAATATTTACATTTTATGTGACAAAGAAAGTTTCAAGCCTCCTCTAATATGATGCCAATTTGGAAAACATATTTAAATTTCCTATAGTTCAAAGTATTAGAATGTGGCAAAAAAACAAAAACAAAAACAAAACAAAAAAAACCAAAACAACAACAAAAAAACCACTCATGATAAAACAGTGCATGGAAGCAAACATACCTTCTGGTCACCAGACACTATGATGGCCCCATTGTAGGAGGGATCATCTGAGCCATTTCTGTTTCTAAAGTCATCTATTTCCAAAACTATATCCTGACGCTTCAGTGAATGCACGAGGTCTTCAATATTCGATCCTAATGTAGTGGAAGGAAGGCAACAGGAAAAAAAAAAAGCAAGAAAATCAAAGTCAAACTTTAAAATAATAATGATTTCCAATCTTGTTAAGAAAAACCCAGAATAGCTTAGTAAAGAGCCTTGCTCTTTAGGAGTACAATACTATTCATTCTGATGCTACGACATTAAGTTCCATTTACCATCTTCAGAGTGATGGGCTCCTTTATTCTTTTCAGAAATATATTCGTTTATCTTATAATTCTCACCAGGTGAAAAGAGTTTATGAAAATAAGATAGCAATTCTCACAGGAAGAAAATTTGCTAGTAGTGACTTTTATAAACTTTACCAGAACCGTGTAATGTTTGTAATTATGAATAACACATGCAAAATATACCTCACCACCCAGGCTTGTCCTAGTGATCCTATCAACCTTAAATGGCACTAACCTTGCCGTGATATTTAAAGTACTAGTAGCCCATTCAAAACATCTTTGCAAAATTAAGTTAACTTGATATTTGCCATTGTGCCCATTAAGTTTTGTGACTTGACTTCCATCATAGATGGAAAGGAAGTCACATTGGTCAGAGGGAGAAGTCAAGCTATGATGCAGCCTCCACATCTGAATCAACCACCTGCCACCAAGGGAGCTCTGGATTTAAAATGACCCATCAGGGAGAGAATCCACAGACCCTTTGAAAGAGGCGGCTTGCAGCTGCAGGCTCCATGAGACAGCTGAAAAACTGAGTGTCCTAGGTGAGAAAGGGGAATGCCCACCCCCAAACACACATCCTCACTGGGGAACCTGAAGGTCCAGATCATGGGAGGATTTTACCTTACCTGGAGCTACGATAAATTTAGAAAGCCAAGCGAAATATAGCAGGAGAGGAAGCAGTGGGAAGAACCCTGTGGGCACTCTCAGCCCCCAGGGAAGCCATTTTTGACTTTGTCTCAGAAGGGTCCTTGGGGAGGGCTGCCAGTGGAATTGGGGAAAGACCACAGGGAGAAGGAAACTTCCAGCTGAATTTTGTAACAATTTCAACCAAATGCATAGTTTCCTGGACAGAATCTTGGGGGAGGGCATCATCAGGGATTGCAGATACGAGCACAGAAGCCATGGCAGGGGGAAGGCACATAACCCGAGAGCCCTGCTTGCTTTCTCAAAGGGAATCTTGTAGCATGGGGTGAATTCTCAGTCCTGCTCACCAGCTGCCTGGAAACAAACTCAGTTCTATTGTAGAGGCATTGAGACCACCTTGTGGGTTGTGTGGGAACGGGGTGAGACTTGTCACTGCCGGTTTTCCCCCACTTCCCTGGCAACCTATACGATGCAGCAGAAGCAGCCATAATCTCCATGGGATCATAACTCCACCTGCCACGCCCCACAGGAGCTGCAGCAAGCCCCATCCAAGTATGGTCCAAGCTCAGACATGCCTAACCCTACCCTCACCTGCTGGTCTTTCTCCACCCACTCTGGTAGACATAATCTCTTGGAAGTTCTATCGCCCTGACCCACCCTACCTGAGAAACCTGAATACTTATCCAGGCGACCCTAGGGGAAGCTTGCATCCTCCCTATACTACCATAGTTGATGCTCTCTTGAAATTGCTACCTCCAGGCTGGAGGCTGACCAATACCAGCACACTACACAAAACTACAACCAAGGACCCTCACAGAGTCCACTTCACTTCCCTGCTACCACCACCAGAACAGGTGCTGGTACACACGGCTGCGAGACCTGAAGATGGATCAAAAAATAATAGATGTTGGCATGGATGTGATAAAAAGGGAACACTTTTACACTGTTGGTGGGAATGTCAACTAGTAAAACCACTATGAAAAACAATGTAGAGATTCCTTAAAGAACTACAAGTAAGTCTAACGATTGATCCAGCAATCCCACTTCTGGGTATCTATCAAGAGGAAAAGAAGTCATTATATGAAAAAGATACTTGCACACACATGTTTATAGCAGCACAATTCACAACTGCGAAAATATGGAACAAGCCCAAGTGCCTATCAATCAATAAGTGGATTAAAAAAGTTATAAACATATACACACACACACACACACACACCTTGGAATACTACTAATCCATAAAATGAAATGAAATAATGACATTTGCAGCAACCTGGATGGAGTTGGAGACCATCATTCTAAGTGAAGTAGCTCAGGAATTGAAAACCAAACATCATATGTTCTCACTCATAAGTGGGAGCTAAGCTATGAAGGCACAAAGGCATAAGAATGATACAATGGATTTTGGGGACTCGGGAAAGGGTGGGACAGGGTTGAGGGATAAAAGACTACACATTGAGTACAGTGTACACTGCTCAGGTGATGAGTCCACCAAAATCTCAGAAATCACCATTAAAGAACTTATACATGTAACCAAACACCACCTGTTTCCCACAAACCTATTGAAATAAAGATAATACAAAATAAAAAATATTTAAAAAGAAAATTAACCCATCAGTTTCCTTCACTTGAAAATGGAGCAAGCTGGACAGACACCATTTTTGTTTTCAATTGTTTCTCAGGTATGTGCTTTCCAAAGATCTTTGATAATAAAAAATTGACACTATATTTCAGCCCTGTTTCTCACCTGTATTATTAATGATTAATAGGCTGGTAAGAGGCGTCTTCGGGATTTGTTCCAGAGAAAGGAAATACATACTGGGTGAAAACTCCCAACAATGAGTTTTATGAATTACTTTATACATTATCTTCTCTAGCATGATGGGGATAAAAGCAACTCCAAGTACTAGTGACCTAAGTAAAACAAAATTATAACATGAGTCTGAAGCAATTTTCCTCTGATTATTTAAGTCACAAAGATGCTATATAAGTGCTAACTATGGAAATTCCACATGCATGTGTGGTGTTTAGTTTGATAAAATGAAACATACAGTGGCAGTAATCTGAGAATTGGCACAAAAAATTACATAATTTGTATCACATTGGAAGATATTCAAGGGTAACAGAGCATCAAGAGAAAAGGTGGAACCCAGGGGCAATCCTCTGTCAGTATGCTGGTTTACCAGGACAACACAGGATATGATTTTATGATATAACAGGGGACTCAAATTGCCTGCTTCGGTACTTTTGATGAGAAAGAAGCCCTATTATACACTGCAGCCTCAAGCTTGCTATGTGCACAATTGCAAGTAACATTTTAACTTTCTTCAACTGTTAGTTTACAAATATTTTAATTTTCATGAAACTAAATGCAACATTTAAAACACTATTTTCATATCTAGAAGTCATCCCACAAATTCAAATTGCAAGTGAAATGTTTCCAAGCAATCTTTGTTTCTCTAATAAGCATATGAGTCCACTCTGCAATGACTACTTTCCCATCAGACTTCAGACTCTACCTTCTTCTCCCTATCAGCCTTATATTTCATAGAAAAAAAAAAAAAAAAAGGAGTCTATAGGACAGAAACTCCTTCATCTTATTGCTGCCAAGAGAAAAGAAAACATCCACAGATTCAGTCATCCTCTCATTCTTTTATTCTGTTGAAGTACAAAATAGATCTTTGCTCCTAACAAAGAGGTCAGTCCTTGTCAATATTGTAATGAATCCAAACTCTCCACCCTCCGTGTATCTCTCATTCATTATAAAATCAACTTTTCTCCCGACTTCATATTGCCTTTTAGCTTCTGCTCTTTCTATTCCCCTCCTTAGTCAAGCACTGCAAAAGAGTTGCCTACTTTCAGACCTCTTGATAAAACCTTTAATAATTTCCAATTTGCCAAATTCAATGGATGCTTTTGTTTCTTAACTGTTATTAGCCATCCATATTTTCTAATCTTGGCTCAAATGTACCAATTTCAATAAGACCAACGCCAACAAATCCATTTAGAATTGTAATGTACCTCCAACTCCTATCATCCCTTCCTAACCCCTTTTCTACTCTATTTTGTATAACCTGGCATGTAAGTTATTTAGTTTTATATTCAGTATTTTTCATCTTTTCCACCCAACCAGATGTAAACACCATGAGAGTAGAAATCTGTGCCATATGTTTTCACTAATATAACCGAACTCCTAGAACAATGCCTAGTGTACTACAGCAGGCTTCAATAAAGATTTGTGATATAATTGAATAAGTTTAAAGGCCTTATCAATTTTGTTTACTACAGCAGTAAAACTGTGCCCCAAAGAGTTAAAGAAACCAATGACTAGCAGAAATCATTGAGTTTGTAGGGTGTCAGATTGAAAGAACAACAACAAAAAAAAACAAGAAACAATTTGCTGAAACACTGAAACTCCCTCAGCTTGTAAGATAATAAAACTGGCTGAAATCCGCTGGAACCAATATGGCCAATTACAGTCTGTCCAGAATCATCCTGCTGACTTCACAGTCTGAATTTCCACCATATATTTCATACCAACTGCACTTGAATTTGCACAAGGGTACATGAGGAGGCGTGAAGAGATATCTGTGCATGCCTGAGGACTTTCCAGACCTCTCCTTTTCTTCTATCATGCTTAATTCCAGAATCCACTCTCTAAACCTTTTCTAATAAAATCACTGCTTTAAAGTCAGCACAGGGAGACAGATTTGAGCTGACCTCCTGTCTCCTTGTGAGTCAACTTGCAATAAAAATCTTTTCTCAAAAATCCAGTGTCATAGTATTGACTTCTAGCACATGAGGCAGTGACATTTTCCTCAGTAACAGTAGGATAGGTAAAGATATTTAAAAACTGTTAAATGAATGAATAAATTAATATATTTATTTTGTTAATATTTGAATGTTTTTTCATATATTGACGAAATAGATATAAAGTAATCTGATACTCACAAACACAAAAGAACTCTCCTTTCACGCCGTAACTTTAAGAAGCGAAGTGCTGCCACCGCATAGATTTGTCGTCTCCAGAGAGTTGCACTACTGACAGCCTTTCTTGTTTCAGGAAGAGAACAAAGAACCTGTTCCATTTCAGACTCATTTCCAGTATTTCTTGTCACATATATTTTCTTTTGTTTCCCAATGTCAAAATCTACAATCATGTAATAAAACATTTTAATAGGCTATGTTATCTGCACTTTCTCTTTAAAAACTTTGAAAATGATGTTCGACTATTTGAAACAGCACTTCTAACAAGTTGAGCTACTGATATCCACAATCAAAATTTACATTAAAAATCTTTCCTTCAAACATATGTAATGGATTCAATTCCAATGAGACAGTAAATTAATTTTTGAGGATGATTGAGGCTTCCTAACAAGCATTTATTCTTTCATACCAATAACAGCAGCTCTTCACTAAGGGATACTTTTGCAGAGCAAGTTTTACGCGGAAGCACAAAGACAAATTTATGTAGCTGAGTTTCCAAAAGGCCTCCTCTGTCATGTGGAATTTCCCCTACAGGATTAGTTCAACACCGATGATTGACATCTCAGTAATGAGTTCAAGACATTGTGCTTTCAAACGATGGAAAGTTCATGGAAAGGTCTCCTGTTTGAGTCCCACATACACCACACTTTAACTGTACAATTTTGGCTAATGACACAACTTCAAATATCAGTTTTCTCATGGGCAGCTTGTTGTTATTATGGGAATTAAAAACAACATAATTCAAGAACTGAGCACATTGGCTGGTATATAGTAGTCTCCTAAATTCTTTTTGTTTTTTCTTTTCAATTTTTATTTTCGGTGCAGGCTTGTTACATGGGTAAACTGTGTGTCATGGGGATTTGGAGGTTTGGTGTACAGACAATTTTGTCATCCAGATAATCAGCATAATACCCACGAGGTCATTTTTCAATTCTCATCCTCCACACTTAAGTAGGCCCTGGTGTCTGTTTTTCTCTTCTTCGCATTCATGTGTACTCAATGTTTACTTCTCACTTATAAGTGAGAACATATGGTATTTGGTTTTCTGTTCCTGTGTTAATTTCTTTAGGATAATGGCTTCCAGCTTACTCCATGTTGCTGCAAAGGACATGAGCACATTCTTTATGGTTGCGTGGTATTACATAGTGTACACATAACACATTTTCTTTATCCAGTCCACCACTGATGGGCATCTAGGTTGATTCCATGTCTTTGCTATTGTGAATAGTGCTGCAATGAACATATCTGTATATGTCTTTATGGCAGAATAATTTATATACCTTTGGCTATATACTCAGTAATGGGATTGCTGGGTCGAATGATAGTTCTATTTAAAGTTCTTTGAGAAATCTCCAGACTGCTTTCTACAGTGGCTGAACTAATTTACATTCCCACCAACAGAGCATAATCATTCCCTTTCCTCCACAACCTCATCAGCATTTGTTATTTTTTTACTTTTTAATAATAGCCATTTTGACTGGTGTGAGATGGTATCTCATGGTTTTGATCTGCATTTCCCTATTCATTCATGATATGGAGCATTTTTTCATATGCTTGTTGGTTGTATGTATGTATTCTTCTGAGAAGTATCTGTTCATGTCCTTTGTCCATTTTTTAAAGGGGTTGTTTTTGGCTTATTGATTTGTTTAAGCTCCTTACTGATTCTGGATATTATACCTTTGTTGGATGCATAGTTTGCAAATAATTTCTCCCATTCTGTAGGTTGTCTGTTTGCTCTATTGATAGTTTCTTTTGCTGTGCAGATGCTCTTTAGTTTAATTAGGACTCACTTGTCAATTTTTCTTTTTGTTACAATTGCTTTTGGAGTCTTCATCATGAAGTCTTTTCCAGAACCAATGTCCAGAATGGTATTTTGTAGGTTTTCTTCTCAGGTTTTTATAGTCTTAGGTTTTACATTTAAGTATTTAATCCATCTTGAGTTTATTTCTGTATAGAGTGAAAGGTAGGGCTCTGGTTTCAATCTTCTGCCTGTGGTTAGCCAGTTATCCCAGCACCATTTATTGAACAGGAAGTCATTTCCCCATTGTTTGTTTTTACTGGCTTTGTTGAATATCAGATGATTGTAGGTGTGTGACTTTATTGCTGTGTTCTCTAATTTGTTCCATTGGTCTATGTATAGTAGCCTCCTAATTCTTCTAATTATTATTACAAAGTAAACTAAGGAAATAACATTTTATTACTTCTTATTAATACATTAATTATAATTAGTTTATTAGCTAATTAAGAGCACATTTTTATAAGGAATGGCAAGTAAGAGGCAGTATCAGAACTCATCACTATAGCAGAGAGTTTTGATGATAAGGAAGAAGTGGTCATTGCAGACAGATGTGTCTGTCACTGACATGGGAAGCAGACAGATGTTGGAAAGCAATTTGCCTAGCACCAAGACTGATTATATTCGATATAAAATGATTATAATACTTTTAAAAGTGGACAATGCTATTTTCTGTCTAATGCATATTATAGGTAGAAATCCACATAAAAATCTACAAACATGAATTAGAACATCATCTTTTTCTCTTCTCTTTTTTTTTTTTCTTAATTTTCTGCTAGACACACATTTTTATACCTGGTTCATTGATTGCTGATTTTCCTTCTAGGTTCAAGAATACTTCATTCAGAGTTGTCATTGAAAGACCATAATTCCTTATGCCCTGGTCAGAACACTTATCAAGGTCACTGTAAAGATCTAAAAAGCCAATAATAATAAGTCAATGCAATTAAAAGTATCAATGAGTACATTAAAATACTAATGTCTAAATGTTACTCAAAATAGATGTCTACAAATGTTTTCATATTAAAGCAATCACCATAATCCAAGGAAACCTTTTCTATAAGCTTTAGAACTCGATTCATAGAACAATAGAAAATGCAATCAGCATAATCATGAACACTTACATATATTCTATGTGATTACACAGTAAGTTACCTGGAAATCTGTTCGTTTTTTCCAAAGGCAAACTATATACAAGCTTTTCTTCACTTTCTGTTGTTAACTTGGCATCAGGAATGTGCTGTTTAATAAGGGATGTGATTTTCTCTGTGTCACACATTTCATTCCTGTGTAAACTATTATTCAAAAGAGCCATAAGTCTCTTGAATTCTTTTCCAACACCACTACTCATGAAAAGATAGTTTTTTATTAAACAGTTTGTATGTATTACAGACATATTCTACTTAACTGTAGTAATTGGTTCCTTCAAATCACATACTCCACTTCAAATTGCTAATTCAACTTCAAAGTGCTAACTGGTAGCCTATTTTGCATTATTTTAAATGGAAAAATCATAGTACATATCAACACCAATATGCATATATATATATACACACACATATATATGTGTATATATACATATATAAAACTATCACGATTGTGCTATGTGTGTGATACATATAAAAAATCATGATAGGATATAAGATACATGAAACATTGCTTCTTAATAAATGGAAAATTAATAAGGTTTTTAATAAACAGTTGCTTTCTATGCAGTAAGTGGTTTCTCTTAACGTCAACAACTTCTATTTGCAGAGCTTGTTTGTGAGTATTTGATGCTTTCTAAAATGTTCCCATGTGATATTCTGCCATTCTATCAATGAGATTTGGAATATAACTACAGAATTTTAGTGCAAAGTGTTTTGCTAAAATTAATCAATGGCTTATTGAGGACATAAAGATAATTTTTTCTATACAAATATTGGCTTTAAAATGTTGTACAGGCCGGGCACGGTGGCTCCGCCTGTAATCCCAGCACTTTGGAAGGCCGAGGTGGGCGGATCACGAGGTCAGGAGATCGAAACCATCCTGGCCAACATGGTGAAACCCGGTCTCTACTAAAATTACAAAAAATTAGCTGGGTGTGGTGGTGCATGCCTGTAATCCCAACTATTCAGGAAGTTGAGGCAGGAGAATCCCTTGAACCAGGGAGAGGTTGCAGCCACTGCACTGCAGCCTGGCGACAGAGTGAAACTCCATCTTCAAAAAACAAACAAACAAACAAACAAACAAAAACCTTGTATTGAGAAGAAGTATACTTTGTTTTTTAATTAGCATGCTTAAAACCAAGAGATAACCAACAAAGGAAATGTTAATGAGGGAGACATTTTGGGCTGTTTATTGCAAAACAATTTCTACCAAAAGTTAACTTGCCTTTCTTACATTTCTAAAGGCTTCTATAAAATGTCACCCTCATATTAATATGCTCATTTAGAAATAAACACACCTAGAATACATACCTTAAATGATATCCAATACCCCACTTTCGCTTCAGAAACAAAGATGATCCTACACATTTCAACTTCCCTTTAGACAGAAATACTTTCCTATCTGAGTAGAAAGGAAGATTCAAAATATTATGTGAAGAATAATTCCTTACATGGTATATTCTCTACTTTGGATACCAAAACACTGAATGAAATTTGTAAGATCAATACAACTGTAATGTCATTAAGCCCCTGGGTGCAATATCATTTCTAATCCCCATGCCTATTGTGAAACAGGCCTCAGAAATTCACTGCATTCCCCGTAGCTAATCAAGTGCCACAAAACTTTCCAAGGATGGCCTGATTCTTCACCTCTTCCTTTGTCTACATACTTTGCTATGTAACTTGGCAGGGTTACACCCCATGTGACTTGTTGTAGTCAATGACATGTGGAGGCTTGAAATGTTTTATTTTGCAATTAAACTGCAAACAAGATTTTCTTCTTTTGAAAACAGGCTATTAAAAATAACTCTCATGTTAAATCCTTAAATAACTAGTTGGAATAAAGAAGCCAAGGATCACCAGCCAAGATGTCAGCCTCATCCATGAATTGGGTACTAAAGAGGATAACCCGGTCTACTTTATGCTCCTTCAGGAGGCTCCACACTCGGTGCCTTGAAAAGGGATCCAATCCAGCAGTTGGTTCATCTAGTAGCAAAACCTACAGAGGAGGAAACGTATGAAAGCATCTTCCTCTTCACAGTGAGGATCTTCAGAAAGCACCATGAAAACTAGTATGATTTCTAGACTCAAATACAGTCCTCCACCAGATCCCTAATGTCAGGCCTCTGAGCCCAAGCCAAGCCATCCCATCCCCTGTGACTTGCAAGTATATACATCCAGATGGCCTGAAGTAACTGAAGAATCACAAAAGAAGTGAAAATGCCCTGCCCCGCCTTAACTGATGACATTCCACCATAAAAGAAATGAAAATGGTCAGTCCTTGCCTTAAGTGATGACATTACCTTGTGAAAGTCCTTTTCCTGGCTCATCCTGGCTCAAAAAGCTCCCCCACTGAGCACCTTGTGACCCCCCCCACTCCTGTCCATCAGAAAACAACCCCCCTTTGACTGTAATTTTCCTTTACCTACCCAAATCCTATAAAACGGCCCCACCCTTATCTCCCTTCGCTGACTCTCTTTTCAGACTCAGCCCACCTGCACCCAGGTGATTAAAAAGCTTTATTGCTCACACAAAGCCTGTTTGGTGGTCTCTTCACATGGACGCGCATGACACCTAACAAGCTTGATTGGTACTTTATTATAAATTTTCCCTCACATTTGGTAATTACAGTAGAAGTTGGACTTTAATAATAGTTGTATATCCTCCAATCTAAATTAATTGTAAAAATACATTTTTTCTCTCACCTGAGGATCTCCTAAGATGGCAATCCCTAATGTTAGCTTTCTCTTCTGCCCACCACTTAATTTTTTAGCAATAATGTCTTGAATGCTTTGCATATCTAATTCCATTATAATTCTTTTTACCTATCAAAAAAAACTCTGTGTTAGCAATACCAAATATTTTACTTTAAGCAGTTTTTACTCTCTAAAAATGAAAATAATTTATTGTAGAACTTCATTGATTAAGCTTTATCTATCGAAGAGTAAAGTAATAGCTGAACAAAAAAAATATAGTCAAAAGTAAATTATTTCCAAAGCCATCAATTTTAATGTATTCCTCTACCTCTTGTTCCACTTCCTTTGGCTGAATCCCTTTTATTTTAGCAAATACCCTGAGGTTTTCTCTCACAGTGAGGAAGTCAAATTGAAAATTGAACTGTGGACAAAATCCAATGTTCTGTCTAATTTCTTCCATGGCAGTTATTTCAGAGAGTTGGGTATTATAAATAGTGGTTGATCCTATAAATAGAAATTTAAAAGGCTTTACTGTCAGAATGTTAATTCTATGCAGAGTGATAATATATGCCAATATTTAGATTTTGTTCAAAAAACTTGTTTTTATTAAAGAAACTTCACATTTTCCAATTGCATAATTAATACAATGAATAATTCAGATTACTCTTAACATAAATATGTGTCCACAGCAATGCAAAGTACACATGGAATGTCAAATAATAGTGGAATAGAGATACAAATGTTTTCATGAATTTATGTACATATGAGATAAATATTTCCTGTTCTAAATTATTCAACTGTGTAACAAGTCCAATATACAGAAATAATTTTTACACAATCAAATCAATTTACAACTTGCTTTTTCAGCCAACTTACTTCGTAAAACTATTTTCTCACCTTCTGTAGAAACAGACAATCCACTAAGAATGTTTAGCAGTGTTGATTTACCAGCTCCATCATGCCCAAGTATTGCAGTGATCTGTCCTTCATATATGTCAAAAGATATGCCTGTTTTAGAATAAAATGTGGAAATTAGATTTTGGATTATATGCAGATGGAATGGACCTTAAAATTGGAAAAGTAAAATATATGTCAGCATTTCATTTCATTGGTATCTTAATACATCCCCTATTAAATTATACATTTAATTGTATAAGTGATGTATTCATGAAGACAAAGCTTCAATTTGTCTGGAGAAATTGGATCAAGACTGGGAATATAAATTCCTACCTTCTTGCTTCCTTCAAATCCTTTGACTGTCAAAGAATCTATACATTTAATATTTAATAAAGCAAAGACTACTAGGAATAAAAACAAAACAGTTTATTTGCTTCCAAGGCAAAGGAAAGCAGTGTGGCTTAAGAAATTGTCTCCCTGAGGCTTGCAGAGCTAGAAACAGAAAGTCTGGGTGTAGAGAAAAGGGAGAGAGTTTATTTCATACTTGGAGGGAGGTAGAATTGGTAAGGAGAACATTGGTGAAGTATCTCCTGGTATTGGTCATCATTCTGTTTTATATCACAAAAGTATGGGCATGATATTTACAAATATCTGCTGGGATCTAAGACACGTCACAGGCATTTTCACATATATGTGCCTAAGGCTTGACAACTTTTTCTTTAATGTTTGAAAACTTAACTCCATCAGAAAACAAGAATTCAGTTAGCATGCCAGAAATTTTAGGAGATTCTCTGAAGACAGAAAACAGAGGGAATTAGATTGTCAGAGAGTCACAAATCAGGCAAACCACAGCCCAAAACAGATGATGAAGAGTTCTATGAAAGTAAAACCAATTTCACTGATACTTCAAGCTTAGTTTGAGAAAGTCAGGTCAAAGATTATAAACTAGTATAAACCGTGCATTCCTATTTTTGAAAAAATATTTTATATCTAAATGTATATATAGAAAAAAGATAATATGTTATTGGTGATTATCCTTCATGGTACAAACATATTTTTAATTTTTTTGTTTTCTCCATATTTATTCTCTAATGTTCCACAATAATTATTTATATTTTCAGATCACAAAAATGTCTCTCTGTTTTAATTTAAAACATTATCAAGCAATGAGGTTTTTCTTTTTACCTTGCAATGCTTCTACTTTTCCAGTCTTTCCATTATATTCTTTTTTAACATTTCTGATTCTGAAAGAAGATGAAGTAATTTGGAGGTAAATGCATTTTCTAATATTAATAACACAGATTACAGTTCATAACTAAGTCGGGGAACTTCACAGTAAAGGGCATCACTCTCAATGGGACCTAAGGAGAGCAGTAGAAAAAGCCCTCCCCTCACCACTCCCAAAAGAGATTTACACAGACCTGCTAATACTCTTACAAAGCTTGGCATTTCATATATTCCAGCTATTTCTCTAAGTTATCAAATGAATAAGGGAAAGCTAAAATTGAAAAAAAAAAAAAAAAAAAAAAGAAGAAGGCGGCAAGAAGGGAGAGAAAGAAAAAAAGGGAGAGAGGCTTTCCCTCAATCTTCAAACCCTCTCAATCATTATCTTTCACAGGCAAATTTGTCAAAATAATAATCTTTACTCCCTATTTCCATTTCTTTATCCCACATTTATTTCCAAGCCTAAGACAATATAGCTTCTCACCTTACCACTCCACAAAAAACTATTCTCAATGAAATTCATCAATGACCATTCTAGTTACCAAATCTGATGAACACTTTTTAGTCCTTATTTGATATCCCTCATCACTGTTTTAAACTATTACTCACTCTTTTCATAAGTCTCTACTTCCCTGGCTTCTACACTTTGGCTTCCACATCTTCCTCTTACTATTCTGTTTTGGCATACTTTATGGACTCCTTAAATTAGATTCTATACTTGACCAATTATTTTTCTTATTCTCAAACTTTTGCCATACAATCTTACCCATTCTCATGGCTTCAACTGCTACCTAAATTCTGATGATTCCCAAATTTGTGTTTTAGAGATTTCTTCAAAGTTTCAGATATTCTGCTTTTTACTATATATGTGCACTTGGATATCAAACTGAATGCATTATATTTTCCTCTAAACCGGCCCACTTCCATTCTCTATCTCAGTTAGCATTTCTACTATCTACCCAGGAACTCAAGCTAAGAGCCTGAGAGGCATCCTTAACTCTCTCTCCCTTTTTCACCCCATCCTGTGACCTACAAAATTATTACAATTTAACTTCAAGAATTTATGAATTTAACTTTATAAACTTATTTGAATTTATCTCTTTACCACTTTTCTTTCACCTTCTTGCCCAGGCTCTTTTCATCTTTCACCTCAACCAGGGCTATGACCTCTGTGCTGGATTTTTAATTATCCCCTGAGACGGAGTCTCACTTTGTCGCCCAGGCTGGAGTGCGGTGGCGCGATCTCGGCTCACTGCAAGCTCCGCCTCCTGGGTTCACGCCATTCTCCTGCCTCAGCCTCCCAAGCAGCTGGGACTACAGGCGCCCGCCACCTCGCCCGGCTAGTTTTTTGTATTTTTAGTAGAGACGGGGTTTCACCGTGTTAGCCAGGATGGTCTTGATCTCCTGACCTCGTGATCCGCCCGCCTCGGCCTCCCACAGTGCTGGGATTACAGGCGTGAGCCACCGCGCCCGGCCAATTATCCCTTTTCTATCAGCAACAATCTCTTTTCTTCTGCAATGCAGAGGACATACCAGGGACTAGATTTCACAGAACCCTCTTTTCAGTATCAGATTTTGCTAATGAGAAGGACATGGGCAAGATTTGGAGAGCAGAAATAAAGCAAGGTCATTATTCTCGGTTCACGTGAGCCAAGCATATTTGCAGGCTCGAGGTTTGCAACAGCTTCTCAGATTTCTTGACAAGTACTGTTTCGCTACTGCAGATTAAGATAACTGGTGAGAGATTTCCCAGAAAATCCCTGACATTTGCGGCAGTATACCGACAAACTTCTTGAAAAACACCCATTTCTGTGCATCAGGGTAAGGTCCTCAGTGGCTATTTCCCGACTTTCTGGCTGTAACTTAACCTTCTCTCCTCTAATTCGTATATTTGTGAATCCCTAGTCCCTGTATTAAACCACTTTGCTCCCACAATATTTTCAGCAACTCACTTTTCCTGACCAGACCTAGACTGATAAAACACCCTAAATATTTCTATTTCTTCAGTTGCATCATCCTCAAATCCATTCTTCATAAAGCTGCCAAAGTGATCTATCAAAGTTCTGGTTACCTAATTTGCCTCCTTAAAAATCATTCAGTGATTCCCCACACTATACAGGATAGCCTAATCTCCTTACCTTGGCAAGCAAAATCTTCCATGATCTGATTTGATCCCTACATCTTAAAGTTTACCTCTCTCTTTTCTTGTACTTTAAGGTCAGAAATGTCAGTTCCTTGTGTTCCCTAGACATACACACTGTCTCTTGCTCTACTAGGTGGCTTATGCCATATTCTATGTATGGAAGGACCTTCACATACCCCACCATACTTTATATGACCAAGACCCTTCTCTTTCATAAGACTCACCTTAAGAGTCACCTCCTTTTGACTTTCCCCACTATACTACACTGGGTTGGATGATCCTTCTTTATTTCTTTTAATTATCTGTGTCCATCTCTACTACTTCTTTTATCAGTTATCTATTTTAGTGTCTATTTCCCTAGACTCTGCACTTCCTGAGGTTAAAGACTATCATTAATCTCTGTATCCTAATTCTAGGAGAGGGGTTGATTAATGATGAATAAATTAACAAAGTAATTAATTTGTCAGCAGTAACAGTCTGGTCCAGAATGATCAAAGAGTTGCTGGTTTCAGGTATGTTAGGCCACTTCCTATAGGATGTTCCCTGTATCTCTAGGTACAGACGGGGGAACATCAAGGTAGATGACACTGTATGCAGGTTTAGACAGGCTAGAACTGTCACATTTACCTGAAAGTATATTCAATTCACATTAACGTCATAAGGGCAAATGAGACCTAAGACCACTGAATAGGATGGCTAACATCAACCACTTAGGAGACCCAAATAACCTCTCTTCACACCATACAACCACACCATCTCCATTGTTCACTGGATGAATATGGATCAAACTAGTGATTCTGGGCATTTATTGAACCATGCCCTAAAAGATGAGCTTTTGGCCTGACAAAGGAGGAAATAATATAATTTAGTCCTAATTTAATTTGTTATGTGCAACAACACTAAGTTTTCTGTTGTCAATGTAAATACTATCAGAATTAATAGCAAAGAAAGTGATAAACTATAGCTACAGAATAACTATAAAAGTCTTCATGCAGGAGATAGGACTTGAAAGACTACTAAAAATTATAGAATTTGAGAAATTTCCTCAACTCCAGGCAATAGAGAACTTTCACCTTGATCTTTTCATGTTAGGTTATAGTATTCTCCTTCTCCTGTTGTCTCCTTCCTCATTTCCCACTGCTCCCAGATACTTTCACCAATCACCTACATATCTGTTTCAAAATGAGGTGAATTGATATTGGTCTAACTGATTTAGTATATTTGGGATATTCCTAATAGCTAATATTTATTGAATACCTAGCAATGAGCCATGTAAAAGCTTTACATGTGATAGCTCATTGAGTTTTTATGACAAATTGTGTATTATTGTTATGCTCATTTTTAAGATGAAGAAACTGATGCAAAGGACGTTAATACTTTAGCTGAAATTAATAAGGGGCAAAGCCAGGATTCAAACCAGTTGGTTTAAATCTACAGACTACATCATAATCACTATGATCTACTGTCTCCTGAAAAAATACTTTTAAAAAGATACCTTTACATAAATAGAATGCCACTTAAGAATATTGCCCAAAAATCTTGAATAAAATATGCAAACACCTAGGGAAGTATGCACTAAATTATAGCAGAATCTTTTACTGATGGTTCTCCCTGCATTATTTCTTATTTGTATACTTTCAGTCAATCAAACCAGTTTGAATGTACAACTAACATTTATGCAGTCCCTATTACGTAACAGGCATATATGCTAAATTGTCTTATTATTTATATTATTAAAGATGAAAGAGAGGCATTATATTGTATTTATTTATTTATTTATTTATTTATTTATTTATTTATTTTTGAGACAGGGTCTGGGTCTGTCGCCCAGGCTGGAGTGCAAGTGGTACCATATTGGCTCAAACTCCACCTCTTGGGCTCAAGCCATCCTCCCACAGTCAGCCTCCCCAGTAGCTGGGACTACAGGCATGCACCACCATACCTGGCTAATTTTTGTATTTTTTGTAAAGACAGAGTTTCGTCATGTTGCTCAGACTTGTCTCAAACTCCTGAGTTCAAGTGATCCGCCCACCTGGGTCTACCAAAGTACTGGGATTACAGGTGTGAGCCACTGCACCTGGCCATATATTCTTAGAAATGAATGAAAAAGAAGCTCAGATGGCTCATGTAGTTTAACTGAAAGTCACAAAGCTATTAAATTGTGAAGAGACCTTTTGACTTCAAATTTCAGTCCCTATACTCCCTAAAGGAAGATAGCCTAAGTTTGAAACACATGTATAATATATACTTATATACTGCATATGTATACATATACATAACACAGATGTATGTGTGTGTTAGAAGACAAAGTAGAGAGGGAGTATAAGTGGTGGGAGATGATAAGATGGAAGACAGAAGATGAGAGGCAAGAAAATGATAGGTCTCTTAAATTTTACTGTTGATAGTATCAACAGGTTTTACTTTGAAAATGGTGAATGAGAGGAATTTAAGATGATGGCAGAGAATAATAAAAAGAAAAGAACACATCATCTGTATCAACATTTGACCTGCAGCTTCATTTATTAAGCTTTTACCTATAAGTGTACACGGTCACATAATTTCTTAGTTACCTTATGGCTTCTTTTCCATGGAACTCTGGAGAAACCGGTTCAAAAGAGTCATCAGAGGAATGCTCAGAATTTATTTCATTCTCAAAGATTTCATGATGAGTATTTTGATGTTTGGACCAAAAGGAAGACTTAAGGAAAAATAATGGAGAATCCCCATGGCCATCTTTATCTAACAAATAAAGATACAATTACATATTGCATCAATTAAACCACACTAATAAAAAGGAACATCTGTCCTTTACTTGCTATCAATTTTGAACTTAATTTATTACCTTGGGCATTTACATTTATAATGTTCAAAATAAACCATTATAGGTGCATTAAAGTTAAGACAGAGCTGTGGCTTTCAATAAGTTATCAGCGGTGATTGAGAAAAGTAAAAGCGCTCATGAGAGGGAATACAGTTCTAGCTGTAGGGAATCATATCAAACATCAAGAGCGTCATTTTTTGGATTTCCAGACATTTGGATGCTAAAAAAAGAGATGTATAAGCTGATCCTGCCATAGCATATGCAGACATATTATTTTGATAATATAGAAAAAATATTGAAAATAGTATATAATTCATCGTAAATTAAAAGAGATCTTTTTTCTGAGTCCTAAGAATACAACAAAAGCACAAAAATAAACATATTAAGAATGTAAAGGTAGACATATGGCTGGATAACTTTTGTCAAATAGGAAAAAGACATAGAAAGGAAGAAAATTAAAATTAAAGGATCATATGTAAGAGGCATGGGAAATATTTTTAATTCATTAGAAAAATTAAACACAGATTAAATTTTTTCTGCCATAAGTCTTCTTATGTTTTATTTTATATAAATTTTTTCAACCAGATACATAGATAATTCTTTGACTTTTTATGACCTGGAATTATACAGGGATCTGTATCAAGAGATAGTTCATATCATTCCCCAGTAGAAGGGGCTCCACGTATAATCAAGTAAAAATGGCTTGACAGTTAAATGGACTTTTATCTATTAGAGTAGAAACTACAGCTGTAGATCTAAAGAAGGAAAGAGAATAATATGAGATGGTGTTTTAATGATATATCCACAAAACAGGAATTTATTGGTGGTAAGAGGAGGAAATTTAAAAGATTTTTCAGAAACTATAGGATAATTAAAAGAATACAGAATTTTCACAGGTAATATTTTACTGCAAGCTGTTACTGAAAGTTAATATAATGTAGGGGGATGAAGCTGAGCAAAAGAAGAGCTAAAGAAGAGACAGAACATATAAACTTCTTGATATATGAAAGCAAAAGATGCTGATGACATGTAGAAAAATGTATGGGAAAGAATGGACAAGGTATAGATAGAAATTCTTTGACAAGAGAAATGAAAACAGTATTGTGGTTTTAGAGATATTATGTGGGAGAGAAGAAATGTTCAAAAATGAAAATATGTAAACACATCTAGAGTTGAACTAGCCAAAAAGAGAAATTATACTATGAAAAAACAAAGCAAAAATTTTAGAAGGGGAAACAAATTAAAATTCAAAAATGAATTCATTTTATTCATAGAAACTATAGTATTTTAAAAAACATATCAAAAATCAAACTAATGTTTTATATTCTTGTTTTGCTACTCCTGTAGTTGTTGCCTGTCCTCGTTAGCGCCTCACCTCTAGTAGCCAAAGCCAGAAACCAGTGAGCCATCCTCACCTCTTTTCCTTCTTTCTCACCTCCCCCAACTTCTATATAATTAACCACCAAATCAGATTGTTTCTATTACCTAAGAATTTCGTGAATCTGTTCTCCCCTTTACATTACAATGACATCTTAATTTGATCCTCTCAAACAGATTAGTATCCACCTGCTTTCAGCCCATTCTTCATGCAGCTGCCAGAGAGAGCTTCCTAAAATGCAAATCTAACCAGTGAAAGAGCCTACATACACTACTACTTCAGTCTCTCTCCATTTTTTGCATCAGTTGTTCTAACGCTTTTGGATTTTGTATACAAACAATATTTCAAGACACAAATATATTTTGTTAAGGATAGTTTAAAAGCCTATCTGTTATGCTATAACCATCACTGCAAAAATGAAATATTTTCACTACAAAATACAGATAGAGAAAAGCTATGATCTCACAATAGAGAAGACAACTTCAAATTAAAGAATTAAGATATATAAATAAATTTCACATTCTTTCTCTTACCTGACAAGGTGAAAATTTTGTCAGAGATCATCACCAATACTTGAGTTGCCCAAGTGGACACAATCCAAAATTCTGTACATGCCGTATCAAGTGAAAATTATGACCAGGTACCTATAGAGGGGCTTATTGGAGATAAGCCTCAGAATCTCAGGGATCTTTACATGCTATAGTGTAATGTGCACAAGCATGTGCATCTGGAAAAATCTCCCAGTAATTCTTGTACACTGGTTAATTTCTACATCACAGACTCCTACTATGACCAACTCTGCCAAACAATTTTTAATTTCCCTTATGATATACTATTTCACATTGCTGAGCATACTTGCTGTTGACTCTATGGCTGGATAACTGCTGTCAAATAGGAAAGGATATAGAAATGAAGAAAATTAAAATGTATTGCTGAGCATACATGCTGTTGACAATATGACTGTAGACAAAATGTGTTTTCAAGATTCCTTCAGATGATTTGTTTTTAAGACTCTTCTCCACAAGATAAACTTACTTATCCTCTAAATGCAATTTGAGGTGTTTCCTCCATGCCTTTTCTAATTTGACAACCCTAGAACTTACCCTCTCATGGAATCTTGTGGTATCCTCTTATTAAACTTCTTACACTACATTTAACTACTAATTTACATAAGTATTTCCAATGCTAACTGCAAAAGCCTTGAAGACTCATACTCTTAACCCATCATAGGCTTCAATAAGCAGTTACATTTTAAATGGTTAAGTAGATTAAATCTGACGTCTAATTGGTATAGATATCATTAGCAATTCTTAGCTTGTTTTGGTTCAGTAAAAGAATTATAAATGTAAAAACATTTACATATAACCTGGTCTAAAAATAAAGATTTGAAAGATGCTTATAAAAATTTAGATTGACCAGGCACAGTGGCTCACGCCTGTAATTTCAGCACTTTGGGAGGCCAAGGCAGCTAAATGGCTTGAGGCCAGGAGTTTTAGACCAGCCTGGATAACATGAGCATTAGGTCAGAGTTTCAAAGTTCTAGTCCAAATTCTGCTAAATGTGTTCTTGGCCAGTCGTATAAATTCTCTAGATCACTGTTTCGGCACCTCTAAGATGCGTGTTCTGGATTAAATAATGAACTAAAAGCTGATTATTAAAAGTATAGATTATACAAACAGGAATTGAAAGGAAAAAGTCAAATTCAGTTTTCCCAGGTTTAAAGATTACTTGTGCTTCTGGGCAGTGAGGCTGGGGGAATATTGGAAAAGAAAAACAAGATGACTATGAATAAGTGAAGGACTTAAAGAAACATGAAAATGTTGCCTATTAAAATGCTAATTAAATTCTAGAGATGAGGAATTTGTGTTACCATATTAATGATCAAAAACTCTCAGTTGCATGTAAAACTTGTAATTCTAATCACAACAGAAGATCATGAAGGGGAAATAGTAAAAGCACAAATGTAATATCCCTAGAATCATCATAAGTCTGGAGTTTCTATCTTTATATCTAACTGTTATAACTGAGCTTCATAGTAGATGGGATTTGAGCATACAATGTCTGTGAACAAAGAACATTATTGTTCTTATTAAAGCTTAAAAACCCATCATCGTGTTATAGAAACTTACCTTAAATTTAGGACCTCCAGACATTAGGTAGATACAAATGATACAGAAAATGTGATTCTAGAATAATACTTTTCTTTTAAACAAAACATTCTATGTAAAATTTGTCCCCTGACATGCTCAGAGGTATCATTTAAATGAAAAAAAAATGAAGTTGGTATAGCAGACATCAACAAGGTGTGTAATGGGACTTCCCAGCACTTGTTCCCTAGCAGAAACATTAACTTGAAACAACAATCCACTCAAAAATACCTTCACAAGCGCTAAGAAAACCAGGTGACTGAGTACAGCACCTGAGTGTAGTAGCTCAGAAATAAGAAAAGGTGCATTGAAGAGGGCAGAAAAGACAGTTTTGCAAAACCTGTGCCACCCCTTCCCAATCTGTCAGGCAGCACAACACGAAAACAGATACCCACCACTTGAGGAAATGAGAGATTGTTTCGTGTCTGTGCAAAAGCATTTTAGTTTGATGTAGACTCTGTCTCACACCATATACAAATTGATCCCAACTTGCAAAGCTTCAACTTATAATTTTTCAACTTTACAATGGGTTTATTGGGATGAAATCCCATTGTAAGTTGAGGAATATCTGTACAAAAATCAATTCAAAATGAAGTAAAGACTTAAAAGTAAAACCCTAAACTGTAAAACTACTAGAAGGAAACAGGGATGGGGGTGGGGGAGGAGGCGGAGCTTCATGACATTGGTCTGGGCAATGATTTTTTTTGGATACGACCCCAGAAGCATGAATAACAAAACAAAAGTAGACACATGAGATTACATCAAACTAAAAAGCTTTTGCACAGCCAGGAAAGCAATCAACAGAGTAAACAGAAAATATTTGCAAATGATACATCTGATAAGAGGTTAATATACAAAATATGCAGCAAACTCAACAGTAAGAAAACAATAACCCAATTTGAAAATGAGCAAAGGACCTGAATAAACATTTCTGAAAAGAAGACTTACAAATGGCCAACAAGAATATGAAAAAGTACTCAACATCACTAATCATCAAGGAAATGCAAATTAAAACCACAATGTGATAGCACCTCACATCTGTTAGAAAGGATGCTATGGAAAAGATGAAGGGTAAAAAGTGTTGGCAAGGATGTGGAGAAAAGGGAAGCCTTGCCACTGTTGGTGAAAATGTAAATTAGTACAACCGTTATGAAAAACATGATAGAGGTTCCCAAAAAGGTAAAAATAGAACTACCATATGATTGAGCAATTACACTTCTGGTATACATCCTAAGGAAATGAAAGTATTACATTGAAGAGATATCTGCACTCCCATATTCATTGCAGCATTATTCACAATAGTCAAGATATGAAAAAACAAACTGAGTGTCCATCAAAGGATAAATGGAGAAATAAATTGTGGTATATATATGTACAATAGAATACTATTTAG